AAAAAATCCAAATATACCACAATCACCCTAGCTTCAAGATCTACTGTCCCTTAAGAAAAATACTCTGTGAGTTTTTTTTTTCCTTAAAAAACCTGGATCAAGTTGATTCAAGGGTTATGCCGTGTTCAAAGTGATTCCGCGAAATTCAAAATAGCCGTCAGAGAAAGAGAAAGATAACTAAATTTTGGAGGGTCAGAGACCATTTTGCATTTCGCGGAAATTACTTTGAACACGGCATTAGACTTTATCTAAAAATGCAAAACTTTGGATAAATTCTTTTTAAAAAGTTCGAAACCTTCTTTAGGAATCGAAATGAAAATAAATCTTGGTTTTTTTTGAAGTAGTATCATTTTTATCATCAGGCTTCATGGAAAAGCTGGGTTTTCCTTTTCAAATCCTGAAAACCAATGATCTTCTGCCTGAACTTTACCTAGACGACTTTGAATATTTAAAAAAATAATTTTTGAGCCTTGTGTATTAGATTTTACAGCTCATGGACGTACAGCTGTAAATGGATGAAACAGCAGAAATTTGAAAGTGTCAAGAAAAAAAATTGCGCAAAACTCTTCAAAATTTTCCAGATTCATTTTTCTTCATAACAATTTTAAATGAAAATGTTGCTTAATTTTAAATTCCTTGTATTTTTTTGACTTTTTTAACATTTTCGTAATACCAGTTGATCTTGTAATACCCACGTATATTCCATCTTGTCTTGTTTTTTTCTACCTTCCTCAGGAATTCCAGAGCGGTCTCTATAGGGGTTAGGGTGGAAAACAGCCTCTACAGGGGACCAAAAAGTGGTCCCTATAGGGGTAAAATTATGATGGTCTCTATAAGGGTTTAGGGACTGATTTCTTAGCCCCTATAGTTCAAGTGGCCCCTCAAGGGGTCTTTCAATTTCATTTAAAAAACGCTTGTTTGTTCAGTTTTCTCATGGAAATGCTTCTTCGCTAGAATCCATAACAATTATGAACTAGCATGCCCCTATAGGGACCTTTTTTGCAAGCTTATTGGTCCCTATAAGGGTTTGTAAAGTGGTCCCTAGAGAAGACCCTCAAAGGGTATCTAAAATCGCCCCTATAGGGACCACTGGACCGTTTTCTTGAGTTCTACTTCAGTAAAAAGGCTTCAAACTTCTTTTTTTCTCAACACACACAACAGATAAAAATAATCGCGAATGATCTGTGTTCCGAAAACAAAGAAGCGGAAACAAGCCGCCAAATTCCAAGATTACACAACCGCGCGCGAAAAACCAAGAGACGGCAAAAAAAACCTTTGACATGATACGATTTTCACGTTTTGGACGCCTTTTGAAGGACACGCGTAGGGAAAAAAAAAACGGAACTTAAGTCAACTCATTTCTAATTTCCTCGGTACGATGAATTGGATCGTTCCGGCCGTTTTCCTTGTTTTCGTTCGATTTTCGATTGGTTGTAAGCCGTCTTATCAGGTGCAAAAAGTGCTCAAAAAGTTTGAAATTTTCGTAATTTATCAAGCTCGAAACTTCCAAATTAAAGATTAAATCTCATCTCATCACATTTTGTACAGCTCATTCAAAAAAAAATGCTCGAAGCAACTTCTCAACAGGATTAGTCTAAAGCAGAGGTGGAGGATGGCTGCCCTCAGGCCGCCCTGCCTGCCAAGCCATAAACGCCCAAAAGGCAGAAATGACTTTTTCAAAAGTCAGCGTGGCGCGACGGTCATTTGTATGGCGATATCGCCCTAGCATCTAGAAGCGCTTGTTTTGAGCGATGTATGAAACTTTTTTACTAAAACACAAAAACACGAAAAAATGGTGGTATGAAAAAAAGATCAGCGAAAACTCGAACGGCGATTTTTCTGACTTTTTCAAATCGCTAGAGAGCTTTCCGACGGAGAACTTTCCGACTAATCCTTTTCAACTTTTTTGCTAAATAAACTCTTCGTTTTGAATCCTCCCATATAAAGTAGGTAGTTGATTCATGATTAAAACACAAAAAGTAGACAAAAAAATGTTTTAGGAACCGAAAAGTAAAAGGGAAAAAAGTCGGAAAGTTCCTTAGCGATTTGAACAAATCGGAAAAAGTCGCATTCCGAAAATTCGCTGGTTTTTTTTCATACCACCGGAAAAATCCAGGTAGAGAACTGTAAGCCTTCCACTCTTAACGAGGTGGCCTGGCGTAATAGGATTTTTCAGTCATTTGACTTTTTTGGAAACCAAATGAATCAAGAGAAATACTTTTGCATCAATTTCATAGCATCTCAAAATTTTTTTGTCGAAATAGTTCTCTAGTGCGATTGAAAAGGTAGCCTTTTGACCCGTTTCAGTGACAATTCCCTGCTGAAATAACTGTTACAGTAGATTAAAAACGTTAACACAAAGTTGCGAAAAAAAAAACAATTCAAAAATTACAACAAAATTGATAATGATTAGTTCAGGGCGTTATCGCCACGTACTTGACCTAGTTGCCAAAGACCACGTAAATTAATGGCTCATTTCTATCGTTTGGCTTTTTGGCTTGGCTTGGCCGCCAAGCCAAGGGCTGCCTTCTCAATTCTCCACCTCTGGTCTAAAGAACAACTGGGAAAATTTTAAGTGGCCACTATAGTAGTCAAATTAGTGGCCACTGAAGGGGTTAAATAAGTGGCTACTATATAGGTCTAAGTGCTACTACTAGACCATTTAAAAATTTAGTGGCCTCTTAAGGGGTCAATGGATCAACATAACTGGTCCAATCTGTTTGTTTTAAAATTATCAGAGTTACTGGAAGGAATAATTGATGAAAAACTACAGAAGTGGACGCTAAATAGAGAACATCTAGAGTGGCTACTAAAACGGAAAATAGTGGCCACTATAGAGGTGGATTTAGTGGCCACTTTAGTGTCCTCTCCAAGTAGTCCTTGGCCAGCCTCTATAGTGGCCCCTAAAAATTTTCCCAGTGATTTTAAAAATCATAGTTCATTCGAAAGTGTAGACCACTGAACGCATTGCTATCTCGTCGAAAAAATGCTTCATTTTAATATCTCAATTTCATGTTTCTTAAAAATCGTCAAAGCTAATAGAATGAATCCCAGCTATTAGTTAACTCACAACCTTCCATTTGAAACTTTATAGTCATGTTTCTTTGAAAATCTGTCAAGGTGAAAATCGAGAAAGTTTCGTTAGTGACATGCTTCAAAGTTGATTTTTATTAATGATAATATTGTTTATTTTTCTGAGATCAAAGAATTTTTGAGTCTGTCAAAGCTCCTTGAAGTTTGACAACTCCAAAACTTGGTTTATTTCAAAGTTCCCTACTATAGTTTATTCAAGACTGCTCTTCTCCTCGTTCAAAATTGCAGAGATTGACTTCAAAATGAACAGGATACCGTACCCTCACTTTGGCGTTAATCGTTCCAAGACCATTTTTTTCATAATTCCCTTATACCTCAAGCTATTTGAAACAGCAGAATGATCTGAAAGTGGAAGCAAGAGAACAACAGCGTCTTGAATAGAGCGCAGACAACTAGAGATTTTTTGATTGTCTGGCGTCTCTTCAGAACAGCTTGATCTCTCGTCTCCGTATACTTCGACCACTATTTTAATTTTTTTTTTCCTTTTTTATTCGAAACTTTTCCCTTGTAGCTGTTACTATTACCCCTTTCATAATTCTTCTAATTCGAACCAAAAAAATTTCTACAGAACCAAATTTTCAGATTCGGTTGAAAGTTGACGAGGCGGAGTTCAAAGGCCGATCCGCAGTTATCGTATACCAAGAAAAGTACAAAGTAACTTTTTGAAACAACCTTCGAAAATTTGACGAAACTCGAGAAAGCCTGTCTGCGTGCTCTTTTCTCTTTTTGGCGAGGTCATAGGAACACCGGAGTGGTCACTACAGGGGTTAGGGAAAGAACTTTGCATAAATGTCTGAAATTTAGGTAGCTGGTTTGAAAGGTATAATTCCGTATAGGGACCAATAGCGTGCCCCCAAGTGGCCACTTCTTCAACTTTCCGTGGCCCTCATAGTGGGCTGAGGTGAGGAGCCTACAAGGACCCCTCTAGTGACCACTCTGGCGTTCCTAAGAAGTAGGACGTAAGCGAGAGAGTGCAGAGAAACCAGACTTTTTCAAGTTCATGGGGCAAAACCTGAGAGTTTCCGTTCAGAATGTAGCCGACGAGATTCTCTGCGAACTGAAGGCGTTGCTTTCTGAAGTGACGTTCCAAACTTCGTCGAACAGTATCGGGTTCGAGAACATCTGCAAGCATAGCTCGGTTCCTTTTTTCTTTTTTTTTGGGACAAAATTTAGAACTTCCTTGACACATTCAGACAGAGGACACTTATTTCTAACTATAAGGCAAAGTCGGAAGGACCATTTGAGCTTCCGGGTGTGAAAAGTTTCCATTATTTGATCCTAAAGGGATCCCAAAGGTTTCCTTTTTACTGCCTTTTCCCGTCCTTTCATCGGCCTTTATCCACCCTTTTTGGAACCTTCCGAAAAAAAAATTTTTTTTTGATTGAGAATCTTTACCAGTGACTGTGTATGAACCAAAATGAGCTACAGTAATACAATCGGATTGGCCGAGACTTTCAGCAGCCTTTCTTCACCCTTTTTGCACCCTTTTTTCACCCTTTTTTGAGCCTTTCAAGCCTACCAAGAAAGAAAGGCTCAATAAAGGCCGCAAAACGGAACCCTTTTAGCGGCCATTTTGCACCCGTTTTCCGCACTTCCGACTTTGGCAGTATTTCTAGGATTTGCTGTCCCAAGGGGGCATGAAAATATGTGCTTTTTTCAGTTATTGCAATTGACGTCAGACAAGTTGCGTCTCAAAGACTTTGCCATCACCATTTCTGAAACTTCAAATGTAAATTTTCTTTCTTGTACTTGAAAAGGTCGCACGGGGAATGGCTTGAAGCGTCGCGGCTAGGTTCCCGCTCTATCCAAGACGGCCGCTTTGAGCCTTTCTTTGTTTCGATTTTTCGAATCAATTCGGATAGACCATGCCGCAAGTCGTATTCTGTCGGGCGCAAAAAAGTCCCAGTCAATCGAAAAATTCTTTGCAGCTCGAAAAACAATGCGAAGCTATTAATCAAATGAACATCAAGCTGTTGAGCCACGGAAATGGCAAGAAAAACACTTGGGTGGCGCAGATTCTCGGCACCAAGACCGATCTGTTGGTACCTTTGGCCAAAGATGGTTTGTTAACAACGATCAAAAATGAGTTTCACAATGTTTCCAAGTACTATGTTTCATAAAATTCCACAGGACACTAGCCAAAATTGTGGAATATCACTGTTTCAGGCAAAAACACGACCCTGCCCTCGCTGCACCTGGCGTTGGACACCATGTTCCTGGCCGGCGCCATGGATATTGGCTCCAACAGTTTCAAGTCGCTCATGTTCGACAAGACAGAAGAGTCGACGGTATTGAAGACATTTCTTCTTCTTGAGCGAATTTCCAGCATTTTCCCACACTTTTGAACCAAAAACCACTCTTTTTTTGTTCAGAAATGCTCAAAATACCTGTTTCAGACCGAGAGGTTCGGCATTTTGGCGTTGCTGCTCGCCGTGTCGTTGCTCACGGTGCTCGGCGGCGTCGGGTTAATCGTCGCCGTCTGCTTTTCGCGTCGGAAGTTTGCTGAAAATCGACGTCGTGATAAGAAGTCCGATGCCCTCGCCACGCAGGCCAACAATCAGTTCAATGAGGTATTCATGAAAATCATGGAGTCATACAAAGTATTGTTCAAATGTTTAGAAAAGTTGTACGCTCCGAAAAAACTCAAAATCGACTAAAAACCTTCAGGCCTCTCAAAGGGGCTATAGTTCTATTTTGAGGACCCTAAAGTTGACTAGAAGATCCTGAAGCCGTTTAAAACTCCTGAAGCTTTTTTGAAAATTAAAAAAAACCCTCAAAGTGGCTTGAATCGTTTGAATCACCTAAAGGTTCATGAAAAGCTAGATTCAAAAATAAAGATTTCTTCAAACTCAAGTGAACTTTTAGGAGGAGCCGATCTGGGTGGAAGAATATGGACATCAAGCGTAAAACGCTAAATTTTGCCCATGGAGAGTAATAAACTGATTCATTCCATTTTTTTCAACTTCGTCGATATTGAATCAAAAAAATTTCGAAGAAAACCGAATTTTTTTTAACAAGTTGAAAAATGAAGAAAACGGCAAAGAAACCTAGGGACCGCAAAGCCACGCCCCTTTTCGCGATAGAAAAAGTGGCTTTTTTTTGGTTTTCAACTTTCATTTTGATGTAGTTGTAAAATATGTGGAACTGGCAAATAAAATTTGACACACTTGTACAGAAAAGCTTCCTCTTTCGTTTAAAAAATATTTCACGCTTTTTTGATGCGTTCGCGCGGAATGTCGTACAAAAAAACGTGAATGGAACTAAAAAAATTTTTGTCGTTTTTGCTTTTTCATGTGTTTTTCAGGTCGAACGCACTCTTTCTTTTTTTAAATAATGATTTTGATTCAAGTAACGGTAATTTTAAAACAATAAAAATAAAAAAATTCGTCTTTGCCAAAAAAATTTTTAGGGAGTGCCGAAAGTCGTAATTCAAAAATATCGTTAATATGCGAATATAATCGAGTTTTTTTCTTTTTTTCAAAAATTTAGATCACGGGCTTACTTAAATATTTCTCCACAGAATATGTGCTTGAAAAAAGTTGTTTAATACGCAAAAAAATGCTCTTGAAACTAGAGGATAAAAATTAGCGGCGTTTATCACACAGAAAGCGGTCGAACGCAGGTTTTTTTAAACGATTATATACATTTATTAGTAAAAAAATCTTTCAATTAAAAAGAATAAAAATAAAAAAATTCGTCTTTGCCAAAAAAATTTACGGGGCCGTTTTTAATGCAGCGATCGTTAAACGAGGCAAAAAAAGCACTAAAAAAACAGCTTTTTTTCGAAGTGAATTTCCACGAACCGTTTGAGTAAAGATTTGCAAACATATTCTGATAAAAAAATAGCTAAATTACTTCAAGTTTTTTTCTTTTTGAAATAGACAATCTGTGCTATTCAAACGGCTCAAAGGGGTATGGCGGATGGAAGCTCCCCGCGTTGGACCTAACAGCTTGGCGCAACGCGTGCGCTCCGATTTTACATTTTGAGGTAGCGAGTTCGATGCCCGCAAGCGGCAGTTTTTTTGTTTTCTGGAAAAATACCGACTTTTTCGACAAACTAGCTGATTAGCATCATTTTAGCACTCTAGTATGATTTGTTACATCATAATAGACCAGTATCAAAAATTTGTTCTAGAAGAAAAAAATCGAAAAAAATGTCAAAAAAATGGATAATACCAAAAATTTCAGTACTAAAAATGGTGCGCGGCGCGCCACCTTTTCCGTCATAACTTTTTTCATCCTCAATCTTTTTTGAAAAACTAAACGGTTCTGAGTTTTGAATCGAAACAGCTATCGAACCATACAAAGCTCAATGCTGAAAAAAATTTTTTGAAAATTCGTCTGCGGTCCCTAAAGAAACCTTCTAATCTTCAAATTAACACTTGAAATAGTTGGTTTTTAAGTGACCTTTCTCAGTTATCCCTTAAGTGATTCAGGCCTCCTAATTCGCAGTTTTTTCAAAGGAATTCGGATCATTCGACAATTTCATCAAAAAAAAAATCTAAATCTGTTAGGTTAGATTCTGAGCTGAACGAAATCGCAAGACATTGAAAAAAAAAATGCTTTTTTGATTTTTATTTTCCAAACACTCCTAGATTCACTATCATCAACTTTTTTAGGATGAAAAAAAATTTTACACCGCTGAAATTTCTATTCAAGTTCTCTTCCGCAAATTTCTTCCGTGCAACACTGGTGCTCAAAGCTCATAAATAAAAAGGCCATTTTTTAAAAATTCATTAGAAGTTGTCTCTTAAGGTTTTTTTTATAGAGGCGAGAAAATCAAGCCTGGAAAAAAAAACTGTAGCGGTTACTAAATCAACTCGAAAATGACTCAAGCTACTTAAGGGATCACTTGTAGTCGAAAAAGAAACTTCAGAAGTTCTCCTCCCTAAAGTGCCCACTTGCAGAAGTGGCCTCCCTAAAGGTACCTCCCTGAAGTGACCACTAAAGTGACCACTTGCATTGAAAAATCCAAAAAAGTCATTCTCAATATTTCCAGCTGTAGAAATGGTGACATGGTGGGAAGCTAGGTGAGATAACATTTTGCAAGATAACTCAAGTGACCACTCCACAAGATGTCACCGATAAATTTTTATAATCAGTAAGTTCAAAAATTCTAACAATGCCTTCCGATCGAACCAAGGGTCAACGCAGATCAATTTTGTTTTTATTGTCAAAAAGCCGCAGTGTGCGGCGTTGCGACACAAGGACAAATGGAAAGGATCGTAGAGGGGAGGAGAGAGAAATCACATGGCGAGAGTGTCGCCGGTAGTGCCGCCAGTGGTGCCGCCGCCAGTCGTGCCACCGCCGGTAGTGCTGCCGCCGCCGGTGGCGCTGCTCATCGTCGAGCTGGTGCCGGTAGTGCCGGCCGTCGTGCCGCCAGCCGTCGTACCGCCCATCGTCGTTCCGATAGTCATGGTGCCAGTGGCCGTGTCGCCGAAAGGAGTTCCGGTGACGCCGCCCGTCGTGCCGGAAGCGTCGCAGCCGTAACGCTTGTACATTCCGCGGTACCTGAATGTTTTCAAAGGTTCGGGAAGGGCCGAAATCGACACTGTTTTGAAATAAACTTTCAGCTTTCTCTACTTGGGGACTCCAGAGTGGTTCCTATCGGGGAAAACCTCTGAGGGTCGAGACCAATCTACCAACCCCTTTAGGGGCCACTAAAGCTTTCAAAGAGGGTCCCTAAAGGCGTTTTTTTTAAAAGCCTATAGGTCACTAAGAATAACTGCCGAGATAAACGCGAGACACTGGCGGTACATTGACGAGCTCGCAAACATCTCGCTTTTTTTCTCGCGCCGGTCTCGCATTTTTCTGGGCGCGAGCTCGCATTTTTCTAGGCGCGAGCTCGCATTTCTCTCGCAATTTGAAAATTTCCGAAATGCAAGATAAATGCGAGATGGCGCCGTGAAAAATGCGAGGTCGCGCCGAGAGAAATGCTGGATCGCGCCTAGAAAAAAGCGACATTTTTGCGAGTTAGTCAATGTACCGCCACCGAGCTCGCATTTATCTCGTCAGTTATTCTTAGTGGGTGGCATGCTAGTCGATAATCGATAAGGGGTCAGACCCTTAAGGGATCACTTTTCCGGCCTCTACAAGGATTGCTTTCCTCCTAACCCCTATTGAGATCTCTAAAAGTCCTAAGTATGAAACCCACCAAACAGAGTAGAAGGAGCGACGGAGGACGAAAAGGATGCCGCCGCCGAGGGCGACAGTCAAGAGGGTGCCGAAGAAGTATCCGCCAAAGAAGGCCCAAACGAGCCACTGATCGGCGCCGTACGGATCAGGTCGGAGCGGTGCGAGCATCGCCTGTCCGCCAAGTTGCGGCGCAACCGTCGTCGACGAAACGTGCGGCTGTTCCGTCGTCGTTGCCGGCTGAATCAAAAGCTCATCAATGGAAAAAAAAAACAAGAGGCCCATGAAAATCAAAGCAACAAAAAAAGGAGTATCTTAGACCAAACCCACAAAAAACAAAAAACCGAAAAAACTTTTACTCTCCGCTAAGTCTAAAGAAACAAAGTCGTTCTTAGAAACTCCAAAGTGGTCCCTATAGGGGTTAGGAGAAAAAAACGGCAATTATAGGGGCGAGAAAGTGGTCTCGGGGTTTAGGTCCTGACCCTATAGTTAAGGGGTCCCTAAAGGGGAAAATTAAGTTTTTTGCATGGGAACGCTTCTTCTCAAAGAGTTCATGAAAAATTTTGACCAGCATGTCCATATAGAGGTCACTGGCTGAACCACCTAGAGGAACTACTTTTTCAAGCATTAGGGGTCCCTAGAGGGAACCCTAATGCTAAGGCCCCTTGGAGTTCCCAAGATAGGCTTCTATGTGCTCACGATTCGAGCTGAATCGTCTTTCGGACCCAGTGAGACTCTGTACAAACCGGGGGCGGGGCCGTGGTGGCCTGACTGTCGACGACGACCGTGCCGGCGCTGTTCTCGGCCGGGATGTGCTTCAGGTCCGCGTCGGGGTTGTAGGCGAAGCCGGCCGACAGCTCCTTCGAGTAGATGCCGTATTTCTTTCGGAGGCAGTTCTTCTGGTCGAACAAGACGAGCAGGTTGTGGGCGGACGCAAAGCGGTTGTCGCTCTCCACGTACTCGTTGTAGATGTTCTTCACGGTAAACTGTCAAAAGGGCTTTTGAATCAATACCCAGATTTTTTCGCCTACCGTCGCCTTCGACTTGACCCTCGAGTAGCCAATTGTGATGATGCTGAAGTCCGCGTCTTTGTTCGAGGGCGATTGCGCGCCATGGAGCAGCTGGATCGCGTAGGCTCGAGCTGTATTTAAAACGAGTCACAGAGTTTCATGAGATTCATGAGAGGTTTTCTTCCAAAAACTCACGCATGTTGGGGAACAAGACGAAGCTGTTCTGCAGAGCCAAAACCATCATGTTCGACTTGTCGCACGTCGGGTTGGATCCTTGAAAGTTGGGCGACACACAAATCTTGATCCTAAGACTTGCTTCTTCACAACATTATTTCCCTCTCGACACCCACATTCCGCAAGAGTTCTGCACATGCAATCGGAGTTGGTAGGCCGTTTTCTCCTTGAAGACCAAATGGACCGCTTCGCCGCTGTCGCACCCGCCACCGCATTGCTGCAATTCAAAAAGATTGACTCAAGGTGGGTCTTGCAGATGCGACGGGACTCAAACACGACACATTTTGGTTCATACTTACAGTACTGGCTATAAAGGTATTTCAAAGTGGCTATTCGAGCATAACTTCTCTGAAAGCGGCTCAAATGACTTGAAACTTTGCACAAATTTTAAATAGCTACGCAGTAACTTTTTTCCAAAAGAAAAGTTCTGGAGAGAGTATAAAGTGAGAAAGCTGAAGAAAACAGTGTAAAACTAATTTTGAGGGTGTTTTGAAGTTTTTCAACATGGAACAGTATATCCATTTGAATGACGAGGCGTCAAAACGCAAAGGCCTTCCGAAGAGAAAGTCACTACGCTCTTACTATCGGGTTGGTAGGGGGCTGACTAGGTTTTTTGGAAAGCCGAAGGATAGAGGCCGACAAAAGGACGGAAAAAGGCAGTAAAAAGGAAACCGTTGCCATCCTTTCAGAAACAATTAATGAAAACCTTTTTGCACCTATAGCGGACGCTCAAAGGGCACTCCGACAAAAGGTTCTCCGAATTTGCCTATGGAGCAACATTCGGACCCATAACGCCTTTTTCGGGGATCTTATCTCATTACCATTTCATCTCCTCTAATGATAAACAGTTAAAATTCGTTAAGATGGTTTCAAGTTCCTTACAAGGTTCTTTTGGGCATTGCTAGTGAGACTCATTAAAGTTGACTTTTCAAGACTTTTCCTCAACCTTCAGTGTTGTTTTCTTAACTTCCTCACCACTTCCTTGCCCAACTTCATGTCCTTCAACAGCGTGCCGTAGGCGATACTCTCGCCAGGAACAAAATTTTTCGTCTAAAAATCATCTGTCCAATGTTTCACAAGGAGCTGAGGGAACCTCGCCAGCAACGTGGTAACCTGGAAGGCGGTAGCCGTCCTGCGATGGTTCCTTCTCTTGGGGCATGAAGCGGGGCAAAACGGCGCCCGCGACGCTCGATTGATCCTTGATGAACTTGCAGTTGACGTCGTTGGTGAAGGCGTATGTCTGCAAGTTTATTCATGCCCGAGAATCCTTTTTGTGAACGAGAATGTAACAAAAAACCCTGAAACTCCTAAAATGTCTAGAAACAATTTTTGATCATTTTTGATCGAAAGGGGTCATTTAACTTCATTATCTTACCTTGATGTACTTTTCAAAGTGGTCCTTACAGGGACAACCTTGAGAGCCCTTCGAGGTTACCCTTTAGTGACCACTTAACCTCTTTGAATCATTAAATAAGATCGGCCCAGTTTTAGTTGGCTTTATTTGAAATTTAAACAGAGGATAAAATGATCAAGGCGAAAGAAAAGTGGGTTTCTTTGTTGGTAAATTTTAAATTAGGTCATTTTCCATTGCAAAAACCATATGAACATAGAAAATCGATTAATCAATAATCTTTCACCTGGGGACTTCCGACAAACTTCTGCGGATTGTCACAAACTTGATCGTCCTTGGCGCTGGCGCACGAATATTTACTAAATAAAGGATCAAAATGACCATCCTACAAAGGTTTAAACTTCTTGCAGGGATCAATGGGTGTGCTGTCCAATTCGTTAGCGGCCGGCGCCTTCTGCAGACGTAGAATCTGATTTGGCCTCGGGTTGCAGGCGATGTAGACGCTGCCAGCCGTCTGGAAAACAGTGCTCTTTGTAACTTTTAACTAAAATTAGTTAGAATAGGGTTTATATTCTGTTCAGATTTCAAATGTAAAGTCCTCGCTGAAGCTCCGCCCCTAATGGCGCGATAAACCAATCAGAGAGCGAGCCATCAACAGAGCGTTTTCGAATGACGTCATTCTACTTGACATTTAAAATCTTAATAGACTATATTGATTGTGGTTGGAACGATTTCAGTTCAAAAAGGTCGCTGTTTTCATAATGGCAAAAAATGTGGCGGCAGAAGGATTCGAACCTACAAGCCTCGCTTCGCAGACCACTGCGCTAGCCACTGTGCCAAATGGACGTTACTTTGCGGCCACGAGAAACTTTGAAAATTTCTCCTCTAGCAAAAAATACCTCTTCAATTTTGGGTCCTCAACTATAGCTGTTTCACGGCTGGCTTGAACCAACGAAAAATGGGTCCTGGCACGATAATGCTCGAGTGCCTAGCTCGTGGGGACAGGCCACGCCCATTGGCATCCTAAGCTGGCCGTGAGTCGTCTATAGTCTGTTCAGATTTTGAATATCAAGTCGTCGCTCAAGCTCCGCCCCTAATGGTGCGATAAACCAATCAGAGAGCGAGCCATCCACAGTGTTTTTGAATGACGTCATTGCACTTGACATTGAAAATCTGAACAGACTATATACCAAAAAGTTTATTCGAGTTTTTTTTTGAACGTGGAATTTTACGAAATGAAGTCGATGACGTCACTGTGGAGATTTTTCATTTTTTCAAAAACTGACCCTGGTATTGGCGCCGTCTTTGACCGGACTCGGGTAGTTATTGAAGCCGCACATTGGAGTGTTGGTGAACGGCGAGCCCATCTTGGCGAAATCAGTCATGAACTTGTTCGCGTAGTCGAATGCCTCCTTGGAGCCGGCGAACACAGGCAGCATGGTTTTCGCATCGACGACGATCGCCGTCGCCGCCAGCGACGCGATCAAAGGTAGTAAACGCATCAAGGATCGCTTGGAAGAGACCGACGATCCGGGGTGGATCACTCGCGTCGAAATAGTCCCGTTGTGGTCGTCGGTCATTCCTCACGTCACGTTCATTTTCCCTCATTTTTGACGTCATTTAGGATTTTCATAATTTTTTTTATTCCCTTCATAATGTGGTCACAGCTCACACACGTGCTTCTGCATAGGAGACGTCGAAAAAATGCTCCATAGAAATGTTTCTTCTAGGGTCAAAAAGGTTCCCTTTTAACTGCCTTTTTGCGCCATTTTTTCGGCCCTTATGCACCATTTTGCTGCCTTTTTTCCACAATTTTTTGAGCCAATCCCAGAAAAATGGGAGGCTCGATAACGGGACCTTTTCTGCGGCCTCTCCCTTTTAGCGGCCCTTATTCATCATTCGGACTTTGTCCGAGTGATTTTTTGGGACTAGATATCAAGTGGCTCCGCCCCTTTTAATGGTTGCTGGAGACAGCTGGCTGAAAAAATTTAAAAAGAAATTAAAAACTTTTCCTGATGAGAGCTTTTCCGTCAAAAAAATGTTCAGAAAAAGTAAGAGCACACTGTTTTGAGTATTTTTTTTCAGTGTTAGCTTTTTTTCTAACTTTTTTTCCTTTTTTTCTTCCTCCTTCATTTCTCAGTTTTCCCTTTTCCTTTTCAATTTTCCAAACTTTATTAATTTAAAACTGCGCCTAGGTGTAATAGCTTAAAAATTTTTGATTTAAAGCAAGAGGGTAAAATGCTGACGATGGGTCAACCTCTAAGCCGTCCATTTTTGGGACCCGAAACGGCTGCGCGATATAATAACATCTCATCAATAAATTTATTTCCACCAACAAATTTCGAATTTCATAAAAAAATCTTTTTCATAAAAAAATGTCTTTTTTTCTTATTTACTTTTTCACTTTTTTTCACTCTTCATAAATATAAAAACACACTGAATTGACTTCTTTCACAAGAAAAAAACTTTATTTTTTTATTTTTTTGAGCGATTTTTTTAAAAATTTTTCGAGCTATAACTTCTGCAAGAACACCCTATGGTACGACTTTCGATTTTGATTATGAAACTAGGAGCCTTTGTTTTTGAGAAAAAATGTTTCTAGAACATTCTCTGTGGTGGGATAGTCGACCGGCCAAGGTGATCAACGAGAATCGCTTCAAAATTCAAAAAATCCTCTTTTATCCTAATTTGACGGCTTCTTCTTAAAAAAATTAATTCAAATTTTTTTGAGATGCCTTTCTAGATAGGTAGAAACTGGTCCGGTAGGTTAAGCGGAAAATGCCTTCAGGTCCAAAAATTATTGCTCAAAACTCTCCAGCCAAGCTTGCAAAAAAGCCCAATTGATAACCAGTGGTCCAATACTTTCCACATACCTTTTTAACACCTTTACCTTCCAGGAGCCTGCTGAAAGGATTCTGGCCGGCATTTTCATCTTTTACCTTCCAACTGCCTTCCAGACACCTTCTAGTTTCCATCCACCTTTCAACCTCCTGCTGGTTACCTTCCCAACACCTTAGCAGGATTCGCCTGAGTCTTCCATCAAACAAACCATTCCATAAAAATACCTAAAAGTAAAGCCCTGCAAGTTGCCAACCTTGCAAAAGCCCAAGTGATAACCAGTTTCATTCAGAGAGTGCTTACGGACCATCATTCCTATCTTCCATCAAGCAAATCATTCAATCAAAGAACCTAAATGTAAAGCCCTCAAAGTTGTCAAGCTTGCAAAAAACACAGTTGATAACCAGTTGAGTTGCGAGAGCACCAACGGAGCATCATCCATTACACCATCTCGCCAGCTGCTCGGCACGCCCCTCCGACAATAAATAAGCTGCTTAACGTGCCAAAGAACGGTGTCGACGTCGTCTAGCGCTCAGCGAACGATAAAACGGTTCGTGGAGCTGTATAAAAAGGCTGAGAACGGCAAATTCCGCTGGCTCACCTTTTCCTGATGATTTCTTTATTTTTGACCGCTTTTGGCGTTCTTGCGGTCGGCGCCAACCGTGACGCACGTCTTGCTTCCAACCGCGTCGTTCCCGAAGTTGCTCAGGTTTGAAAATTCCAAAAAAATTAGAGATGTTCAAAGGTGCATGATTAATCTTCTTGAAGGTCACGGGGTGATTTTGAGACATTTAAAAAGCTAAAAATAGTGTAAAATTCTGCTCTAAAGATCGAATGAAGAAAAAATAGCCGCTTAGAATAGTTTCCATTAAAAATTTCCTATTTAATATTTTCTAAGATATTCAAAAAAGTAAACTTCGAGGGTTTTTTTTTTCGCAGTAAGGCAAAATCAAGATGGATATTTTTGAAAAATCGCCTTTTTTGTTTTTCAGCCATAGAGCGGTAAAGTAGGAGCAAGAAAATTCAAAATTTTACAGTCTCAATAAAATTGGCCTCTAAGGATGAAGAAAAAACTATTTCGAGTTTTCAGGAAAGATAGGCACAAGAAATTTGTCATTTATTTTTTAAATTCGAACCTTTTCAAACACCTTTCCGTCTAATAAGCTTGACATAGAAATAAAATATTACCTAAAATTGTATTTTATCCACCTCAAACTTTAGCCAGAACGATGGCAAGACCTGGAAACGTCGCCCTACGACAACATTGTCCACTACAACGGCGAGCGGCATTTCAAAAATGTCAAACAATTGACTTTCGGCGGCATGAACGCTGAGGGTTATTTCAGGTTCATTAAACACGAAAAATAAGTGAAATTATAAAAGTTACAGTTTCGACAACTCAAAGCTAACCCTACAAGCGACCGGCTACGGTACTGATTGTGATCAGGTTGGCTTAGGGATTTCGGAAATTATTTCGAAAATTGTCAGATCTACGAGCTTGACCTGAATCGAGACCCTCGGCAGCAGACTTTACGTCGGATCAGCACGGGTTTGAAAAAAGTTGAATTTCAGTTTTGAAGAAATGAAATTCCAGGTCTTGGCGGTACAACTTGTTCCTATTTCTTCAAAGAAGCCGAAAATAATCATCGACTCTATGCTGGAAACTTCTGGAACGTTAACGTGGGTTTTTTTTTGATAACTATCTGAAAATAATTGATATAGTGACGAATATTTGACCATGAATCTAGGTAAACGGAAACATTCAAAATCGTAACTTGAAAATGAAAAATTCTCCCGAAAACTTAATCCGAGAAAACGATAGGTGGCCACTTAAGTGGTGTTAGCGCTCCCTGAGTGTCCCCTTAAGTAGACGGGAAGATCAAATAGTGAAATGAAAAAAAAAACTGGGAGTTTTTTGAGCTCACAATACTAGTCTAACTCCTTGAAAATTACCCTCCTAACCAAATTATCCTCAACTTTTTTAAAAATATACCATTCTTAAAAACTTTTAAATCCACCTTTTCAGATAACCGGCGGCGACGTCTCCAAGACATGCCCTCAGAAAAAGTGCGGCAACATTTCAACGATCACCGACCCCGTCCTCAAGCAGCTGTGCAACACCAGCTACACCTGGGACATTTTCCCCGACTACGACATTTTCAAGGTTCAGCGAAAGGTTTAAGAACGAAGGATTATTGGGGGTTTGTAGGTGGACCAGTACGGTAACTTCGTCCAGCGGCTGACCAACTCGCCAGGCTACGACGCCGAGGGAGTCGTGTCGCCCGACGGCAAGAAGATCGCCTTCACATCGATTCGAACTGGCGACCTCGAGCTCTACATCATGGATGCTGATGGGACCAACGTCAAGCAGGTCGGAGATTCTCAATGAATCATCATCTAGTTTGAAAATTGAATACTTTTGGCAAATTTTTAAGAAGGGAAACATAACTTCGACTTTGAACATTGGGCAGAATACTTTTTGATGTACCAGATGAAGATCCTGAAAGTCTCAGCCTGCGCCTAATTTTCAAAAATGAGGAAGCTCAAATTGGAGCCTATATCTTCACAAACTCTTTTTCATTTTTGAGGTGTCTTTTTGTGAAAAATTAAGATTTCATAGAGTTCAAGAACTACAGGTTCTTTTTCAAATCTCAATTTCCAAGTTAGAACTGCAAGAAAAAGGGCGTGTCCAGCCAATCAGTACGTAGTTCGGTAGAGCGAACTTGACATTGAATGCTAATTTAATTAACTTTATCCATATTTTTAAACCGTCAAAGCTATAGTGGACGCAAAAAGCGTAGAGTCACAGAGAGACGTACAGAAAGTGAGAGTCACTTGCTCACTCTCACTTTCTGTACGTCTCCTCGATTTCTATGCTCTCTAGAAGGTTTCCCTGCGCCCTCCTTGACTCTCGACGTCTCTCATATTTATGCTCTATTTTCATGTTTTTCTGAGCTCGTCGGTGAGGAAACAGAGAGACGCAGACACGCGAAAACGGTCAAGTCGGGCCACGCCAGATCGAACCAAAAAAAACCACAAAACCTGTCCGATTTCAAAAAAAACCTCAATTTTTCAGCTAACCAACACCCTCGGCTACGACGGCGGCTCGTTCTTCGCTCCAGACGGAAAGCGGCTCATTTTCCGCGCCAGTCGTCCTAAAACCAAGGAAGAGGTCGACAAGTACAAGGTTCCTACTGGAAAAAGAAACTTTTCACTAAAAGTGCTTTAGAAATTGTTAACCTACCACCTCGTCGAACCAATCGCCATGGAGCTTTTCGTCATCGACATCGACGGCAAGAACATGAGGCAGATCACGAATTTGGGACAAGCCAACTGGGCGCCTTACTATCTTAATGACAACAAACGGGTTGTTTTCAGGTAAAACGGCTTTTTTTTAAGCTCTCAGAAAAGATTTTTTTTTTGTGAAATTGCTAAAAATCGGTCAAAATCCCTCACCTTAAAGGTGTCAACTGTGCTAACAAGAAAGTTCGTTTAATTTTTCGATTAAGAATTCCCTGAAGTTTGGCTATAACACTCCTTGGCTTACCAGAAGAATAACCTGTAAGTCTTCTAGTTTTCGAGAAATAAAGGCTCAAAACCAAAAAATAGCTCATTTCAGGAAAAAAAAATAAAATGTTGAACCCCCTGTACCTTCAATCCCACTACACTACTCGGAAAAACCCTTATCAAACTTTTTTTTAAAGTCAACTACGCATCGCTTATCACAGCCACTACGTTAATCCCTTCTTCAGCATAATCTTATGATCACCAAATCGTAATCCCTTAATGATTCAGTTCCAATTTCAATGCTTCTATCAATGGATTCGGCGCCTTCACTCTATATGTTGTCAACGACGACGGTACGGGGTTGGAAAAGGTGCGGAAAAAAAAATCGCAGAAAAATATTAATAGATTCTAGGTGACCTACGGTGAGAACCAGTTCAACTCGTTCCCCATGATGAGCTACGACGGAAAAAAGTTGGTCTGGGGCTCAAGTCGAAACGGCAGTCAGTACGACCTGAACCTTTTCATCGCCGATTGGACAGATGAAGTTCAAAGTGAGGAAATTTTGTAAAAATCAGAAAAAAATCGCATGTTTTTGCATGACTTTCATTTTTCAATCTAACATTCTAAGCTTCTTAAGGCGCAGGTTAGGATTTTTATAAAACTTTTTCTGTCCGTTTCTTGCTTCAACATTCCTCGAGGCCTTCTCTCAAATCAAACATTTTTCATGTTTTTATGAGCAAATCAGTCCTATTTAAACTCAGCTTCAAGGTTTAAAAACTTAGGATTTTCGGAGTGGTCCCTATAGGGGTTCGGGGGAAACCAGCTTCTATAGGGGCCGAAAAAAAAAGATCCCTATAGGGGTAGAATTAGGATGATCCTATAGGCTTCAGAATCTGACCCCTCAGCCCCTATAAACATCGAATTGAAGGCAAAGAAAGAATTTTTCTTTTTAAAAAGGTCTTGAGAATGAAATGTGAACCGAAAAAACCTAACTCTACGATTCTTTCTAACCGGCCAAGAAGGGAGGTAATTATACCTTGCGCTTGGGAGTTTTAATAAAATTGCCTAGAACACTCCTTCCTGGAGGGGTATAGTCTGTTCAGATTTTTAATGTCAAGTGCAATGACGTCATTCAAAAACACTCTGTGGATGGCTCGCTCTCTGATTGGTTTATCGCACCATTAGGGGCGGAGCTTGAGCGACGACTTGACATTCAAAATCTGAACAGACTATAAGGAAATTTCAGCCTGCAAAACTTCCAAGTTTTCGATAAATGAGGGCTCCAAGCCCCAAAGTAGCTCGTTTTAATGAATTTTGAAGGTTTTCATTTTCTTAGAGGAGTTCTTTCTCAAAAACTAGACGGCAATGTAGAAGGACCATAACATCCTCTGAGTGAACGTTTATAACCGCATCCCAACCAATTCAGCCTACTCATCCTCCACATCGGCACCGCCACCGCCACCGTCACCAAAATCATCAACTTCCAAGCCAATACCGACGACGACACGTCACTCACCCTCACTAACTATGCCATTCTCACTGTTTGCCGTCCTCCTAGCCATTCTAGTTCGAAACTGAAAGCCCTTATTTTTGTCACATTCAGATTGACACCTTGTTACCGGTCTACCTCAACAAATCAAACGAAAAAAATGAACAATAAAATTATGAGAAAAAAATACGAATAAATCATGCACAAATTTCGTCGAATGTCCAATTCAAGTGAGTAAGTGCATTAACAATATGTTTCAAGAGGGGTCTCTAATAACTCTGTTGGAAATTGTTCTCGCGTTGGTTCATATTTTTTCGCGGCGGCCGGGGTCCGTCCTCGCCACGGGCCACCTTGTCCGCGTACTTCTGGGCGTCGTTTCGCAGCTGCCGCGGGACTTCCTGAACGCTTTTGCTTCTGTTTTTAGAAAAGTGAACTGAAAGAGGCGATACGTCTAAATATAGCCAATTCCGCGCTAACTTGTCTCTGTTTATAACTTTTTGAAATGAATTCTCTTCATTTCTATATTCCCGAAAAACTTGAGACGCGAAGAGGTGTGGCTTGTCTGCGCTCTCCACCGAGCAGGCACTGTCTCTTTTCTTATCGTGGTAGGACCATTTTTCCGCTGGCTCAATACTTACAATAGCAAAAAAATGAGTAATAGTTTTTGGTTTTTTGTCCGTAACTTTGTCAAAAACAATCATTTTTACCAGAAATTTTGACCAAATGAGTAAATTGATGTTATTGAGAGTTTGAGTTATTGAGAGCCCTTTAAATCTTCAGATTAAAAAAAAACCGAAAAATTACACCTGTAACACTTAAAGCCAACAAGGTCCGTGAAAAATGTCCTTTTCACCTAATTTTTAACCGATTTACGCTGCGTAAATTTTCAAAACTAGGCGCTAAGATCTGCAATAAGTGCTTTTCAATACTTTTTCCCCACAAATATGTTCGACTACACCTATTTCTCTTAGTAGAAAAAAAAAGCCCTGGAAATCTCAGCCTAGATATTTTCAATGAGGAGCTCAGGAGCTTATCTAGATCCATCGTAGTGATTTTCAAACGCTGGTAAATTAATTATGATGGTTCAAGTGAAGAAAAATTACACAAATTGAAGAACGGGTGTTATAAATGTTGAAAAAAACGTTCGTTATTCACTAATTAGCTATGGGGCACAAAAAGCGGTTTAAGCAAAGCTCACCTGTCCACTACGCTCCAGGATTTCAATCAACGGAGCAAAACTCGATCGATTATTCCACCACAGGAAGCTCATCGACTCTCCCGAGCGTCTGAAAAATTTCATGTGATTCCTAAATTTTTAAAAATTGAACAGGTTTTCGAAAAATTCCGATTTTCGTCTGGTCTCAAGATACATTTCCTTTAAATGTACAGTATATGAAAAGCTGGGAACGCAGATTCACTGGAGTGATTTTTGGAATCAGAAAAAAAGCGTCAATTTTCAAAAACTACAAGAAAAAGCGCTGACCCAGAGTGTAGTAATATAAAGACGCGGCCAGAAATTTTTTTAAACAAACTTTGAAAAAAAATTTTTCTCAATTTCCTTACAAATTTTATTAATTTTGACAGGTTTAAAAAAAATTGAAAGACAGCGGTGCGTCTATAAATATGACGCACAAGGCGGAAAAACTTTTTCCAAGTTATGAGAAATGAAAATTTCCAACAAAAAAAGTGAGAAAAATTGATCAAATTTTTGAAAGTTCTAACCCAGCGCGGCCGGTTCGTCCAACCCGATGAACATATTCCTCGATATCGTTGGGGAAATCGAAATTGACAACGTGTCTGAAAGAAGAAGAAAAAATCATGTTTCATTATTTTTATAGTCTATTCAGCTCGCTATAAAGGAAGAGGTTATTTTCAAAAAAAATGCTAGAAAATGATTTTTTTTCTCAAAAATGAAAAAAAATATATTGGATTATATAAATGATTTAAAAACCATTTCTAAGAGCAAAATTGTTGAAAATATTTTTACAGTTCAATAAATGACTTCTAATCCTATAATGCCTCGTTTTGAGCCTTAAAAGACCCAAAAGCGTTCTAAATTGACATTAATTCTCAAAATCCCACGTTATATCAGGAATATCGATCCCACGGCTCGCCAGATCCGTCGCAACAAGTATATTTACCTGAATAATCTAGTTAGAAAAAAATTAACAGAAAAATTGAATTTTTTTTAACGTCTTCTCTTTGGTTGATGTTGTCAATTTTGATTTAGATACTTCAGAGAGGAAATATTCCAGTCAAAGTTTTTTCATTTTTTGGGGCCAAATCTTCCTACACGTTCATTAAGCTCCAGCTTTTATATGATATTTCTCAAGGGTTTTCAGTGATTTGAATAAAAAATTCCCGAAATGCACATAAAGTGGGAATGGTGGATAATGACCGCAAAGAGGCTCAAAAAAGGCCACAGAAAGGCATCAAAAAGGTGGCAAAAAGGAAAAAGGGAAGGCAGCTAAAATGGTGCATAACAGCCGATGAAATGGGGCAAAAAGGGTGGTATAGCTGATTCACGGTCAGCTTGAGACGCTAAGGGGCGTGTCCTGTCTGCGCTCTCCACGAGCCAGGCGCTACCTCGTGCATTATCGTGTCAAGACCTTTTTTTTGATTCCTCAAGCCAGCCGTGAATCAGCTATAAAAGGAGCCTTTTTTCCACCCTTTCCGCCTTTGTCTGTACCTTTTTTGGTGCACAGAAAAAAAAGAAAGATTATTTAAACGAAACAAAAATGAATTATTTTTTTTCTTTTTTTCCTGCAACATCATTCTCCGACATCACCTTTCCCTCTCGAAGCTCCTTCAACGAGTTTTCGCGATCCTCCTGGGATCTTCCGCCGTGTAAACCTTGAGAATTGACGCCGCGCATGCAGAAATCAGAAGACAAATGGTCGGCCCTGAATATTTACGAATTTCGCAAATTAATTTGAAGTTATATGTTCAATAAAAATGAAAAACTACTGTTGGGAAATCACGCTTAAATTAAGATTTTTCTAGAACATTTTATCCTTTTCTAGACTTTTACGGTTGTTTTACTTAATAGGGATCAATTTTATACAGTATAACTTTCCTTCTAGAAGGTTCCAAATCGTTCCAGAATGTTCTATAACCTTCGGGAAAGATCTCCAAGCCTATGGAATTTTCCCTCATACTTTGTTCCTTATACACTCTCTAAACTCCACCTTTCTTCTGGAACATTCCACAGTTTTCGGGATCTCTCCCCTCAGCCTATTTAAACCCCGTTGTTTGTTCTTGTTAGTTCTTGCTCACCAATAAACTTCAACTACAACTTCGCGTTCTCTACCTGCTAGCACAACAACTACAAAACAACAATAAAATTTATTCGAAAAAAAAATCCAAACAGTTCCAAGTAGCTTTCAATCAAAACTTTTCGTGAGCTAACTAAAAAATTTGAATCTTCAAATATTTTCTTAAAAATTTTCTCCTCCTGGACAAATTAAGTTTCCACCGACCCATTTATGCCTTAAATTTACATGAGAACGTTCTTTTTGACTGTTTTTTTGCAAGATTAGATTAAAAAAATTTTAAAAAAACGAATTATTTTTTTCAAAATAACGGATCAAAATTTTTAGTTTTTCCCAAATTTTCTCTCCTCCCTGCTTTCTCTCTTAAATCATACGATCACTCTACTCACCCCTACAGGGACCACTGAAGCTTGAAAAAGTGTTCCCTATAAGATTTTTAGTTAGTGGCCCCTATAGGGGACATTATAGCCGATGATTTTTTTTTTGCTCTTTGCGAAGAAGCATTGCTATGCGGAAAATTGAAAAAAAAAAACCTTTTTTGAATAAAATTGAACGATCCAAATAGGCTCCACTTGAGCTTAAGGGGCTAAGGAGTCAGAGCCTAAAGTCATATAGGGACCGCCTTGATTTGACCCCTATAGGGACCTCTTTTTTCGGCCCCTATAGGAACCCCTATAGAGACCACTCTAAAATTACTAAGTACGGAACATGTTTCCATTCTTTTTCGATCAGAAAAACCCAAGAAAAGGCACTTTTTTTTTTGAATCAACTCTAAGGATAGAAATCTAACTTATTTTAAACGGGGTTTTTTTTGTTGATAACTCCATAAAACTCACATAATTTTCGATTTGACGAAAATGATCATTTTGAAGGCTTTGCCATAACGTTGGTTGAGGAAATTGACAATTTCGCACATTCTTTCAAATCGATCTTTCTCGTGGATGAACTCAAAGTACTGTTTGACGTTGGAGCATGACTGAAGTTCGTATTTATTATTTTTTTCGAGGAAATAAATTACAGAAAGATCTAGTGTTCCAACAACGGCCATCACCGTTTCTTTTGTGTAGCGATTGGCGAGAGCTCGAACTCCTGGGGGCCAAGTTGCGCTGAAGAAAAATCGAAATAAACTTGAGTAAGGATAAAATAAACATGATATTGAGTTAGGATGAAAGAATTAGCAGATAAATCAATTAAAACCGGAAAATTATGGAAAAAAATAACGGAATTCGATGATTTTTTTGTAAATTACCTAGTGAGGGCGACGAGTTTATCGGGCCGGATTTCGAAGAGAATCCGACGAATCGAGGCTTCGAAGCCCATGTCGAGCATCCGGTCGGCTTCATCCAGTACGGCATAGGTGACACGCGCCAGATCAATCACCCCGACGGCCGATAAATCGGCGAGCCTTCCAGGGGTGGCAATAACTGTGAGATTTGTGTTTGAAGAATGTTATATAGTCGATTCAAGCTTAGGACGCAAAAAAGGCGTGGCCTGTCTGCGCTCTCCATGAATCAAGCACCGTCTCTTTTCAAAGTGTGTACTTAGGATCTTCAGAGTGGTCCCTATAGGGGCAACCTTAGAGGCCCTTGGAGGGTCTCCTCTAGCGACCACTCTACCAATCCTTATAGGGGCTACTAAAGCTTGCAAAAATGGTCCCTATAGGGAACCAGCTAGTCAGTAATTGTTATGAACTATGTGCAAAGAGGCATTTACATGTCAAAAATTGAAAATCAAGCGTTTTTGAGTGAAATCGGAACACCTCTATAGAAACCACTTGAGCTTTAGGGACTAAAGGGTCAGACCCTAACCCCTATAGGGACGACTCTCCCGGCCCCTACAGGGGTTGTTTTCTCCCCTGACCTCTGAAGGGATCGCTCTGAAATTCCTAAGTATTGTTATCCATCGATTACTCGTCGATACATTTACATAAAAACAAAAATTGACGCTGAAACCGGAAAACGTTTTTTTCCCGGAGCACTGTCTGCGCTCTCCTCTAACTAGACACTATCTCGTCTTTAATCGTGTCAGGACCCTTTCTACGATGGCTCAAGCCAGCCGTGAATGAAGATAGATTTCACGAAAAATGTTTAATAATGCGTGAATTTTTCAAATTGGCTCTAATTTTAAACTACCAATGGCGCAGTTTCGAAACGAGAAAAATTAATTCTGATTAACTTTTTTTTTAATTAGTCCTACCAATTTCAACTCCTCCTTTGCAGACGTCCATCTGCTGGTTACGGCCTCCACCGCCGTACACACAGACACTGAAAAAAACCTCATTTTTTTCTTTATTTTTTTCTTTCAAAAAAACACCTCCGATAGCCCCTGTAGGAGTATTTCTTGACTTCGCCTTCAATTTGCTGGGCGAGTTCGCGCGTTGGAGTCAGCACCAGGACGAACGGACTTGGGCGGCTTTGGTCGTTTGGTGCGTGTTGTCTGGAATGGAAAGTTCTTCAATTTATCGTTTCAGAAACATCTGGAAGCCCAAAAAGGGTTTTTAAAAAGCCTAAAACCAAGCAAGGCCGAATTTCGAATAAGAACACCTTGAAAAAGTGCAAAAAACTAAAAAAAAAAATTATTTCTTAGTAGCCTAACGAACGAACTTTTCTGATCCCTATTAAAAACGCGTCATTAAAAAGACAAGATAAAATTTTAAAAAAAACAATTTTCAATAATTTAAAAACAACTCTTACTTGAAAAATCTTGCTTCACATAAGTCAAAAAACGATTATCATGATTTTTTTTATTTTTTGAAATGAAAGATTTGGTTCGAAACACAATAAAGGGAAGTTATTGCAAGGAATTGAATATTGGAAAAAAATCGATAAACATCAAGTTTACTCAAATTCCAAAAGGTGAAAAAGTTACTTTTTTTCTTAGAGAGTTCAAAAAAACTTTTTTTCTTAACTGCAACGGAAATTCAAATTCAACTATTTTCTTAAATAAAAATTAAAAAAATCACTTCAATTGAGCATCGATGTGCAAAAAGGCAGGTAAAAAGGAAAGCGAGCGTTTTTTTCCGGAGCCAGTTTGCGACACGCCAATGCAATCCTGAAAATATCAAAAAGTTTTCAAAAAATAAAATGTTTCTTACAAACCTTCCCACTCAGGAGTACTGGCCACATTTGTGACTGAATTGGCGACGGCTTGGTGAAGCCATTTTTACGAATTTCTTTCATAATCGCTTCTAAATTGTTCAAAAGTCCGAGAAAATCCAAGAAAATTGCTTTTCAAACAAATTCCTACTCCTTTTTCATGAAAATCCTCTTCAAATAAAGTAGTTTTTATTACTTTTCCTTTGAAAGACGTTCAAAAAGCCTTCAGTATTTATCCTACAAACCATTATCCCCAAAAGCTTCTTCAAAAGTGACGACCGGGTCTGGAATATCCAAGTTGCTCGATTCATCCAACGGATAAACCTCAAAAATTCTCATTAATTCCTTAAATGCGGTAGATTTATACATCCAAATGCTCTTTCAATTCTTTCAAGGCTTCAGCCGACTGTCCCGAATTTTTAGGCTTGTAGAGATCACGAATGATTGTCTTGCAGTCTAAAATTTAATACATTTTCATTTTTAAAAAGGACAAAAATCACCCTCGAATCTCTCATCCTTTTCCCTTGATTTTATAGCATCTTCAATAGAAGCATACCTCATTTTAGTCTCATCGGGTAAACCTGAAATAAAATCTCAAAAAAAGGCTGAAATGGCTTTGAACTAACTTCCAAACATACATGACGGCCCTTTGGATACCAGAGCAAGATTCATCTTCTGAAGCAGCAACAAAAAATTGCAAACAAACGAGTAAGAAAAACGAGGGGCAAGTTTAAGAAATGAATAAGATAACACAATGAGAAAGTTTTCCTTTTACTTTTAAAATGATGATTTTCAAGTTTAATTTCAAGTCATGAGTTCAGTTTTCTCTCGAGAAACAGGATATAAAACGAGAAAAAATAGTAACAGCTCCTAAAAACCTGTTAATATAATAAGCACCTTGAACGAGCATCGATAAAATTCAACAGTCTCGAGAAAAAAAAAAGCTGTTTTTCATTACATTTAGATTTTTCGAGACTTCAAACACCCAATAAAATTTCGTTGATAAGATAGAATAGAATATTAAGAACACAAAAACACAAAAAAATTTAATTGAAAATTTTCAATGTTTCGAAGAATGCGCTACCTTCACGCAAAATTGCGTATACGTCACATACAGTAGCTTTTTGATGTAACTTGATATTCAATTTATTGGGTGCAGATTTTTTTAATTTTCTTCTGAAACAAATATTTATTAATAAGGACAAAATATTAGAAATTTCTTCAAATCAAATGATTGTACACGTTTTGCTGCGTTGTCTGAGGCGTCGTTCATCGGCCGAGAAAATGGTCGCCTTGGTGGTTTTTTTCGTTCTCGATGAAGATTCAGCATAAAAACTTGTTGTTTCATCCTCTCTTTGCTGAAAAAAACATTCTTTTTTGAAGTCGCGAAAGCGGAAAACAGACTTTGCCTCGTCCTTCCGCCTGGACCTGATAGTGGAGAATGCGATAGGTCCCAACGATCGCATCTCTTGGTCCTCAAAAGAACTTGTTATTGAATGTAATGTTCGAATTTGAAAAAAACCTTTTTCCTGTGTATCCTCATTGAGCATTTCTTCCCGTATTCCATAACTGTTCATAATTCGCCAAACCTAAAAATTTTTTTTTTTTAAGGTGGAAAAAATGAGAAGTGAAAACACACCCGTGCATTTATGTCATTTGTTTCACTTTCGGGATCGTTGTCCACATTTGCGTGGATCGAAAGATAAGAGCGCGTGAATTTGCAATCCCTCATCCAGTAGTTTTTCTGAAATATATAGATCTTTAACGGCTAAGGGGTAAGACCCGGAACTCCTATAGGAACCACTTTTTCGGTCCCTTAAGGGGCCTTCGAACCCCTGAAGGGAAACTCTAAAGTTCCTAGGATCGACGCAACCCGCAACAAGTCGGGACAAAGCCTATACCTTGACATCATGGATAAGAGATCTCTTGGCGGGATCCAGCGTGAGCATCGACTGTAGTAAATGCGTCGCAAGAAGTGAAACATAGTCAGGTATAGTGTAAGCTCCTTGAATTATGACCTGAAGCTTGTAAATTGTCAAAAAAGAATCATCGAGAAGGAAACGGACAACTTTGAGCTCGGAAACGGTCTCGCCACGAAACGGCGTCACACCGACGAGCATAAAGTACAGTAAGACGCCGAGGGCCCAAATATCGACCAGTTCGCCGTTGTAGCTTTTGTCCCTAGATCGAAAAATTGTTTTGGAGATTTTTTATTTTCGTTTCAGTGTCGCTAGGGAAGCCAAACTGATTGTACAAAAAAAATTTTGGGAAAATTTCGAATTTGGTCGCTCTTGGAAAGGCTCAACGGCCGCGTTTGGAACAGTTTTCTCTGAATTGAGAATTTTCTCAGCAAGACTTTTCAATGAGACAAGGTTCACTGGACGTAGTTTTTCACGCTGATTCCAAATCTGTGCTCAAAATTTGCTCTCAAGGCCTATGAGAAAAATTAAGAGGCTGTCGAAGGTGAAAAAAAAAAATATTGGGCCTAAATTTGGATGGTAGATGTCTCTCTGGTCAGGAAAAACTAATTATTTTTCTCGGAAAATTCTTCCGAGTCTAATTACAAGCTCTCAAAGTTGCTAACACTTACTGACACCCCAGCGCGCAAGTCGTTTTGGGTCTGTCGCGTTTTTTTTAATGCCAAACGTTTGTAACTTTTTCTAAGCTTTTAATCCTTTGATTTTTTCCTTCTTTGAAAGCTTTGAAACTTCGAAAGCATGTAAAAAATATATATTTACAAGAAAAAACCTAAACAACTCGGGAGCGGCGTAGGGCGGACTCCCGCAGAACGTCTCCAGGGTCTGATTTCCAGGAACAAGGCAAGAAAAGCCGAAATCAACGAGTTTCACCGTGTTCGGCCCACTAAACATGACGTTTTCCGCCTTGATGTCACGATGGACCAGCTGTCGGGAGTGCTGAAAAAGAATCGACTCAAGTCCAAATTTCGGATTTTTCGTGGATTTTCGAGTTTTTAACAAACTCGTTCAAACTTTGTTCAACTTTTGAAAGTCCGAGAACTTAGATTCTAGCACCCGCAAACTACAAACGACCTCAAAACGGCCTCAAAAAGAAGAGCCTAAAGCTCGTTTTTGAGATCCTAAAAAGGTGTCAAAAGTTTCTTGAAATGTCTTTTTTTCATTTTTATGGACTCCCGCTTTTTTTACACCTCTTTGAAAGTTCTTAAACAGGTCTAGGTAAAAAGGGGCCTCAGAGGCCTTCTTTTCCAAAAGTTCTTATTTAGACCTTTGAATTTTACTCGTGAGTACTAAGCAGGCTTGGCACTTTTCAGGCTCTTTCTTTATTTTTCCTCTCTGAAATTGGTTGGATCACTACTGACGCTATAAATATTCTGAAAACCGAAAAAATCAGAAATTTTCGCTAGTTTTGCAACAATTTGCTGACATATAAATTCAAGAATGTCACGTTTCTTTCTGGGAGTTTCTTTTTAGGACCAGTTTAAAAACTGTTATTAATTTCTCTAGATGAGTTTCTTAGCTGTTTGGGAAAGTCTGACCTGTCTGCGCTCTCTTTTCTCTCACCAGCGAGGTCATACAAAAAGTGTCACGTCAACAGGAGAGCGCAGAGAAGTCAGACAGTTTCAATGTAAAGCTAAAAGAGTATCATATAGCCGATTCAAGACAAGCTTGGGACGCTAAGGGGGCGTGGCCTGTCCGCGCTCTCCACTAATCACGCACTCTCTCTTTTCTCATCGTGTCAGGATGGCTCAAGCAAGCCGAGACAAAATACGGATTTAACCTATGCTCCTTTGAATCCTTCATCAACTTCAAAAAAGCTCATAAATGACCACGAACCATGTGGGAAACTGCCGAAACGATCTGGGCGAAGAGTGGCTTCGCTTCGGCTTCTGTCAATTTGCCCCTCTCATGAACATAAGCGTAAAGTTCGCCGCCACCGGCATATTCCAGGACCAAATGGACCCTTGTTAACGTTTCCACGCACTGAAACATTAGGCATATATGTTAAAAATTGAAAAAAAAGAACAGAGAAACTTGTTTGAAAGGTTTCTGTTATAGTAAATCCTTCCCGACATGAGGCGCCTAAAGATCGGCACAACTCTTTCTCTAACACACACTATTTCGTCGTTATAGCTCCTTCGTCGCGACTTGACAGTTTTTGCGTGTCTGCGTCTTCCTGTGAGGTCAGAGAAAAATTGAAATAGCACGTAAACATGAGAGAGACGTCGAGAGATGAGGAGGGCGCAGAGAAGTACCGCCCTTTCAAGTCGAGAAAACTTACTTACTTAGATACTTAGATGGTCCATCTTCGCTTTCGACCTTTTATTGTTTTATTGATCGAAGCGTGGACCACACGTTTTCCAGGAGATCTTATATATCTAGCTACGAGAAAAAAAATAAAGAAATAGTGTGTTCCAGAGAAAGAGTTGTGGCGATCTTTAGGCGCCCGTTTCCAGAGTGGTTCCTATAGGGGTTAGGGAAACAAACAACCCTTAAAGCGGCGGAAAAGTGGTCCCTATGGGGGTAAAACTAAAGCCACCTACCCATCTCGTCTTCTAGGGGAAAGATTGACTATAAACTTTTTTTGATCCAGTTAAAATTCTCTGCACTCTTTTCTATCTGCAAGCTGTTTCAAAGCTTCTCTGACCTCACCGGCGAGAGAATAAGAGGGCGCAGACAAGTGAGACTGTTTCTAACCGCTATTCTGAGACTCTCAAGACTGTCAGAACCGCTATTTTTAGAAGGAATAAGTATTTTTAATTCAAAATTTCTTTGGAGGAACTCATGAATTTCATCCGAAAGAAAAAAAAGCGGGCCTCAAAAAGCTTGATAACATTGGGATGGTTCATCTTCTCCATGGACTGGATCTCCCGAGTCAATAACTTCTGGGCTTTTTGGTCCATTTTCGCCTTGTCCATGATTTTCACCGCCACTTTTTCTGCAAAAAGTTCAATTTCGAAGCATGATAGGTGAGAAAAAACCTTTAGTCAGGACGTGGATACCCATTTTGACCTTGGAAAAATTGCCAGCGCCGACTTCCTTTCCCAGCCGGTAGAAACCTATCCGTTTGCCTAGAGCTACCTAAAAAAAATTTCCTTACTGGGGATATTCTTGCAGAGGCTGAATTGAGTTAGAAAATGCGCTCTAAGGTAAAATTTTGATAGAATGATGAGTTATACTCCATTCACCACGCACGGAGAGAGAAAGAGAGCGCAGAGAGGTCAGAGAAAGAGATATAGTGAAGTTCAGAAGGTCAAGATAGAACCTTCAGAGAAAAAAATCATTGACTAAAGGAATGTGCGCTCCATGGAAAATCGGTATTTTTGACCTTTCTGTGCTCAGAATTTATTCCTATTTTTCTTAGTGGAGCGCTATTTCACGACTGTTTTTTCCCTCTTTTCAAAATTTGGTTCGTTGACAAGCTTTTGGAAAAATAAGAAGGAAGTTTGCTCCATGGAGAATCTAGCTCTTTATAATTGAACCTCGGTGACGGAAACCGGACTCGCTTTTAACGTTTCTGAGACATTCTAGGGATCCCTTAAGAGCACGGACGTCACTAGAGTGATCACTAAAAAACCTAAGACACGTCCGGGGTTTTCTGACTTCTCTGCGCTCTCTATTCCCGCATTTTCCTGTTTCTTCACACGTGAGGGATCAGAGAGCGCAGACAGGTCAGATTTTTTCAAGTCATAACGAATGAGGTAAGAGTTTTCTTTCCATTTTTCTCATTACTTTTTTGTTTTTTACCTCTTTCTGATAAACCGGGTCAGTGGCGAGCATATGGAGAGTCCTATCATACAGACTCATTTCGGCCATTTCCCTCAATTTTGCGCTAACTGGCAGGGATTGAGCCGACGCCGACCTGCTGAATGTGTCGTCGCGGGACTGCAAAAAAAAATAATAATCAAAAAACATTTTTTTGCTGAATCTAATGCCTTACTAGGATAGAGTGAAGAGATTTGAGCTTGCATAAAATAATAAATAGAGGCGTGAGCATGAAAGTTGAGCTGAGAAAATCGAGGAAGACTATAGAAAAAGGAAAAAAAATTTTATGCGAATTTTTAGCAAATAAAGATTTTTTTTCCTCACCAAAGCTCGTGTCGGGACCTCGTCATGACTCCTGGTGGCGATAAACCTTCCAGGCGGCCGGTCGTCGGCTTCCGACGCGTCAGAGTGCTCTTCACTGTCCTCCTGAGAAAATGTTCCCGTTGGAAAACGAAGAAAAGAACATATAAAATGAGACAATCACATGGAACAACACTATATAACTTTTTAAACAAAAATTCAACCTTTATTGTCGATATTTGTCTCGAGAAGGTTCTTCTATGCAAAGATGAATACATTTGAATTAGTCAACAGCATGGGTGGAAAGAAAATAATTTTTTCATGCACATATTTTTCCTTTCGAAGAGCGATCCAGGAAGATGGGAAATGAGAGGACGCACAAAAACAGAGAAAAACGGGAAACGCGTTTGCCGCCAGGTTTTGATTTCCGATTGCGTTAAATGAACATAAAACTTATTTGCAGGACCATTTTGAATCAAAAATGCTTTTTACTTTATCGATAATTTTTGAAAGGTACGGTATTTAAAAAATACGCAAACATAGCGCAGAAAACAAGCACGGCATGCTTATAAAATGACGCGCACGTTTTTTCTATATTTTTGTATTCTATTTTTTAATTTTTTCTAATTGTTTGAATAACCTACTCTCCATTTTCAATTAGTTCATTCTGTTTTTCAGTTTTCCTGTCGAAGAAAAAGTATTTTTTTAAAAGATTTTTCAGTTTATTTGAAGTATTTGACAAAAAACAAATATTGCTCTCAACTCATTCATATCTACAAAATCAGTCTATCACACTCACGTAATGTATATAGTTTGTTCATATATCCTTTCTAGGGTATGCAAAAGCGGAGAAGCCTTGCATGAAATGAGATATCATTGAAAAAGGCTATTCGTCTCGAAAAAGTTTTTTTTTTGGATTCAGTTTATACTTCTGTGAAAGGTTTTTGAACAAAGAACGAATAATAAACGTTATTTTTTTCCAAAAGTTTATCAGTTATTCTCTCTCTGAGTTTTTTTAATTTTTTTATGAAGCGATTTTATTAAAGGCGGAGACGTTTTCCGACCTAAATGAAACTGGAAACGGATTTTCGTCTTGAGACTTTTTTTGAAATATTTTTTTATAAAAAAATTTTTGGTTCTTCAACTTTCTAGAAAGGATTCTATACAGAAAAATTTAAATAGAAGATTATTTACTTCCAGGACAGAGAAAGAATGAAACATGAAGTCTTCGACAAGTGCCAAGCCTTCAAAAAGGCCAAATAAGGCAAGTATTTTGAGCTTTGCATGAAAAGAACATTCATTATATTCGTTTCCGGTTGTTCAATAATTCCAAACAAAAATCTCATTTTACCATGTTCCTCTAACGAGCTGCTTGCGGAAGGAAGCGAAGAAGGAGAATCAAACAAAGAAAAGGCCGTGTAGGGATAAATGTCAATAGGCGGCGATGGGGAATCCAAGAAGAAGAAGAAGCCTTTTTTCCGTGATCGGGGCGGGACGTGATAAGCCCTTCTTGCAGTTCATCATCACCATTAACATTTATCTTATCTTCGAGAGCCAAAAGTTTCATATTGAAGCAGGGATTGAACTTGGGTCCCTCGAGCGGCCATCAAATGCCCTACCAGCTGAGCCAAGTTGAGAGTTTGATTCTCACCTGAATAGATGCGTATGTCGGCGGTTCGCTGCGAATCTGACGTCCATTTTGGCGCATTCAGATTACGGTGGGAATCGTGGCGGGTTGAAAAAAGGGGAGATCGTCGTTGAACTGAAAAAAAAAAACTATCGAAGGTCAGAAAAATGAAAAAAAAAGCAATATAAGTTCGCTAATTGAGTTGAAAAAGGTTGGAAACTGTTGAATTTTTCAAAAATTTTTTTTTGAGGCGTTTCATTGAAAAACACAAAGGGCACCAATTTTGGTAAAAAAAATTGAAAATGACGGCGGTTCAGGGATTTTGCTGGATAATCCGATAACCAAAGTTTGGACCCCGTAAAAGGTTCACATTTTTGTCATTTTTCCGCAAGAAAAAGTTTTTTCAAGGAAATATCAACTCGAAGAAACCTTTAGGGAGTCAAAAATATACGAAAAATAGGCAGAGAATGATGTTTTCGACAAGGATCTCCATGGAGAAAGAGAACCCTACGGCTCATCTTCTTCTTATCTTTCCATCGGCCCTGATTGCCTAGAAAGCTCATCATTCCTCCCGAAAAAATGCTCATATAAGAGGATTAATCCGGCTAATCCGTCTGGATCAAGAGCCTTTAGCGAGCGGAAACCGGAACAGGTCGGTCCATTCTGTTGATTAGAAAAAGATGTCCTTTTTTGGAAGAAGTTTTCAAAAAATAAAAAAAATTTCCTCATGAGCTTTGGTCGGTCGGTGAACATTTGCGCGTAAGTGTCAATCTGTGAAATTTCTTTTTTTTTGGACAAGGTTTCAATTTAGAATGGACGAGATTTGGGGAGATTTAAATGCGGAATGGATTGAACTTTGCAGTCTTCTCGTTGAAAATTTTTTCTTGAAAGAATGAATTTTAAAGAAGTACATATATCCTTTAAAGCGTTGAAATCCTGTCCATGACTTCAAATTTCTTGGTGGTCGCACTAGGAATGGCTCAAGGAGTAGCGGCTGCTAAGCGACTATTAAAAGGGAGCGCCCGACCTCAAAACGACTTTCGCGCTCTGGTATAGCGGTCATTTTTAGAGGCCGCCGACTCCAAGTTTCATTAAATTAATATTAATAACACCTCCCTAAGGCTGTAAATTGTATTATATTTGATCGAAAAAATCTGGAATTTTCCAAAATTTTTATAAGCAAATTCTTCCTTCCGGCCTAACTAAGATCTGTACTTGCCTATCTATGATAGGAACACCTAAAGTGATATTTTTAAATTTCAAGGTGGTCGCACGAGAAATGGCTCAAGGAGTAGCGGCTGCAAAGAAAATACTAAAAAATGGCTGCACCCGACCTCAAAACTACTTTCGCGCACGTGGTCCCTATCCCAGAGCCTGTAAGTAGTTTTGAGGTCGGGTGCAGTCTTTTTGATCGCTTCACAGCCGCTACTCCTTGAGCCATTCCTCGTGCGATCACCAAGAAAAGCGGCTGCGAAGCGTATAAGAAAAGGTGCGCCCGACCTCAAAACGACTTCCGCGCACTGGCATAGGAACCATTTTTTAAGGCTGCCGACTCCAAGTTTTCCTGAAGTAAAATGAATAATACCACCCTAAGGCTGTAACTTGTATTATATTTGACCGAAAAAACCTGAAATTTTCCAAAATTTTTGTATGCCAACCCTTCCTTCCGGCCTAACTAAGATCTGAACTTGCCTGTCTATGATAGGAACACCTAAAGTGATATTTTTATTAGTGGTCGCACGAGGAATGGCTCAAGGAGTACCGGCTGCGAAGCGGTTGATAAAAATGGTGCGCCCGACCTTAAAACTACTCTCGCACGATGGCATAGGGACACCTAAAGTGATATTATCGTCGCAACCCGTTGAAAAACATCTAATACTATTGAAGGTTTCCAGTCGGGGATTTATAATGGAATTTCGTTTTCTATGTCGGTTCCTATCATTAAAAATGTGAAAAGTAAATGACAAAGAAGCGAAAAAAAGAAACCTTGGTGGAAATCGAACTTTTCAATATCCCATAAAATTAAAACTGTAAGTTTTTCAGACCGCAACTGCTCTCTCAAAAAGAGCTCCTAACTTGAAATTTTCGAATCTCCGACTTGCCGCCTTAATCAAAAAGAGTCTAGGCTATTTTCACTAATTCAAATCACAGAAAAAAAAGAAAAAAAGGATGAGTAAGAACGGAAAAAGAAGAGTCAACAAGGAGCAATTAGCCAAAGGCCAGAAGCTGGCACTCATTCAAAAAAGCCGAAGAACAGCCCGGAGATAATTGGCATGTGTGCGCGTGTGAGTGCATGTGTGTGTAATGTGAGGAAAGAAAAAGATGAAGCTGCCTTTTTTTTTTGATATCTCTCTGATAAGGAGCTCTAATCGCGCTCGTGGAATCCCTGCTCACCGCGGATTACGGTGTGAGCGCTCCCGATGCAGATTTTCTCATTTTGTTGATTTCTGGAATTTCTGAATTAGTCTCCGGCGAAGTTAGTATGATTTGATGTTTGTTGTTGTTATTGTTTGTGGGACGAGGGGGCCACTTGAGGGATGAGTTTTGAGATGAGCCTTAGAAAACTTTCGTTTGGTGGTTTGAGGCGTTCAGTACTTAAAGACACTAGAGGGATCATTTAAGGGATTAGGGGAAGTTCTTCTTAAGAGATAACTTGAGGCTACCAACCAGGTTTCGAAAAAAAAAAGTCGCGAACGGGACGCGAATCGGACGTGTCGGGGCATTTCTAGTGACCACTTTAGTGGCCTTAGCACTCCTAAGTGATCCCTAGAATCGCCCAGAAACGTCCGGAGCACGTCCGTTTTACGTTACCAATGTCCGAGTTGGTTTTGATTTTTGTTTAGGTGCAGATAAATCAGAAAAATTTTGAAAAAGTATATAGAGGTCACTTTAGGGAACACTCCAAGACTCTGAAAAGGGATTTTAAGGGTTTCTGCAACTGGCTTAACTTCTTAAAGGTCCGCTTGAGGAGCGCTAAGTGACCACTTGAGAGTTTTTTGAATAAAAACTTTAATTTCCTTTTTAACAGTTTCAAAATTTATTTAAAATCACTAGATACTCGATTTGAAGTTCTTAAGGGATCACTTCAAAAAAACTTCTGAAGAGCATGTTTGAGATTTTTTAATTTGAAAAAAACTAAAAAATCGGAGATCTCAAACGGCTTTAAAAAGAATTATTGTGCATTGAAACTAATGAGAAGCCAAAAAAAATATTAAAGCCATCCTAAATTACAGAGTTAAAAAGCAAGACAGAACCACATTTTCGAGAGAAGTAAACCAAAAAGTGAATAAGCTCTTCTTCACAAATATCAGAATATTATTTTCTTGTGAGCATTTCCGGGTCTCAATTACTAATCGCATGGTTAGCCTTACTAGGAAATCTCAAAGCCTATTAGATTTTCAGAGGATGCGGGGGAGGTTGAACTACGAGGAAAAAACAAATCAGAAGAAGGTGGAAGGATTAGAAGAGATTAATTGGATGAATAAGATTTCAAGATTTGGGTATTCTGAGTAGGGAAAGGTTGAAGACGGAGCTTTTTTTGAGAATTTTGGGTGTTTCTGAAAATTCTTGAATGCACTAGATGAGTCTAACTGGTTCCTTCTCGAGAACAACGAAGTTGTGCAGGTTGAAACTTTCAGGATCTTCATCTGGTACATCAAGAAGTGTTCTGGCCGATTTTCAGGGAGTTCCCAACCACAAAGTAGAATGAAAATCTACGTTCCTTCTCATTAGGGAACGGTCTTCATTCGCAGTGGGATTTCTGAATGAGACTAAGTTTACTAGATGTAGTTTTTACGCTGATCCCAAATCTGGTCTCAAAAACTGCTCTGTAGGTTTGTGAAAAGAGTTAGGGACTCTCAAATGTCGAAAGTTTCAGTTCCTCCGGATAAGCCATTTTTTTGTTATCATTTATGGACTCCAGGACCTTTTTGAAAATAAACATTAAATAGTTATTCGTGACAAGGGAAGCAAGGACTATAACCCTTTAAGAAATAGCTCAATCGGAGCCACTGTAAGTTTTGACTTTTGAGAGTCCCTAACTTTTTTCGCAGACCTCGAGGGCAGTTTTCAAGACCAGATTTGGGATAAGCGTAAAAAACTACATCTAGTGAACCTGGTCTCATTCAGAAATCTCACTGCGAATGGAGACCGTTCCCTTGTCAGAAGATCTGCATTTTAGGAAAATTATTTTTTGAATGAGAAAAACGGTAAGTTTGATTTGACAAACTATAAGATTCCAAAAAAACTGAGTTTTTTTCATATAGTTTGCAAAAAAATTCTTATCGGAAAAAAACCTTCAAAAAAAGGAGATATTTTGGTCGTGTAGGCAAGGTGTCGATTAATATTTGGTGGCGTATAAAAAATTCATTATTTGTCTTGTTATATATCAATAACGCATTTTCTCACAATTTTTCATGTTTTATTCAGGTTTCAAAAAAGAAAAAGACTAGGAAGGCGGAAATTTGAAAACGCCGTCAGAATATTTTTTTTTACTAGGAGGTCATTTTTCTTTGCGGTTTGGAATTGCTTGAAAATAAGCCAGAAAAATCCTTGATCTACTAGATGAAGATTCTGAAAGTCTCAACCTGCAAAACTTCTTAGTTCTCAAGAAATTAGGGTCTAGAGACCGACAATAGCCCATTTTAATGGTTTTTTAGGGTTTTCTCTGTCTTTTCTAGAAAATTAAAAATTTGTGGTGATTGAAACTTTCAGAATCGACTTCTGGTACATCAAGGAGCGTTCTGGCCAATTTTTCAGGAAAAATCCCAACCGCCAAGTAAAATTACTCCCATGTTAAAAACTTTTTTCTCGAAAAAATCGCAATTTTTTGAAAAAGTTCTGAAAAAGGTTTAGAAAAAAATAAAAGTATAAGACCCAGAAGGTTCTCACAAAAATGGCAAAACAAGAAATCGATTCCGGTGGGTTGCCCCCCTTTTTTCCGCTTCGATGAGACTTTTTTGGAAAAGTTCTTTTGCAATTTTTCCGCTTCGTTTCAGATTTGAGCATCGAACATGTTTTTCATAATATTTGAGGGGGCGAAATTTGTTTAAATGAGTCATATGCCGGGAAAACAGAAGTATGCTTTCATGTTTCTATGAACCCTATAGTTTGCGTGCCACGACTTGAAATTTCACGGAACGACATTCCGCTGCGTGCGTTCGCGAAGCGTCTTTCGAATCTAAATCACGCTTTCAATTGATTGTTACTGCTGTGGGAGCACATGAAAGTAGAGTACCTTGATAAAAGAAAAGAAAATTGAAAGCGCGACCTAGATTCACAAAAGCGCGCAGCGGAATGTCGTTCGGTGAAATTCCCAGTCGTGGTACGCAGGCTATACATAGAGAGAAAAGAGGGCGCAGACACGCCAGAAATTTTAAAACTGTGGCGAATGAAGCGGGCGAAAAAATCTCCAGGTCTACGAAATGACTCAAGATTTTTTTTTTGCAAGCATTTTTTCCGTGCAGGAAAAGGAAGTCATATATTATCCCTGGAGCATAATCTCATCAGCGGATTAGGCCGTGTAGAAATATTTTCCAGCTACTCGCCTTCCGTCCTTTTATCTAATCAAATCAATTGATAACAGTTTCCGAACGACAGCCTGAACCAGCCACCTGGAACGTTTCAAAACAATAGACGTCTCTTCTTTTTATCAGTCTGTGCGACGAAATGGGCTCGCCATTTTTTATATTCAAGTTTTGAGTCTTTCGAACTTTTGGCATGCTTGAAAAGTCGGTCGGTGGCCATTTTTTGAAAATTTTTAAAGATTTTTCAGTTCTGAATTGTTTAAGTTTCCAAAAATAGGTAAAATTATCGATTTTTTTATTAAGATTTAAGTTTTTAAAAACCAAATATTGGCAGCTCAAAAATAGGGGATTTTGTGTTTTTTCAATAAATTTCGTGTCAATTTTTAATTTTACCTGAAATCAAAATGTGTCAAGTGTTCATTAAGATTCAAACGCATTTTTGGGCGAATTTGGTTTGGAATTTTGGAACTTTAATGACGGCAATTTTCGAAAAACTGTCTTCAAAAAAATCGTCATATAACTAATAAAGGTACTTTAAAACCGTTAACATCTTTATAAAGCTCAAAACAACTTTTCAAAATTCGAAAACTTGAAAAAAATTCAGAAAAAAAGTGGCCGAGCCAGTTTATAATTCTCGCCTACAACAGTCCTCGTCTTCTCTAAGAAAAATTAGCCCCCATTGATCTTTCGATAAAACTTTTTTTGAAACCTTTTTCAACGGGAGGGGAGGGCTAAAAAAACTTTCCCTACATAGGCCAAGTCGGAAAGGCTGAAAAAAGGTTCCATATAAATGTTCCTTTAATCTGTCTTTTTTCGCCATTTCATCAGCTCTTATGGTCCATTTTTGCTGCCTCTCCCTTTATCCACCATTTCTTGAGCCTTCCAATCCCAAAAAATGGAAGGCTCGATAAAGGCTCTTTTTTCTGCCTTTCTGCAACCTTTTTTGAGTCTCTCCCTTTCCGTTTGCCCGAGTAGTAAGTTGAAATTTTTGAAACTTTATTACTGCAACATCTGCATAATCTGAGGAACATTCGCGACGGGGCGCAGTTGTTTCCTGAACGGCTGTTTATTGGAAGGAAGAGGGTCTCCGTTGCGGTCAGTCGTTTGTTTTGTTTTGACCCGTCGCGAATAAAGAGAGTCGCCAACGGCACACGAGAAGCCATCGATTTTCCGGCCCTCCTCCCGCCGAACATCTGTTTAGAGCCGCGAGTTCAAAAAATCATCTTTTTTTTTTGGTTTTTCCTCAATTTTCGGGACTTTTGTTTTAGACTGTCGGTTTTTATTGGGTTTCGAAGTATAAACCTGTTTTTTTGCCTATAATTTTCCGGTTTTGCTTGTTTTAGTGGTTTTTTAGAAAGAAGATATGTTTTTTTTGCTTATTTTTTAACGGAATTATTAAAAAAATATCTTTCGGATTGTTTATTTTAATAATAGTAATTTTTCCAAAAAATCGGCCTTGAACGTTTTTTTAGAGTCGCGAGTTTGAATATTTATGAATTTCTGGGGTTTCTCGGCTTTTTTTCCGAGCTTTTCCGATAAAATGGAATTTGCTAGTCTATTTATATATAGGAATGTTGAAAAATTTTTTTGTTCAAACCACCTTTTTAAAAACTTCTCCGGTCAAAAAAACCATGAATTTAATGAAAAAAACCAGAAAAAAATTTTGTTTTTTTGTTGTTACGGCGTTTTTTTGTGCTGTAAACCATCTGACAAAAAAATTTGAAGTTCTGAAGAAAAAAATAAAAACCATACTTTTTTTGATTTATACCTTTGGTCTCGAGCAAAGTCGGAATGGTGGATAATGGCCGCTAGTAGGGCGAGGCTCAAAAAAGGCCCCAGAAAGGCAGCAAAAAGGCCGCAAAAAGGCAGCAAAAAGGCCCCAAAAAAGCTGCAAAAAGGCCCCAAAAAGGCAGCAAAAAGAGTCCCTTTATCGAGTCTTCCATTTTTTCTGGTATCTTAAAAGCTCAAGGAATGGTGGAAAAAGGGAGAGGCAGCAAAAATGGTGCATGATAGCCGATGAAATGGCTCAAAAAGGCTGTAGAAAAGGAACCTTTTATGGAGCCTTTTTCCACCCTTTTTAACTTTGCCTCCGTGTCAAAATCAAGTCATTTTGAAATATTTTAAGTTGATATTTTTAGAAAAAAACTCTTATCTTCATTTTTTTATTTATGTATTGGATCTCATTGAAAATTTGGATCATGATTCTAAAAATTTTTAGCAGTTCTCATAATAAATGGAATCTGAATTAATGACCGCTTTTCCGTATTTGAACAGCTGTGACGATCGAAAAAAATTGAAAAAAATGTGAATATTTATTGGCTTGAATTGTTTATTTAAAACTTCCATGAATATAAATGACCTGAAAAGCAATTTTTCGTAGCTTCACAATAAAAAAAAACAAGGCCATCATTTCTAATTTTTTTTTTCACAACGCCCGCTGACTCATTCATTTCTTCCAATGTCTTTCACGCCATTCCGTCGCTTTTTCTCCACAACAAAACCGTTGGGATCTTTATCTTTGGCGGTTTTTAGTTTTACTTTTTGCGTTCTTCTATGAAAATTTCTTTTGTGGCCATCAAAAATTTTATTTGGTGATAAAAAAATTTTCTAATTTTTTATTGAAATACGACCACTTTTTCATCTTTTGTCAGGCATCATTAAAAAAAGAAAAAAAGGCCTAAAACGAAAAAATGATACGAATCTTACTCGGACCTCGGTAACGCAGAACGGACGTGCTTCGGACGAGTCTGAGCGATTCTAGGGATCACTTAAGAGTGCTGACGCTACTAAAGTGGTCACTAGGAATGCCCAGAAACGTCCGGAGCACGTCCGTTTTGCGTTCCCAGTGTCCGGGTATGTATAAAGCTGTCGCCAGCGCACATTCTGTCGAATTATTTCAATTTTTTTCAGTCATTTTTCCGATAATAGAAGGCTTCAAGGTTTGAATTCAAGTTTACAGTCCTTTCACAAATCTTTCTGGATCTTTTTTTAAAAGAAACTTATCGATAAAATAATTAAAGTTTGAAGTTCAAAGTTCAAAGGTCCTAGATAAAACGCCGTTTTTTCCTTTTTTTTCCTGTGTAGTTTTTCGTTTTTTTCTAACACTCTAACAACAAGTTTTTAAGTAGATTATATTTTTTTCATGAAACATGGAGCCTTCAAAAAAATAGCGCTATATCTTGGATAGCCTGTTTTAGAAATTTTCAGCTCCCTGAAGAGATATTGAAAACGTTGCTTCTCCAGTCGCACTTTATTCAAAAATTAAAAATTCCTCTCATTATTTGAAGATGAACTGTGCTGTTCTTGATCTGAACCAAGAGAAACTCGTTCCTGACGTTTCTCAAAAAAGAAAAAAAAAGGTTATCGGCATTACGGATCTTCGTCGCAACCGTGTCGCGGTCGCTTCGTTAAATAAACATTTTCCTCCCAAAAAAAGTCGACTCATTTCAGATCAACTACGGGTGGCGGGCGATGACGTCGGCTGGACTGCTGGAATGGCCTCCGCAGGGTCTTGCCGCGGTTTGTTATCGATTTGAAACTGTCTGTCCTGTCTGTGCACTCTTTTCCCTTATCCTCATCCCTAAAAGTGTTCTGGAGTCCGCTTGAATCTTTCCTTTTCTCGATGAGAACGAATTTTTCAAACTTTTCCATCGGAATAATTAATTCTTGATAGGTTTGCTTTTGCATTCGACTTGAACATTTGATTTTTCATTTTGAGCTGATTTTTCTAACTTTTAAGATTGATCTCTTAAGTGGTCACTAAACGAAATTCAGCCGGTCCCTTAAAAAATCAACAGTAACTAAAGCACTCCAGAAGGGCCCCTATAGGTGCAACCTTGGAAGCCCCTCCAGGGACCACTTTACCAATCCCTATAGGGGTCACTAAAGCTTGTATTAGTGGTCCCTACAGGGGACATGATCTTCGATAATTTTTATGACTTTTAGTCAAAGAAACATTTCCATGGAAAAAACTTAATAAACAAGCGTTTTTTTTAATGAAATTGAGAGACCCCTATAGGGTCCACTTGAGCTTTAGGGGCCAAGGGGTCAGACCCTAAACTCCTATAGGGACCACTTTACTTTTACCCCTTTAGGGACCATTTTTTCGGCCTCTAAAGAAGTTGTTTTTGCCTCTGACTCTTATAGGGCCACTCTGGGATTCTTAAAAAAAAATATTCACCAAATTTTTCTTTGAAGGTGATTCCAACAGATGAAATTCAAAATTTCACTTAAGTGGCGACTTGAAAGATTCAACGTGGTCTCTTGGAAGATCCAGGAAACATATCAAATCGAAAGTTTTAGGCTTTTTGAAGTTTCTAGGCAAAGAAAGTCAAACAATCGAGCAAATCCTGATTCTTCTCAAGTGGTCCCTTGAGGTTTTCAAGAGTTTTTAATGAAATAGAGGAACTGGGATTTGCTTAAAAATTGGCCAGAGTACTCCTTGATATACCAGATCAAGATTCTGAAAGTTCCAACCTGCCCAACTTTCCTATTTTTGAGCCGCGAAATAGCCTATTTTAATGGATTTTAAGGGTTTTTTGACTTTGAGGTGCCGTTTCTCGGAAACTAGAAAGTTGTGCAGGTTCATACTTTCAGAATCGTCTTCTGGTACATCAAGGAGTACTCTGGGCAACTTTGAAACATATAAAATTGACCTAAGGCAAGAAAATATTCTCAGACAAGAACCATCGCCGACAACATCTACGGTTCGATCCTGGTGCCGTCGCCGTTGGAGGCGCTCATCGACACGGAGGAGTTCCAGCGGCTCCGCGAGCTCAAGCAGATCGGCGTCTCCAACTTGGTTTATCCGTGCGGCGAGAGCTCCAGATTCGTCCATTCCTTGGGGTTGGTTTGAAGTTTTCCGCTTTGGGAGCTCTCTGCTACTTTAAGCAGCTTTCAAGGAAGGAAATTTTGTTCTGTTTTCCTGAAATTTGTTCAGAAAAATCTTGGATGTGCGAGATAAAGGTCCTGAAAGTTTATACCTGCAAAGCTTGCTAGTTATCAAAAAGATAGACCTACAAACCAAAGAAAACCATCAAAACTCGCAAAAATAGGCCTTTTTATCTTTTCTCAGAAACTAGGAAAAAATTGACTGTAAACGAAAAAGCTTTTTGTAGTGCAATCTCATCTTTCTCTTTTCTGAATATTACTTGTGTCTCGACTCGGGATAAACAAATTCTTCTTCTGCTCCAGCGTTTGTCCCGCTCGGTTTCGGGGCCCGCCATTGTGGATCGTTGGCGCCATTTTATTTGATCGGCTGCATGGTCTGGGAGTAGTCTGGTGTTCTTCATATCGTTGTTTTGGCCGCCCTCTTGGTCTTTTTAGAGCGACTTCCATCAATAAGCAACGTTTAGCAACAGATTCGTCGTTAGCTCTGAGAGTGTGGTCGTACCATCTCATTCTGGCTTCTCTCATCTTTTCCGTGATTGGTGCTACCCAAAACGTTTTCTGATGTCCTCGTTTCGTACGTGGTCCAGTCGTGTGACTCCTCCGGTCCATCTCAGCATCTTAGTCTCCATGACTGCGAGTCGGCGTTCGGCTTCTTAGGTCACAGGCCAGCATTCGGTTCCGCAGAGTGCGACGGGACGGATCACGTAGATTTTTGATTTCAGTCGGTCACTTATCTTTGGGTCGCACGGTACGGGATAAACAAGTATTTATTATGTTGAAAGTTTTGAAGCCTACATGGTACGAAATAAAATTCGAAAAAGTTTTTCAAAATTCATTCAAAGTCCCTCATTTTCAAGTATCCAAGTTTCTTTCAGTGCTTACCACCTGGCCTCGACACTGGTCACACATTTACGGTTATCGCAAAAAGAGCTCGAAATCACCTCAGAGGAGCATCTTTGCGTCTCAATCGCTGCCTTACTTCATGATATTGGTACTCATATTTTTTTTTCCTGATTTTTTGGAATTTTCCAGGTCATGGCCCTTTTTCCCACATGTTCGACGGGGGGTTTCGGAAAGCAGTTGGTGGAAAGTGGAAGGTAAAAATGACTATTTTTCGAGAAAGACATGAAATTGTTGTTGATTCGATGTTTCTGTGATATAGGCGATTCACAGCGGGGGCGTGGCCTGTCTGCGCTCTCCACGAAGCATGCGCTATCTCTTTTTTTCGTGTCAGGACCATTTTCTGGAAGGCTCAAGTGAGCCGATGACCAGCTGTACATTACTGAGAGGACACTAAAAAAATCCTTCTAAAAAAAAAACTTCTAAAGAGTTACTTAATTTTAGCCACTCAAATGATCACTAATTCGACTATTACAGTGGCCACTAAAACGTCGAAACCCTAGAAATTTCAGATTTTCATTATTTCCCAAAATTTCTAGAGAAGCTTTTCAGCACGAAGACATGTCTATCCGGTTGTTCAGACGGATGATAAGCCGAGAAAGCGTCCGGTCGGCCTTGTATCCCTACCTGGGCACTGGAGAACAGTTTGAGAGGAACGCCTGCTTCATCACGGAGCTCATCTCTTCTAAACGATTTGTTAATTTTTTGGAGTTTTCGAGGTTTAACAAAGGTTTTTTGCAGAAAACCCCACTAGACGACAATACAGTCTCATTGACGGATCCGATGGAGAGGAAAGAGGTGAGAAGTCCTTCCAAACGGTCTTGACACGATAATTTCTTCAAAATTTTTTTGTGTTTTTGCTGTTATTTGTTAAAAAATCTATACATTAAGTGCAAAGTATTTTTTCTAAAAGGCTCTAGAATCTTCCTAGATTTTGAGATTCGAAAAAAGCTGCCTTGAGGAGCATCAAAAATTGCTTATGACTTAAAGACCATAGAAGAAATTTCTATGCTTTTCCTAAAAAAGTCATGAAAAGGAGTTTTTTGAGCAAGTGCGCGCCAACGAGCCAGTTCTCTCATTTATTATTTTTTTTTCTAGTAAACTCGGGCTGAACGGACGTTCTCCGGAGGTTTCTGGGCATTTCTATTGACCACTTCAGTAGCGTCAGCACTCTTAAGTGATCCCTAGAATCGCCCAGAAACGTACGGAGTGTGTCCGGTTTTCGTTACCGAGATACGAGTAGTCTCGAAAAAAAAAAAATGAATTGCTAGCCCATCACGAAAATTGAGCGTTAGAGCTCACTTTACATATGAATATAGTCTGTGTGCCACGACTTGAAATTTCACCGAACGACGTTCCGCTGCGTACGGTCGCGAAGCGTCTTTGCCTTTGCGAATCTAGGTCACCTTTCCAGACTGTTTTTATTACTGATAGATGGATTGTTCCACTGCGAGTATTTGAATGAAAGAAAATTTTGAAACCGCGGCCGAAATTCGCCAAGGCGCCCGGCGGAACAGCGGAATGTCGTTCGGTGAAATTTCAAGTCGTGGTACCCAGACTATAAGTGTTAATTTTTTTTAAATCACATAACGGAAACTAAATTTAAATAGACTTTCAAAAAATGGCATGGTCTTCATGAACAATGTTCGTCATTCCAGATGGCTGAAGAGTCTTGGAACGCGAAAGGAAGACCAATCGATCGATCCTTTCTCTACGATATCGTATCCAACGACAACGATGGACACGACGTCGACAAAATGGACTATTTGTTGAGGGACAGTGCCGCAACGTCGATTCCCATATCGCTCAATAAGGTTTAGGAGATTTTAAAAATTCAAAAATATGACGAAAAAGAGAGATCGAGAAGAAAAGAAGGAGGAAGGACTTGGGTTCTGGAAAGAAAATTTATTAGAATTCTTCAGAATTCGGTGGAGCGAATTATCGCCAATTGTCGGGTACTCGAAGATCCTGTCTGGGGGTTCCGACGCATCTGTTACGCTACTAAGGTCTGAACTGACAAAATTTGAAAAAAGTCTGATTTCTTTGCGCTCTCTCGTGTTCTTGTGCTATTTTCATTTTTCTATGACCTCTTCGGTGAGTTCTTATTCAACATATTGAACTTGCTAGATTTTGAAAAAAGTCTGACTTCTCTACCCTTAGGGGGCGCAAAGCCCCGCCCCTTCACGCCACCAAAATGACGATTTTTTTGTTGCAAAAACGGTTTTGAGGCGTTTATACTAGCTAAAATCCCACTTTAAAAATGAACTGTTTCTGTTAATCTATGTAATCGACAACGCTCTACAAGACTGAATATTTTTTTAAACTATGTATTTTTTTCAAAAAAATAAGCGAAAAAAAGTAAGATTTAACACGAAAAAAACTAACAAGTTTCACAAAAATCGTCGCGTTTCAGAAAAACCAAGTGAGGAACGCTTCTAAATTTTAAGTATGTTATACATTAACACTTTCTTTATTTTTTTGAGTGAAAAATGAAAAAAATCTAACGACGCGAAAAAAATATTAAAAGCTTGTAAAGTGACACCAAACTTTGAAGCTGAAATGCGAAAAAAATTTCAGCGACAAGGTATACTTTTTTTATTTGATTAAAAAAAGCTCACAATGTGTTCAAAAAAATAAAAAAATTCAGAATGAAAAATAATTATTGGGACAGCGAATCAAATTATATTTGAGTTTTACCAAAACCTCCTTTTTTCGCCTGCCTCGTTGACGCATGAGAAAATAGGATCGCGTCTATACTTTTGATCAGGTTATTAAGCGTTCAAAACTCCATCAATGAAAAAATTATGAAAAAAATCGATCGACGCGAAAAAAATAACGGCTTTGAAAACCTCGAAAAAAGGGCAATTTTTTTTGAAATTTTGGAGGATTTCGTGCAAGTGTCCGTAGCAGTGTTTGCGTCAAACACACCGATGCGCCCTTTTAAATGTCGCAGGAGCCGTTTTTTTCGGAGTCAAATTGCACTTTTTTTCCTGTTTTATTTCGAAATAACATTATTTTTTTCATTTTTTTCTTTTTTTCCTAATCGAATGATAATAATTTTTTTCTGAGTAGAAAAAAAGAAAAAAATAAGCTGAAAAAAATCCCTTTGACCTTTTTTTCTAGGTAGTTTTTTTGATATTTTATCAAAAAAATTCTTATGAGGATTGTACAAAAGATTCATACCAAAAACATGAAGCTCAGTCCGGACAACCTCTCAGAACAGAAAACCGATTTAAAAACGGTCCAGAAACGCGCAAAAACATTTAAAAAGAAAGCGTGCGGCAGCGGGTAAACCGTGAGATTTTGCCTCCAGTTGTACGCCGCGTGCGCTCGTTTTTTGGCCATAACTTTTTTCTTAGTGAAGCTTTTTTCAAAAACTAAACGGATGATCTCCTCTATCGAACAATGTGAAAAACATAATTTTTGAATCGTTCTGAAGAAATGGCTTGCGGTCCCTATCTACCCTCTCTCATTTTTACGTGCTATTTTTATTTTTCATGATCTCATCGGTGAGGTCCGACTTATGCTACATTTGACACTATTTGGAAAACGTCTGATTTCTTTGCGCTCTCTCATTTTTACGTGCTATTTTTATTTTTTCATGATGTCATCGCGGAGGTCAGCCCTATGCTACGTTCATCACTATCTCGAATAAGTCTGATTTCTTTGCGCTCTCTCACTTTTATGTACTATTTTCATTTTTCTATAACCTCATCGATGAGAGGGAAGAGAGCGCAGACTTGTCAGACTATTTCTTCCTTTTTCCTCATAACCCCCGATTTTCCAGGTAATGGACCTGGTCAAAGCAATTGGCGATTCCAGACAAGAACTTCACGCCAAATTGTACCAGCACAAAACTGTCAGTGCGGCTGAGAAATTGTTAGTCACTTTTGGGAGGTTTTAAGAAGAATATCAAATTTAGAATGGTCAAAATGCTGGTGACGGCGAGGAAGCACCTGAAATTCCGAGGCGATGACGGACAGATTTACGATTTGGAGAATGTGACCGAAGACTGTGGGGCCTACTTGAAAACGACCGATTCTATTGTAAGACAAGTGAGTTTGAAAGGGGAAAAAAGAGATTTATAAGCTCTTTGGTCACGGCGTTTTTGTTGGTGGAAGAAAATGCAAAACCAAAAATTAAGGGGCGTGGTCGAAATTTCTTCCGTTCCCATGTGACTTAATGGGAAAAACGCGTAAACAACAGGAATTATTAAAGACGCATAAATGGGTTCCGAGAAGAATCTATTTCTCATTTTAAAAAAATGCCATTTTTCTGTTTTTTTTTGTTTTAAAAAACATGCCGTGTAGAAAGTAATTCCGCGAAATTCGAAATAGCCACCAGAGAGTGAAAAATATAACTGAATTTCCGTTCGCGAAAATTACGTCGAACGCGGCGTGTGCCAGAGCGCCGCAGTGTATGCACACGACACACTAGACTTTACGGAAAAAAAAAATAAGGGTGGGCCGTCGCCAAAAAAAAAGACCGTGTGAAGGCCATTAGAGGGATTAAACGCGAAAAATTTTAAGATCCCTTTAGTGGCCACTTTAGAACGTAATAGCCTTGCTAAGTTTTCAAGTATGTCCATTTTTTGTATCAGAATACTGAGTTGGAGAGAGATCAGAACTAGAGTTCTCAAAATGACCAATTGAAAAAAATGATATTTTTTTCAAAAAAACGAAAAAAATTTTTCTTTTTGACATTTCAAACGAATGTCGTTTTTGAAAGATCAACCAAAATTGATCACTTTCATTCTTTTCATTTTGTGACTTTTCAAATAATGACTGAAAAATAAATGGTCATTTTCTAAACAATCATATTCTGACTAGTAAATAAATGTTCGTCCTAATGACCAAATTTTTCAAAGTGAAAAGTAAATGTTCATTTTTTTGACCAAAATTTTCGAAATGAACTTTAAATGTTCATTTTTTTGACCAAAATTTTCGAAATGAACTTTAAATGGTCACTTTTTTGACCAAAATTTTCGAAACGAATTTTAAATGTTTACTTTTTCGTACAAAAAAATTTTTTTTTCAACTGTGAAAATTAAATGTTTATTTTTTGGCCGATAATTTTCCGAACCTGGATTTTCCGAACCAAAATCCAAATCAATACTTTTCCTTTTTCCTCATTCAATTAATTCTCCAGATAGCACCTTTCTTCCGGTCTGCTCATTTTTGACCGGTTCCATATAATTTTTCTCGTCCTTAACCGGCTTTTAGCTTTGCCCTTGACCATCCAGATCACTGTTTTCCAACAGATTTATTAATTTTTAACCAGAAATTAGTTTGAATTTCGAAGTAATCGATTCAAGATTTCATTTGGAGAAGACTGAGACAGAATTGACTCCGGCACAGATACTGCCAAGTGCCGTAATAGTGATGAATAAATGTTTACCTTTTTTTAAAAAAATTTTTTAAATTAATTTTAAATGTTCATTTTTTTGACCAAAAATTTTCAAAAAGTGAAATCTAAATGTTCATTTTTTTGACCAAAATTTTTCAAAGTGAACTTTAAATGTTTACTTTTTTTGACCAAAAAAATTTCAAAATGAAATTTAAATGTTCATTTTTTTAACCAAAATTTTTTTCGAAAAAAATAAGTAATTATTCATTTTTTTTAAATGCTCAGTTATGAAATTTAACCAAAATGAAGTTTTTAACAAACGGTTCATGTGAAATTTAACTAATTGGTCGAATTCATCAAACGTTCAGAAAATGTTTGGTTGAACGTTCGTTCAAACATTTACTTTTGAGAACTCTAATCAGAACATTTTTTGGATTTTCTACCGATTTTCGATAAATTCACAGAGCTTTATTATAGAATCGCGTCAGGAATAATATTTTTTGATCAGATTTTTCTTATACGAAGATCCTTCTTTTTGAAACTTTGATAACGGTTTTTTTTCTGCAAGTTGAATTTTAGCAGCGTTTTACATTTATTGGTTTTTACAACTCAAGGAAGTTTCATAGAGATCTAGTTTCATACAAGAAAATTCTGATCAAAATTGTCATTTTTTTTTTCCAACACAAAATGGAAATATAAACAAAGCTTTGATAATTTTTAAATCTCCTACATTAGATTAAAATCCAGGTGCTCAATTCAACCGAAGACGAGCTTCAAGAAGCACGCGAAGCCTTGCAAGCGATCCACCAGCGGAGAATCCCGGCAAAATTGGACGAGTTCCAACTTTCGCCCTCCAAAGTCATCGATGTCCGTCTTTTTTCGTTTTGCCTGTGCTTTGCTTTATGTTCTGATCTAATGCTATTTTCACACTGGAATGTATTTCAATAGTTCATTCACAACTTTCTTAAGTCATTTTCTGAGAAAAAAAAAATCACTGGATTGTCCTTAGAGCGCGTATTCATCCTTACAGTTACCTGTGATTTTTTGGATGAATTGCAAGTTTTTTGATAAAATTCATGAGAAGGGAAATTGAGAAAAAATCGCCGCGCTAAATCAACTCGAAAAAGGAAAGTGCGCTCCACGGATAATTTTTGAAAAATTTCGATTTTTAGGGTGTGAGTAGATATTCGCCTTGTGCACTTCCTAACTTAAAAGAAAACAAAATTTTCAATCCAAAATTTTTTTTTATTGTCATCGGAGCGCATTTGAAACAATATCAGCGGCTATTTTTTCTCCTTATTTGTGGTAAAACAGGTGACGGTATTGATTTTTACAGGAACACACAACTAACCAATGCTTGAACGGGTCGTCGGCGTCCATTGCGGTTTTATTTTGGAAAATAATGGATCATGCATTTTTCTAACTTTATAGGATAGTGTTAGAGCCGCGTTGGAAGAGCGCCTGGCCGCGAAATTCGACGGGAAATTTGTGTTGTTGGTGAGTGGGAGGAAAGAAATGATACAATGTTAGAAAAGCTTTGTAAATTATATACAGTACCGCTCAAAAGTCTATTAAGTTTTGGTTTTTTGGGGATATCTCAGCGAGTACTTATCCGATTTATATATAACTTTCAGGGATAATGTAAAATATACTTTGAAACATATACGGTATACAAAGACATGTCCGCAATGACTGTGACGCGTTTTTAGGCATTTTTTTATTGAATTCCATTTTTGTTTTTTTTATGCTTTTTATTTTTTTATTTATTTTTTTATTAAATTTTTTTAAAAATTAATAATGTTGCCATATGATTTTTTTCATGTTTTCAGACATGGGAAGAACCTTTGGAAAAAAAGAATTTGACTGATAACGACAAAAGAGCCATCGTTGTGGGTCGTCAAAAATGGACTGACCATGATGACGTTGGCAGGAATGTTCGGCGTGACAGAAGCGGGCATTTCTCAGTTCCTAAAGCGTCAGAAAGCTCAAGATGGCTCTACTAACAGCCAACGCACTGGAAGACCACGTGTCACTGACCGTAATGACGATGGAATCATTTTTAAGACGTCTAGAACCAATCCAAGACTCACCGCCCCTGCGATCAGACGGGAAGTTTTCTTGAATTCGCCATCTCCGCCATCCGTCTCGACCGTGAAACGACGTCTGAATGCTGCTGGAATCATGGGAAGACGTCCAGTGAAGAAACCGCTGATTTCTGAAAAGAATCGAGTCGCCAGGGTGAAGTGGGCGAAGGAGCATCTCAACTGGACCCGTCGAGACTGGAACAAGATTCTGTGGTCCGACGAAAGCAAGTTCCTCCTCTTCGGGAGTGACGGAATTCAGTGGGTTCGTAGACCAATTGGGTCCAGATATCATCCGAAATACCAATTACCCACCGTGAAACATGGTGGAGGTTCTTGCATGGTGTGGGGCGCCTTCTCTGGAAGTGGCATCGGACCGCTTCATCGCGTGAACGGCATCAAGGACAAGCACGTCTACAAAGACATTCTCCAGAACCAGATGTTGCCGCACTTGAGAGCCATGGGCCGTGGGAGTGTTTATCAACAGGATAACGATCCCAAGCACACTTCACTGTTCGTCAAGGTGAGAAAAATTGACAAGTAATTCGTATGGTTTTGAAACTCAGGACTGGTTCAAGAGCCGTCGGGTCAATGTCATGGGGTGGCCAAGTCAATCTCCGGACCTGAACCCGATCGAACATCTCTGGGAAGAGTTGGAGCGACGTTTTTGCCAACAAAAGAGCCAAGAATTGCAACGAGAAGTTTGCTCAACTGCTGTCTGAATGGAATCAGATCCCCATGTCTACCATCGACACTTTGCTCAATTCTATGCAGAGAAGATGCCAGGCAGTGATTGACGCCAGGGGCTTCGCAACCAAGTACTAGGTCCCGAATATTGTTTTAACAATGTTTTGTGTTGATAAAAATTTTTTTGTTGAGCTATGATTTTTTTAATTGAAAATAGCAAAAAAATTCGATTTTTTTCGAAAAATTCGTTTTTTTCTCGAAAAAAATTATTATTCTTTGAGCTAGCAACTTGAAATTTTGCCAGAACACGTATGTCTCTCTCAGAAAACTATGAAAAAAATTTGAATCGATATCGCACTTCAAAAAAATTTATCCCCAAAAAAACCAAAAACTTAATAGACTTTTTGAGCGGTACTGTAATTATGGACAGTTTCGATTCAAAGTTTACGATCACTGAGAAATCTTTTGGGTCCATATAGAGGGTTTCATATGGGCCCTGTAAGGGAACCCTACGTTCCCATATAGCAGAGCTGTTCTCGGGGCGGCCCCGGTCGACCGAGGGCGCCCCGATTTGCGGCGTGTTCGAGGGCGGCCACGGTCGGCCTTTGGTAAGGGTCAACTCGGTCGACCCGTAGATACAAATTTTTTTTTGACTCCCGGTTTTTTGCGAATTATAAGAAAGCGAAAGAAGCGCAAGTTTTACTGAAATGAAAGTGAAACGAAAAAACATTTTTATCGAGCACATAAAGAAGAAAAACCGATGAAATGAGATATTAATCCGAAAAATTCAATAGTTTTCTAAGTGGCCAGAACAATTTACAGAACTAGAGAAAAACAAAAATAATAAATAAGAAATAATTTGAAATTTTCACATCATCAGAATTTCATTTTCGCAAAAAAATTTCATTCAAACCACTATTTGAAATATTATTTTTTTTATTTACAACGAGAAAAAAACGAAAAAAAGATTCGAAAAAAAGTGAAATCAAAAAAAGCCCGATTTCTATCAAAAACAATAAAATTAAACTTTTCATGGATCATAAATAACTTAAACATTCATTTTCAATATGAAAAACCGAAATAAAAACAAAAAATACGGAAAAAAAATCCTCGCGCTCGCTTCGGGGGCCTGAATGAAAACCGCTTCGCGGGCCGGGGCGCTCCGGGGCGCGTCGCGGTCGGGTCGGGGCGGCCTCGGCCAGGGTCGCCCCGACTTGAGAACAGCTCTGCCATATAGGGTCCTCAAAATTTGGAACCCTCTAGGGGCCCAATTTTGCCCCTGTAAGGCTCCCTTTAAAACAAACCCCTATAGGGACCTCTTATAAATTCCTCAGCATCGAGAGGAAAGAATTTTTCAAAAATTATCACTGGAGCGCGATTGCTAAATTTTGCTAAATTTTTTTTGGGTATTTTTTATAAAAAGTTCGCATTTTTGTCTTTCCTGCGTTATATTAGTTTTTCTGGTAGAAATTTCATTCTAGATTTTTTTAGAAAAATAGTTCAAATTTTGGAGATTTTGTTTATCAAAAAAATACGAATTTGAAGGATTTTTTTCGAGATTTTTCCCTCCTTTTTTTAACAAGTTGGAAAGCTCATTCACGATTTAAAATCAAGACAATCTCATTTAGTGATTGAAAATTGAAAAAATAACTATTTCAGATGCGAGAATTGAACCGAGGACTTGACGGCTTGACACATCCGATGGCCAAAGTCTTGCTTTTCGATAATCGAGCCCAAAATCCGGTCGCCTTCCAATTTCGATCTGAATATGTTGGCATTTGAAATGAAATTATTTCATCAACTTTTCGGCTCCAGATCAGACTATATTGCACCCAAGAAGCGGCGATCTGGTCACTATGCCTCTATGGAACCCGGAGCCTGACGCAGGAGGAACGAAAAATGATCCGCGACGAGTTTTGGAAGTACCTGGTTGAGGCGAAACTCGCCGACCCGGTCAAGGTTCGAAATGGAACATTTTAGAAAATGTTTGGAATTTTTCAGACCTCCGTCCGACGGATGAACTTTGATTGAACCTGAGAAATTGCTTCAAAAGCACGTTTTGTATTGAGAATTTGGAATTTTGAGCCGCGAGGATTGGCTTCTATTGCGCTCCATTGAGAAACATGGTTTTTTTTTTTCGCAGAAATGAGTCAGCTTTTGTTAAACTTGAGTTCTTTTCAAGCCAAAGGATCCCAAATTTCTTGACTCCGATCTCCAAATTCTCAATTGCTATTTGTTCAAAACTTCATAGTTTATTGAATATAAAGAGTTGTTATGGTGTTGGCTCCGACCGAGTACTGGAAATATGAATTCGGGTTGCTCGTGTCCTTCACGACGACCGTTTTTGCAGTGTCCTGGAAAAATTCTTAGAATCAAGTTCCGGAAGAGTTGAGAAAACCGTTGCATTATTAAAAGCGACAAGAACCCTGGAACCGTCCGGATTGACGAAACCAGTCAACTGCAGGGAAGACTTTACGCTGGCTTGAACATCGATTTTGTAGCCGTTCGGTAGGGCGAACTTGCTGGAAAAAGGCTCGAGTGATTTTTAACGCATGTAAAACTTTTTTTTAAGCTGAAGATAACTGCCGGCGCGAGGTCGCTGGCGGTACATTGATAACCTCGCAAGTGTACTGCATTGTCGCCTTTTTTTCTTTGCGCGAAATCGCGTTTATTTCGCGATATCGCATTTATTGCGTGACATCGCGTTTCTCTCAAACTCGAAAAAAAAAATTAAAGATGCGAGATCGCGCTAAGGATATGTAACACCGGCGCTGCAAACAAACAGAAATTACGCGATATCGTCAATGTGACAGCGACATCGCTTTTATCCCGCAGATTGAGAATACCAAAATGAAACTTTTTTCAGGATAAATGCATATTTTTGAAGGAGAATACTCAAATTAAAAGTAGATCTTTCTCTCCAAGAAAATTTTAAAAAAAAATTCGCCACACTTGAAAAAAATTCTGGTCTATCTGCACTCTCTCATACCTCACTCTATGAAACAAAAAAAGAGCGTAAAGCGTGTAAAAGCGAGAGAGCGCAGAAAAATCCTACTTTTTTCAGATAGGGAAGCGAGACATTAGCGATTAGAAGAGACGCCAGAGAAGCAAGAAATTCTCACTTCTTTAACGTCTCTTCAGATTTTTCAAACCTCACCTGAAATGTCCCATGGCGTACCACACCGGCTGCTTGTAGTACTCGGTCTGATTGGCAAAGACGATGATCGGGCCGTCGGCCGAGTTGTTGGCCCAGTTGGGTCCGGCCGCGGGATCCAAGGCCATGTTCCAGTCCATGAATCCCGTTGACCAGTTGTTCATGTCGCCGATGATGTCGGCGGTGATCTGCTCGGCTCGGTCCCAAGAGCCTAGAAGAGGCTTGACCGCCCAGCTCTGCCAGCCTGGACACGACTGGAAAAATGAGAAATTTAGAAAGAACCACATTTCCCAAAAGCTTCACCTATTGAAGTATGCATATTTTGTTATTCACAGTTCGCTTATGACTATTTAAATCTTGCTGATTCTTCCCCCACCTCAGTTCCGAGGATGAACTTGTCGGGGAAGGAGTTGTGGACTTGGGTCAGGAGTTCGGGACCAAAGTAATCGTCGCTGTACCAATGGGCTCCGATGCCCGCGACGTAGACCGCGGCATCGATGTCGGCGAGGATCTGATTCATGGAAATATTGGTGGACGACAAGCCGATGCTCACAACGTTGGCGTAGGTTGGAATCTGGTTCCTGTTGTCGTCGACGATGATAATCGACACGTTCTTCCCGTAGATCGAGGAACGGAGGGCTGGGCCGAGGAGCGATTTCACAAAGTCTCTGTAATTCTGAAGCTGTTCGACGACCATTCCTTGAAAATCTCTAGTTGGCTGAAGGAAATCACTAGGACCTATGTAAAAGCTCAAAATCCCAACATTTCGAGGCGATTTCAAGCTTCAAATCGATATAACCTCTCCATTTCCGGAGACAAGAACATCGTCTGGAACGGATAGCCCTTGATGTTGCCGTTGGCGGGCTCGTTCTGCGGCGTCATCGCCCAGAAGCTGATGTCGTTCTTGCCGTACTCCTCGAGGAAGCGGATCAGATAATGGGTCCAGGTTTGCCAGTAGGGGCCGCCGAAATCGCCGAGAAGTTGGCCGCCGTCCTGCATTTGCCCATTGGTTTTCATCCAACCTGAAAAGAAATGAACAAACTGAAGATTTTTTTTCGCTTGATTTTGTCCCGGGCGGATCGGAATTCCTGCCGAAAAAGAAAATCTTGAGCTCCTATATAATTCAAGGTTTTGACCACTTTAGGAAACCTTCGGCAAGAATTTTGAGACAGAAAGATGCAAAAAGTCGAAAAATTTTGACCGCTTCGCAAGCCGCAACGCGACCGCAGCTTATATAAATTCGATCGACACCCATTTTCAGGGTAAAGTTAGCTAGTTCGAAATTTCTTTCTCGGATGTTTAAAGGTGCCTAGAAAGGTCTAGAGGTGAAAGAACCTAAAAAAAACGCTGAGAATCTCATCGCCTAGAAACCTTTTTCTGTTACATTAAGAAGAGTTTTGAACGTCAAAGTGGTCCCTTGAGGAGCAACCTCTTAGGCCCTTGAAGGTTCCTCTAGAGACCGCCTTACCTCCCCCTATTGGGGCACTAAAGCTTGCAAAAGCGACCACTCTAGGGGAGCTTATTACCTTTTCAATATTCAGATCAGAACAAAAATCAAAAGACCATTATTGGGACCAGTTGAACTTAAGGGGCTCAGGAGTCAGACTCGTCACCTCTATAGGGACCAGTTAAATTATCGCCCTGTATGCGTCACTATTTTGTCCTCTGTCACGGCGTTTTTGCTAGTAGAAGAAAATGCGAGCCAAAAACAAGGTGGGCGGGGTCAAAACCTCCGCCATTCCCACGTGACGTCATAGGCTCTGAGAGCGCATATAGCAGGGCATATCAAAGGCGCAGGCGGACGCATTGCCAGAGGTCTTTGAGACGAATCCACTTCTCCCTACATAAACGCATTTTTTCTGCACGAGAGCGGCGCAGTGCATGCACACGAAACACGAGACTTTACGGAGAAAAGTGGGCGTGGCGTCGTCGAAAAAACGCCGTATAGGGTCTCTTTTTCCCTTTAACTCTAGTGAACACTGCGGTGTTACTAAATACTACAAGTTTTCTTTGAAAAATTACTTTTTAAATGATCTGAAATGATAAAGTCGAAACCTGGAGCGGCCCAGGGCGACGCGATAAGCTTCAACTTGTAGTTGGAGAACTGCTGAGCCATTTTGATGTATGGGATCTGAAAGTATCTTTTCCATTACTTTCCTAATTTACAAAAACCTTCCACTGGAAATCTTCCCTAACTAGAGCGAAATTATTCAAGTAGAAGTCTCCATCGACGTCGTCGTAACTGTAAACTCGGGTGGAAAAATCGCAGCTAGCAATTGGGACCCGCCCGAGGGTGTAACCGAGTCCTGGAAAATCATTTGATTTTTCTAAAAATTTGTGGTTTCGAAAAACCTTCCGGAGAAAAATTCTGCTGAATGAGTCTGTTCGCCATGTTGTTTGGCAAGCTTTTCAGGTTGGCTCCTTCAATAAGAAATAATTTTTTTAATAAAAAAACTGAAATATTTTTTTCTTATAAGTCTTTTAAATGATTATTGAAAAAAAGTCACTGAAACAGTCTTCTCTTCACTCTTTGAGTGGTCCCTTCAGGGACTTTTTTTCAACGGATTTATCGAAAAATCATATCAACAAGGAAGAGATTCAGAAAGGCACTTTATTACAGATTTCGACTTTCGACAAAATTTCTGATAGCTTCCTGAAATAGTTCTTGAACGTGGTAGAAAATAATTAATTTTTGGCTTGAGTTTAAAATTTTTTGATTTTTTCAGTCTCAAGATCTCGCCCTTTTTCAAGATTTATGCGAAGACTGACTTTTCTGAATTTCTCAAGAGAAGGCGTAAGTCAACTAAGCTTCTAGAATTCACTAAAGTGGCCTCTTACACTTCTGAAAGTCTGAAAACGTCTTTCCGACCCCTAGAGGGATAACTAGAGGTTCAGACCCCTTCAAAAGACCCTAAAAGGTTTCTAAGAACTCCAAGAAGGCCGAAAATATCATTTGATTGATTCAAGGTAGGGGGCGCAAAGCCCCGCCCCTTCACGCCACCAAAATGACGATTTTTTTGTTGCAAAAACGGTTTTGAGGCGTTTATACTAGCTAAAGGCCCACTTTAAAAAGGAACTGTTTCTGTTAACCTATGTAATCGACAACGCTCTACAAGACTGAAATATTTTTAAAAACTATGTATTTTTTTCAAAAAAATAAGCGAAAAAAAGTAAGATTTAACACGAAAAAAACTGACAAGTTTCACAAAAAAACGTCGCGTTTCAGAAAACCAAGTGAGGAACGCTTCTAAATTTTAAGTATGTTATACATTTACACTTTCTTTATTTTTTTTGAGTGAAAAATAAAAAAATCTACCGACGCGAAAAAAATATTAAAGCTTGTAAAGTGACACCAAACTTTGAAGCTGAAATGCGAAAAAAATTTCAGCGACATGGTATACTTTTTTTATTCGATTTAAAAAAACTAACAGTGTGTCCAAAAAAATAAAAAAATTCAAAAATGAAAAATAATTATTGGGACAGCGAATTAAATTATATTTGAATTTTACCAAAACCTCCTTTTTTTCGCCTGCCTCGTTGACGCATGAGAGAATAGGATCGCGTCTATACTTTTGTTTATGTTATTAAGCGTTCAAAACTCTACCAATGAAAAAATTATGAAAAAAATCGATCGACGCGAAAAAAATAACGGCTTTGAAAACCTCGAAAAAATAGCAATTTTTTTTGAAATTTCGGAAGATTTCGTGCAAGTGTCCGTAGCAGTGTTTGCGTCAAACACACCGATGCGCCCTTTTAAATGTTGCAGGAGCCGTTTTTTTCGGAGTCAAATTGCACTTTTTTTCCTGTTTTATTTCGAAATAACATTATTTTTTTCATTTTTTTCTTTTTTTCCAAATCGAATGATAATAATTTTTTTCTGAGTAGAAAAAAAGAAAAAAATAAGCTGAAAAAAATCCCTTTGACCTTTTTCTAGGTAGTTTTTTTGATATTTTATCAAAAAAATTCTTATGAGGATTGTACAAAAGATTCATACCAAAACATGAGGCTCAGTTCGGACAACCTCTCAAAACAGAAAACCGCTTTAAAAACGGTCCAGAAACGCGTAAAAACATTTAAAAAGAAAGCGTGCGGCAGCGGGTAAACCGTGAGATTTTGCCTCCAGTTGTACGCCGCGCGCGCTCGTTTTTTGGCCATAACTTTTTTCTTAGTGGAGCTTTTTTTAAACACTAAACGGATTATGAAAATGGACAGTCTCCTCTATCGAACAATGTGAAAAACATATTTTTTGAATCGTTCTGAAGAAATGGCTTGCGGTCCCTAATTCAAGGTCTACTGAAAGCTCAAAACCCTGAAAAGACCCCTAGAAATTATTCCCCAACCTGTGGCATCAGTGAAAGCCGCTCCAAAACCAATCATTTTCTGGTATTTTTTTGACGGATCCAACGTGATGACGACATCTCCGCCTGAAATCAAGAATTCATAACTTTTTTTTCGAGAGAGAAATCACTTGGCTGAGTTCCAACAGAAGTCAAAACTGATCGGTCCAATCTTTTTCCACTTTTCGAGGATTCGTACAGGGCCGCATGTCCCTTGACGACGTTCGGAGGCGGGATCTTAATGCTTTTCTTTTTGAAAAACTCCAGAGTGATCCCTATAGGGGCAACCTTAGAGGCCTTTCGAGGATCCCCTCTAGCGACCATTTTACCAGCCCCTAAAGGGTTTGCACTAAAGTTTGCAAAAGTGGTCCCTATGGGGGTTTCAGGAAACATGGTAGTCGATAATTAATATGAACTCTAAGCGAAGAAGCGTTTCCATGGAAAAATGAAAAAAAAAACATTTTTAAATAAAATTCAAAGACTCCTATAGAGTCCACTTGAGATTTGCGGCTAAAGGGTCAGGCCCTAAACTCCTATAGGGACCCCTAATTTTACCCCTATAGGGACTACTTTTTCGACCCCTATAAGAGTCCCCCCTAAAGTGACCACTCTGGGATCCCTAAGTTTGAAATATTTATTTGAGAGACAAGGTTATTTTTTTTCTAATAGTGTTTTTGATGAAAAAACTGATTTAATTAGCCTTTAAAAAATTTTTCAAAATTCACCTGATCACAGTAAGTCGCATTGCAGACGCACACAATTCCAGTGCTCAAAAATCGTTTATTACAACCATCAGCATTAAGAACTGAAAAAAATGGTTATTTTTTCATGAATCGAGTATGAATTTTTAAAAAAACTGACAAGGGAAGACGAGAAAAAGCAGGACGACTGGCCGCATGGTAAGCGGTGTTGAAGTTTCAGTGATAGCTGATTAATTTCCGATAAAGTTGTTCTCTGATGAACGCCACGTTCTTCTTCACGGGTAGCATGTGTACTTTTCTTTTTGATGCCAATTAGATAAGAACGACGCGTCCTGGAAAATAATATTATTGTTTTTCCTGGTCGTTCAAAAGAATTTAAAAAAATTGTTCAGTTATATTATTAGAAAGTACTGTTTAAGACTATCAGATGGAAACTATACAATTCAAATTGACTAAATAAATAAGAAAACCGAAAAAGATGAAAAAATACGTGATTACGGCATTTCTGCAGGGATGGCGACCGTATGCGAGTTGGTTCAATTGGCAGGTAATAAAAAGATTATTAATTTTATCGTAGAGAATCGAAATGTAAAAACGTAATGAAGAAAGGAAAAAGTGAAAAAAATTACTTGAACATTTTTTTGGCGATTTGGTGCACGCACTGACGCAAAAAATGCATACGCCGAAGTTTCAAAAATTTCATATTCAACTTTTTTATTTTAAAATAAAAAGTTGATTTTTGTTAAGAAAATTTTTGACAGATTTTTTCGAAGACAGTTTTGCATCCACATGTATTTTTTGAAGATGGAACAAAAGTTGGCAATTGGGAAATCCTGAAAAAACTTGGCGAAGGCGCTTTCGGAGCCGTTTATCTCGTCAAGGGCAAAGAATCCAACTACGCGCTCAAAGTCAGTAATTTATTTCCCGATGATATCTCCACGTCAAATTTCTAATTAGGGATTGTGAAAAATGAAGCAATTTCCAGGTCGAGGCGGAGAACGACCCGCTGGGACTTCTCAAGATGGAAGTCTTTGTTTTATTGGAACTTAAGAAGACCAAATTTGAAGGTTTTTGAGGTAAAATAGGGAAAAAAATGAACTTTTTTTGATTTCAGCACGACATTTTGTCGAATTGATGGACAGAGGAAACGTCACCGGGAAGTTCAACTACATGGTGATGACGTTGGTTGGATCGAGTCTTCAGGTGCTGCGGAAAAGAATTTTTACCGAGAAATGTAAAAAAAAATAATCTCGAGCAAAGTCAGGATGATTTATAACGGCTCCTAAAACAGAGAGGCTCAAAAAAAGCCGCAGAAAGATAGCAAAAGAAGGTCCCTTTATCGAGCCTTCCATTTTTTTGAGATTTTAAAATAAGAGGCAGCAAAAATGGTGCATAACAGCCGGAGAAATGGCGCAAAAACGTAGTAAAAAAAAGGAGCCTTTTTCTCCCTGAAAGTAACATTTTTATGGAGCCTTTTCCACTCTTTCCTACTTTCAGAAAAAAAAGTGATTTTAAGATGTTTCAAGATAATTTCCAAGCTCTAAAATTCCTTCATATCGAGAAAACACAGTTCAAATGTACCAGTTTTCCAAAAATTCTCATTGAGTTTTTTAAAGGAGCATGGCTCAATTTTGTTAAGTGTGTCGAGGAGAAGAGGCATTTGAGACTTTGCAGTGCTTGTTCTATCTTTCAAAATATCGATCGACGATAATTTATCTATAGAGCGGATGTTCAAAAGCGCCGAAAACTTGCAATACCAAAAATAGAACTCCACTTTGAGACCATTTTGAAAAATCATTCATGCTCCTTTAAAAAGTTTTTTGAGCATATTTCACCGTTTCAACGTCATATTTCTACCTTTTCCCTTGTACCAAAGCTGTTTTCCAATCAAAATACTTGCTCTGTTTTTCCAGGACTTGAGAGCCAAATCGCCGATGAAAAAGTTCGCCATGGGAACGGCGATTTCGGTGGGGCGACAATGCCTTGAAGCTCTCGAAGATTTGCACAATATCGGCATTTTGCACCGGTTTATAATGACAATTTTAAAATTAAATTAAAGATTTTTTTAGTGATATCAAGCCTGGAAACTATACGGTCGGACGGAAAGAATTAAATGAATTGAGAAAAGTTGGTTTCTTGTTCAAAAAAAGTATTTTTAAATGTCGTTTTACTGTTTCAACATCAGTTTTTGATTCTCACTTGTTTAATATAAAATTCCTGGATCGATCATGAATTTTAAATAATTTACATTTTGAATCATTTGATTATTTTAATTTTTCCTTGTACGGAAATTTGAATTTAACAGATCTACATGTTGGATTTCGGTATGGCGAGGAAGTTTGCACGTGAGGACGGCACTTTGAGAAATCCGAGGTTTTTTTTCTTCCTATAGGATTGAAAAGATAAGGAAATTTGAAGTGATCACTTAAGAAAATGGTTTTTCAGATCCTCAAGGGACCACTTTAAACGGACCACTCTTTTTGAGTCTGAATTGAGAATCACTTGAGCGGTCCCTTGGATGGAATCCGAACTTTTTCTCTAGCTTTTTCAAAATAAATTCACTTAAGAGATCACTAGGACTCATTACTGACCTCTTGGAAGGCTAATTTTGAGTTCTAAGTGGTCACTTAAGGATTGATTGGACTTTTTTCCCTGTGACATTGTAAAATCACTCTTTTTTCCAGTAACATTGATTAAGTTGCAACGAAAAAACCCTCAAGTTTTCACTTGAATATTTTGAAGGAGTCACTGAAGAGTTTTTTTTTCTGTTCTTAATGGTCATTTTGAACACTGAAGAGCTTCTTTTCAAGAGAAAAAAGTTTTCTTGAAGCAATCATAAGTCAATTTTCGATCCACTTTCAGTACTAATCTTCAGATTTTAGGGCTCGCGCTGGATTTCGAGGCACCGTAAAATACGCCCCACTGGCTTGTCACATTCAACGTGAACAGTGCCGGTGAGCCTCTTTTTTGAATTTTTTCGAAAAAGTTTGATTCGAAGCTTGTAGAAAACGTATCTTGATAAATGAAAAGGTCTGATATCGCATTTTTTTTAAGAGCAAGTGTATGTGAATCTGAGTGAAAAAAAAAACTAGCATCAATGGGTCATAAGACGAATCTATTTCTCCTTTTTAAAAAACGCGATTTTTCTGTTTTTTTTTTGTTTTAAAACAAATGCCGTGTTGAAAGTATTTTCGCGAAGCCACCAGAAATTTAAAATTATAACTGAATTTCAGAAATTAAAATCTGATTAAAAATTTCGCGAAATTTACTTCGAACGTAGCATGTGCGAGAGCGCCGCGGTGCATGCACACGACACATTACACTTTACGCAAAAAAGTATGGGCGGGGCGTCGCCAAAAAAACGCCGTGAGCAAACTTCTTTTTTCAACTTGATAAATGAAAATCTAGTGAAAGTGTATTATTTAGCTTGAGAAGTGAAAAAATATTTTTTATTTTTCTTTCTTTCAAGTATTTTTTTTTTCAGGAAAGACGACATTGAAAGTTGGCTTTACATGGTGGTGGAGCTGACGTGTGGACGGCTTCCATGGCGAAACTTGCCTGTTGGTAAAAAAACATCTCAAAAAAATAATTGAAAAAAAGAAACATTATAATGATGCTGTTCGTTAGTGAGTCCGAATGATTTTGAGGTTTTTTTGAAAAATTGTGAAGGTAAATTTTTCAAATTTAATAATCAAACCAGAGCTCAATTGAAAGCTGTTTATTAAATTTTATACAAAAATTTTTTTATTTTTTTCCAGTTTTTTTAACTTTTTAACATCAGTTTCCAACTTTTTCGCTTTGAGAATAGAAGTTTTAAAAAAATGATTCAAGCAGATTATTATAATAAAAAAAGTTTATAAACTGAATTGTCCCGCGAAAACTGAACCTTTTTGAGGAAACTGACGACGTCGGAATGTTCAAAAAAGACTGCAAGACCAACCGAACGAGGTGTCTTTTTGGCGGTTGCCCGCGGGAGTATGCTGAAGTTTTCCCGATCCTGGATAAGGTTTTGAGCTTCTCCAACTTCAAGATCGAAACCAGCGGATTTTCAGGGGAAGTTCTTCGACGCGCCCGACTACCCAGCGATTTACGCCCTCTTGGAACAGGCCATGCTCCATACAAAGAGCAACGAATATCCGTACGATTGGGAATGAACAAAAGGATTCTTCTCCTCGCTTTTCGTGTTTCTTTTTTCGTCCTTTTCGGACCACTCGTTGATTTTCAAATGTGGGCGTGGCCTATTATGCAAATGCCGCGCGGAGGAAGGTCAATCTCGGGTCATTCTTGACTTTTAATGAGATTGAAGTTTTCTAACGTTCATGAGTTCAATAAACTACTGAAATGAGAAAAAAAGCCCGAAACTGGGTTAACGTTTTTTTGTCTTCTGGAATAGGTTAACAGCTAATTTGGTCTGATTTACGGACCGAAAATTGGTTCAAAGTCGATTATTCCTGTGAAACTTTGGTGGGAAGAGTTGAAGAGTCTAGATTTTGATGATTTTGGTTTGAAAATGGGCTTGAATACTTGGAATAGAGTTTTTCATTTTCTCAATATTGCTCAATTTTCACAAGTTTCGAGCCTGGAAATAATTTTTCTAGCTAGATTATTCGATTTTTAGAGAATTTTACATAGGCAAAGTCAAAAAGGTGCGAAATGGTTCCAGAGAAATGTTCCTTTTTTTTGCCTTTTTGCGCCATTTCATTAGCTTTTATGCACCATTTTTGCTACCTCTTCTTTTTTCCACCATTTCTTGAGCTTTTAAAATCGAAGAAAAAATGGAAGGCTTGATAAAAGGGACCCTTTTTGCTACCTTTTTGCAACCTTTTTTGAGCCTTTTTGCTGCCTTTCTGAAACCTTTTTTGACCCTTTTTGCTGCTTTTCTCCAACCTTTTTTGCAGTCTTTTTGAAACTTTTTTTGACCCTTTTTGCAGCCGTTTTGCGGTCTTTTTTAAGGCTCACCCTCTTATGAGTCATTATTCACCATATCAACTCTGCCCGTATTATATTAGTTCTATCATCACCAAAAAGAAAAAATCTTTGTAAAAGTTTTTCGGACTGTTCCGGCCTTGAATTTCGAAGAAAAAAAGTTCCTGGAAGAAAAATTGATTGAAAAATTAGAGAAAAAAGAACCGAAAACTGTGTCAGAGCTAATGAAGGAACTGTCCGAGTAACTCATCTCAAAAAAAGAAAAACAGAAAAATTTGTTGATCGGAAAAACGACGGGAAGAGGGATCATTTGGGTGGCGATTTGTCTCTAAGAACCTGGACGACGACTAAGATGTCAGTGGTCAGCAGTAAATTCGTCCTTCACCCACAAAAACCGGCGGCAGCAGATCAACCCCTCCCAATTTTTTCGAAAAGGGGCGGTTTTTTTCTTTCTTTCCTAACGTGGACGGCTCAATCACTCCTTGGATCTCTCTTTTTTCTGTTGTTTTGGGATTCTATGGACTTTGGAAGTTTCAGAATGTTCTCATTCTTTTTCTCAAGAAAAAAGTCTTTGAAAATTGCCAGAAAGGTTCGAAAAAATGACTTGAATTTCTATCTTCTCTCAGAATTTAGACCTTTTTTTCAACTTTTTCAATCACTTTTTCCTGTTTGCAACCCTTTTCCCAATTTTTTTCATAAAGGGGAACGGTTTTTTCAGTCTTCCCAACGGAGAAAGCCTTATTACTTCTTGGATCTCTGATTTTTCTGGAAATTCTATAAATATTGAGGTTTTTGAATTTTTTCCGAGGAAAAGTCTGAAAACTCCTTGAAAGGATCGGAAAATCAACTGCAAACTCTCGTTTCTCACTTTTTCATGAATAAAGACTTTTTTTCAGGGTTTTTAGTCACTTTTTCTTGTTTTTGAAACTCCTAAACAAAAAGAAGGCGGTTTTTTTCTCTCTTTTCTAACGGAGAGAGCTTTATTCTTTGACTTTTTTTTTCTTGAAATTTTTTGATCATTGGGTTTTTTTAAACTTTTGTCCAAGGACAGTGCCTTCGAAAATTCCTAATAAGGTTCAAAAAGCTGATTTTCAGCTTCTTCTTCTTATGATTTTTTTTTTGCATTTCTGGTCACTTTTTTTTTACAACCTGTCCCAATTTTTTGAAAAGGAGGCGATTTTTTCTTTCTTTCCCAACGGAAACGAGAGAGATTAGTCACTTCTTGGGTCTATGGGTTTTCTGTTCACTTGAAATTCTGTGATTATTGGTTTCATTTGAACTTTTTCATGTCTCTTACAAAGTCTGATAATTTTTGAATGGTCCAAAAAGCTAATTTTAATCTCCCTTCTTCGGATTTTTTGTCACTACTTTTTTTTCAATGCATTTTATGTCCCCAAAAAACACCCTTGACAGCAAAAAAAAAATCTTGGAAAAAAAAAAACGAAAAAAAAAACGTTTCTTGGTCTTTTTGAACTTTCTCCGTGTAACTGGAAGTTCTTTTTAGGAAATTTTTTTCAATCTTAAAAAAACCTCTTGAAAGCCTGTTTTATTTTTAAGTCATTCGAGACTCTTGCCAGCTTTTTCAGACAAGGGGTTTTCAACAAAATGCTGGCTTTTTTCTGGGTTTTTTCTTTTTTTTTTCTAAGTTTTTCAAACCGTCTCCCCATTTATTCACGAAACCAAGTTTTTTGTCTTTTCCGACCCATTTCCAGACGGTAATTCTGTTAAGAGACCGTCAATTTTTTTGCAGCGACATCCTTGAAACGACAAATATTAACCTCCGATAGGCGGGGAAGGCGTTTCCAGTCAAAAAAGCCAAGGACAACTGTCCACCGTCGGTATTTGCCCCCCGTCATCAACGGCCCATGATCGTCTGGATTCTGGTCGCGGGGCTCCTTTCAGGAGACGTCACGGCTTCGGAAGTCGGCTATGAGCTCGTTGAGGTCGGTTTTTGGGTTTTGGAAAGGTTCCCTAGAAGACAAAGTAAAAGTTGAGAAAAAAGAAGATGATTTTTTGAAATTTTACGAATTTCAGTACATTTTCCCATGTTCAGAAGTGTGCTATGAGCTTTTTGAAGTGGGTTTTTTTTATTTTTATGTTTTTTGAAAAAGCTTCTATAGAGCTAATTATGGAAATCAAGAAAAAAGGACGATTTTTTTTGGAATTTTGAAAGAATTGACCTTATCTGGGTGATTGGATTTTTTGAATCTGTTCTGTTTTAATTTTCAGAGTTTTTTTATTTTTATTTTTTTGAGATATTTTCTGATTTTCAATCCATTTCATACCTTCTCAGGCTTTTCTGCTCTTTTCAAACCTTAATTTCCAGGAAAAAGCCGATTTCCGACAATTTTGCGAACGCTATGTTGAGTGTGCAGCGGTGGCACTGCTCGAAGAACGATTATGTCTAGGTTGAAGAAATCTCCATTTTTCAAACCTCTGAAATGTTAAGGTAACTCGAGGATGAGACCTTTTTGGCTGCCCGCCAAGAGGGATCCAAATAATTGCCATGAGAAGCTGAAGAATGACTATATTGCGGTGAGGAATTTGAGAAGAAATTTGGAAGAAAGGGAAAAATTACAGCTCGAGAGGCTGGAAGAAGAGTCGGATTCGCAGATGAGCGCCTGTCTTCTGGAGAATTTCGTCCCGTTGGACGGAGACAAGGTTTGAAGAAGTGGGCACTTGAGGGGTTTGATTGAGGAGCTTCTTAATGACTTTTCAAAATGCCCTTTTTGAATACACGGTAAAGTAGGAATGGTGGCCGCTAGAGGCTCAAAAAAGGCCGCAGAAAGGCTGCAGAACAGCAGCAAAAAGGGTCCCATTATCGAGCCTTCCATATTTTCTGGGATTTTAAAGGCTCAAGAAATGGTGTTAACAGAAAGAGGGAGCAAAAATGGTGCATAAAGACCGTAAAAATTGCGCAAAAAGACAGCAAAAAAATTTCTATGGAGCCTTTTTCCACCTTTTTCCGACCTTTTCTATGTATGTAGATTAAAAAGCGATTTTTCGTCATCAAATCCTGAATCTCGATTCCTTTTTCTTTCCCACAAATCAGGTCGAATTCTGTAATAAAAACCCGAATTTCAAAAATTCTAGGTCATGGAAAAAATCATTTCAACAGAAAAATATTAACGCCATCATTTTTGTCATCTCATCCGAATCCTTATCGACGTCGAACTCGATGAATCAGAATTGAAGAATGTGAGAAACCGAGACAGTTAGCTAGGCGAGAAGGCGGAAAAAAGGGAAATGCCAGGTAAATAGGTCAAAATGACGGCGTCCAGGGGAAAAAAGGCGCTTATCTTGTGTTCATTCAGTGTTGGTAGGTCAGTGTGCTTTGGGGGAAATGGGTCGGAAATTTGAGTAAAAAAGGGTAGAAAAATGGTAGGGTTTTTTAATGGGATTTTAAAGGAGCATAGACCTATTTTTAAAACGGGTCTCCAGACGAAAAGTTGTTTTTAGTCGGAAACTTGAGTAAAAGACTAGAAAAATGGTAGGGTTTGTTTCAAAATGAACTTTTTAAAGGATCATATAATTGTTTTTAAAACGGGTCTCCAGAGGAAGAGCCGTTTTTAACTATATAATGGTCATGAGAGGCTTCTGTGCTTTCAAAAAACCTTGATAATGATTTTTTGAATGGATGAAGATGGACTGAATTTAATTTCGAAGATTTTTTGTTAAAATTTTGGGTGATGGCTGATATTTTGAAGAAAGGGAGCTCTATCGCCAAATTTTGTAATTTTTCTATTTTTTTAAAATTTTATGAGTAACATTACTAGCTGAGACTAAAACATTCCAGATATGAAATTTTCAATTTTTCACCTGCAGACCTTCTTCGAGTCTCGTTTTGAGCTAACAACCTTTTTTTATCTTCAAAAGCCCGAGTTTTCAGCAGGAATCGTGCACATGGCAGGTGCTGGAAAAAGCGCCACGATTCACGGTGAAACGTCGCTCCATCGCACACGTCCCGACAAATTGCTTCGCCGGCGTTCAGAAGCGTGTCGAGAGAGAGTGTGGGCCGTTGGCGGCCTGCTGCAGCTCTTTGGCCAAGTCAATTTTTCAGAAAAAAACTTTTAATCAATCAATAAAATAAGTTCCGAAGTTAACACGTTTTTAGGATTGGTCCCTGAAGGCGTTATGGAAAACAGAACAACCCATGTAGAAGTGAAATTTAAGCGATCCCTATAGGGTTTCAGGGTCTTACTCATAAGGTCCTGAAGCTCAAGTGACCCCTTTAGGTACTTCAAATTTCCTCATATAGCTCATGGCAATGATAGATTAGCATTTCCCGTACAGAGGCATCCAACTAAAATTCCTAGGCCATTTTTGCCAGCTTCAGCGGTCCCTATAGGGGTTAGTGAAGTGGTCACTAGAGGGGACTCTCCAAAGGCTTTTAAGGTTGTCCTTATAGGGACCACTCTGGAGTTCCTTTATTAGGAAGTTAATAATCGCTATTTTCACAATTTTCTTCAAATGTATTCCTAGCTTTTAGAGGTGAAAAATTTTTTTATCTAAAAAAATTATATCGACTTTTTCTTTTCTTTGAAATTCAACCTTCAAAAACACTATAAAATCCCGATTCGAAGTCGATGACTCTCGTTGGAAAAACCAGCAAAAGGGAAAAAAGAACGATTCGATTTGATTTGCAGATGTACGTCGTTGAATTCCGAATCGAATGTGCAGAAAATCGCCAAAACGACGAGGGAGAACATGCGAAAAAGGGCCGCCGACTGCGAGGTTTTTTGAAAAAAATGTTGGAAAACGGAAAAAATTGATTCGAACTTTGTGTGAACTTGAGGAAAATGCAGTTATCGGGGGATAAGAAAACAAGAAAATCGAACCTTTAAAACGAAAAATATTGGAAATTTAGAAAATTTAGAAATCTACTTCTGAAGAAGAGACTGTTCCTGTACATAAATTTATCGACTTTTTCAAGTTTTGAAACCATTTTTTTTTTACAAAGGCCGTCGTCTCACAAAAATTCGACCTTTTTGTGAGTTTTAGGCCAAAAATGAAGTTATCAGAGGATAAAGGATCATTATTATTAATTAAAGGAAGAAAAATTGCGCTCTAAACCAATATTTTCTAAAAATTTAGGAAGCTTCTTCTGAAAAAAAGACTGTTTCTGTACATAAAATTTTTGATTTTTCAGCGTTTTAAAGGTATTTTACAAGTTTCGAAACGATTTTTATAAACACAAATAAAAAAAATGCCACAATTTCTATCGTTAATCATTTAGAAAGGCCTCAACGTCGTCCCGCTCCAACTGGAGCACCTCGGTTTTTCCTCCGATGAAAAAATCGACGATTCATTGGCCCCGTTCAAAAATCTCAACGTTCGCTTCCATCACAACCCTTCCAAGTCAGATCCTCAAAAAACTAGTCCGACTGGTTTGAACTTGGGAGTCTTCCATAGGGAATGAAAGTTTAGGTTTGGTAAATGTAAGGTTTTCGACGGGAAAAGAAGACGTCGAGGGCAAGGCGTCACGTCTTCTGATTCGCAAAGGCGACGTCTCCGAAGAGGAGAAGACGCCGAGTTTGGATTTTCCTGAAGGCGGAGATGCCAGAATTGTAGGTTTTGGATGAGTTTTTGTCCAACCTGTCTGCGTCTCTGTTCCCTTATCGATGATCGATGAGAGAACAGAGAGCCCAGAGAAGTTAGACTGTCACAATTTGGGGCGAATTAGGTAAAGTACTGATCGAAACAATAGTTTTTTTTATCTGAACTGTCTGCGTCTCTGTTCCCTCATCGATGAGAGAACGAAGGGTCCAGAGAAGTAGGACTGTCCCATTTTTGGCGAATTAGGTATAGTACTGGTCACAAGAAACGCTTAGAAGTGGACTAATTTTGAAAAAAAGCTTTTCGTGTTGGTATTTTTGAGTTTCCTGTCGCACGTGCTCCTTAAAAACCCTTGAAGCAGCTTTTTCATCAGTTTATGTGTTTACTCTTTCATTCCAAAAGCAAGCGCAAAGAAAAATTATTGGCTCGTAAAGTTTAATGTTCCCAGGAAAGTTTACCATAATTAAGCGCATATTCGATTTTTTGACGTGTTTTATATTACTTTGTATTTCATTCGATCGCTTTAGAAGCGCTAGAAGTTTAAGAGAACCTGAGTATTTCTGGAATAAAGCGAATTTTTCAACCCTTTCTGTGATAATTTTGATCTTTTTGAATAGAAAGTTGGTTTTTTTTTATAATTTTTCTATTCTAGGGCTTCTCATTTCTGTGTCTTTCCAATAAAAGTTTGCTGAATTTTAAGAAGTCACCGAAAGAGAAGATTGGCGAGCACACGGTCTCCTTCACAAACGCCCTCAAAAAAACCAACGATTACAAGGAAAAGCTCCGGAAATGGGATCGAAGCAAGCAAATCAACCAGGAGCTCGATTCGCTTCTCGACGCTGCTCAGGTAAAAAGAAAATCCTGCTTCGAACTGGAAAATCTGATTTTTCCTTCAGATCTCCACAGTTCTGAGTGGTTTCGTGCCGATGGGTACCGTAACCCCATCTTCGTCTCAAGAAACAACGCATTTGGTTCTCTCCAACCCGGTGATCATGTTCCCGAAAGAGAAGAAGGAGAAAAAGAGCCAGCAATGCGAAGTTTCGAAATCCGAGAAATTGTCGAAGATCCTGGCTCTACTCGGAGAAAAGGCCAATTCCAGCGATATGCGACAGGTTTTTTAAGGCTTTTGGGAAGTATATTATTGAATTCTAGATTCGAACCTTACTTGTCGAATGGGAATCGGAGCAAAAGAGAAGGTCTCTGACGGAAAAGCAGCAAAAATATGTTCATGAGGTTTGGAAGATCCATGCGACGCGGTCGCGAAGCGTTTATGAAGGAAAAAATTGGCGCCAATTTGAAAAATCGAACAGTTTTCCAGTGTTGGACAGAAAAAAATATGAATATTTGGAAAGCTCTCCTCGACCGCTCCGCAGCCGCAACGCGCCCCATTTTGACGCGAAAATGAAAATTTTTGAGACGAAGGGATGCATTAGAAAGCCCCAGCAGCCCCTTTTTTAACGCTAAACTAATGAACATCGGTGAGAAGAGACTGTTGGGAATGTAGAGAGCTTAGAGAAAATGAGAGATTTTTTTTTTGAACCGCGACGCGTTCCTTCTCTGGCCCTAAAGTTGAAAATTTGAATTTTTCCGGGTTCCTTTTCTCGTTCAGAAGAGAGACAACGTGAGGCTTAGAGAGTGTTAGAAAAACCTCATCGACCGCTCTGCAGCCGCAACGCGACCCCTTTTTTGGCGCCAAAATGAACAATTCAAATTTATCACTGCGTATGATTTTCTCAGGAAAAGAACATAGAGGAGACCGCATCGCAGCCGCAACGCGTCCTTTGTTTGCCGCCAAAATAAACTATCTTATTGAGACGAAGAATTAGAGAACTCAGTTTCTCAACCGCTTCGCAACCGCAACGCGTCTAATTGTGGCAAATTTAAAAGGAAAATTTTTTGTATTCAGGTTGAAAATGCGATGGAAGAGCTGCTGAGAAAGTTTGACAATATCGAGGCGTTGAGGAAAAATGCGACCTTAGGTTTGTGATTTTTCATACCTTGCTTCAATGAAATTAAACTGACAAAATAAATAATAATGACTTTCAGACGATTGCCAGACGCTGACTGACGATAACGGGGACACCATCGTTGTACAACGTCTGTACCTTTGCGGATGAAACCCATCAGAAATGAGTTCAGAAGGCGTGCCGACCATCGTCCTCGGCAACGTCGACGACGTTCTCAAGGACTCGAAAAGCGTCGAGATGAAGTCGTTCATCAGCGACGACTACAAGAAGGAGATCGAGGCCTACCGCAAGGAGCACCAAATTTGGGGCAACCCTGCTAATGTTCGTGCAAATAAGATTTTGAAAGTTCCAAGGCTATCAAATACTTGTATAGCCGATTAACGGCTAAGTTGAGACTTCAAAGGCGTGTCTGCTCTCTCCGCCAGTCAAGCGATCTCTCTTTTCTTATCGTGTCAGGACCCTTTTTTTGATGGCTATTGAAAAAGTCAAAAATCGTTCAAAAAACGGAAGCTCAGATAGTTTTCAAGTTTGACGATTAACTTCTCGTTCTCTAAGTTCACTTTGATTAATTTTTGAAAAAGTTCTCTAGTTAGAATTTTCAACGTTTTAATTTTTCAGACAACTATTCGAAACGAGACAACCTGCGACATGTACATGAGGTGCCGGAATCAGGTATTCCTTGTCAAATTTTCTCGGAGCAAAACTGAATTTAGATGAATTTGGCCGTAGACAGTTGTGCGTGGCGATTCGCTTCCGACAAATTACTGGCCACGATGGCGGAAAGTGCTGAAAGTCTTCTATATAAGGTCTTCAATGATCATTGAATCCTCAAAATAAGGGTCTTAAAGCGAAGCTTACAGTATCCTCACTCGTCTGTCTAAAATTGTCCAAGCCTGGTTTTTGAAGAATAATAGTTTTAGGACGACGCCATGTGTGCCGAAAATGACGAAGAAGCCTACGTTCGTTTGTACGAGGGGATAATTTCGAGGAATCGCAAGCTTCGCTTGTGTTTGGACAAGAGAAACGAGAAATTCGTGGGTTACTTATTTCTTGGATTAAAACCTTAAGACGTTTTCAAAATAATCGACTCAACATAAAGCTGACTCACGGCTGGCTTGAGCCATCGAGAAAAGGGTCCTGCCACGAAAAGAGACGAGACAGTGCCTTGGTTGGTGGAGAGTGCAGACAGGCCACGCCTTTTTGCGTCTCAAGCTAGCCGTGAGTCGTCTATATGATAACTGTTCCACTTTCCTGATCTGTAGCTCGTAAAATGAATTGAAGAATAAATTGGACTTTTGAGAGTCTTGAAGTATAGTCTGTGTGCCACGACTTGAAATTTCACGGAACGACATTCCGCTGTTCCGCTGCGTGCGTTCGCGAAGCGTCTTTCCAATCTAGGTCACGCTTTCAATTAATTATTGTTGCATGGGAGCATATGAAAGTAGAGTACCTCGATTAAAAAAAAAAATTAAAAGCGTGACCAAGGTTCGCAAAGGCGCGCAGCGGCACAGCGGAATGTCGTTCGGGGAAAATCCAAGTCGTGGCACACAGGCTATATTACTCCTTTATCATAAATTCCTTCAAATTTCGTTCAGTTTGAACAGTCCGTCTGCATGGCCTACAGCAAAAAGGAGCAAGTGAGCTACGACGAGGCGATGGTTCGGCTTCTGTTCGCGGAATACAAACGTTCGTCGGACTGCTTCGACGACGCCAACCTCATCCAGACCAAGTGCATGAAGCTCCGCGAGTGCTGCCCTAACTTCGACAAGTTTGAAAAGATCTAATTCTCGAGAAGAGTTGCCGAGATGAAAGCGAGGTCTCTGGCGGTACATTTGCAACATCGCGAAAGTGCTGCTTTTTCTTGGCGCGATATCGCAAACTGGGCATTTTTAATATTTTTTGAATGCGTTAGGATAGCGAGAGGAATGCAAGTCCAGCGCAAAAAACGGTGCGTCCGCGAGGTTATCGCTATACCGCAAGCGATATCGCTTTTCTCCCGCGCTGGACTATTTTAGTGGATATGGACTTTTCTTTTTCTCCAGATGCCGCGAAGAAACGATGGACTCGGGCCAGGAGATGGACATCATCAGCACGACGGCCCACATAAACGAGCGGAAGCACGAATGCATCAAAAGCCGCGCCAAAGACGCCTTCAAAGTCGGTTGGCTTCCAAAAAAAAAAAAGAGAACAAAGCCTTTTTAAGCCTTTCTGCCCGGTTTTTTCAAGGGTCTTCTTGAGTTTCTCCAAGGGTTGCGAAAGATTCTTCAAAGCACCTTTTTTCACTTTTTTGAATGATGATAGTTTCATTTGCTTTTTAGTTCTTCTTTCAATTTTCTTCAAAGTTTCTTTGTTCGAAAGCAAATCCAAGAAACAGCCCGAGAAAAGCCTTTTGAAGGTATTTTTCCAAAAAAGTTCTTTTTTAGGCTCCTAATACACTGTGTTCAATGATAGAACCCCCATCCTAAAAAAATCCGAAGATTCAATATCCTAGCCCTTTCTTTACTAGAACGCCATCAAAAAAATGAATTTTTGACCGTTAAATTAAGATAGGATCACCTGGGAATTTCAACCTTATTTCTTCACTAGCGGATTTACCATTTTTATATCATTCGGGCATTAGTTTCCAACCTTTAGCTCTTCGCCTCCCAGTTCGAAAAATTTTGATTTTCGGCGTTCAGAATGAGATCTTTCTTGACTTTTTTCTTTTCAGGAGTTTGAGAGATTCGTGTTGATATAGCGTTAAAAAGAATATGAAAAATGATGTTTTCAGCAAGTGATCCGGGAACTGCTGACAAAAGGCGCCAAGGAGACTTTGGAAAGACTGAAAGGCGGCCGCTTGGGAGTCGAAATCTCGCGAGGCGCCCGGGTCGTCCGCATGATCCAACACCGAGAATAATCAGCTTTTTTTTTGAGAATTTTGGGTCTTTTCGCCACATTCCATTGCCTTCTTTACCTCAGTTACCTGTGCTTTTTTTGTTTTTAAAGGCTCAAATTTGAATTTCTGACAGCTATCATTGGTACGGGTTGGGCTCTGAAAATAAAGTCTTTTTTCACTTTTTTTGAAGTCTATTTTTATATCTCGGACATTGGTAACGCGAAACGGACGTTTCTGGGCGATTTTAGGGATCACTTAAGAGCACAGAGGCTACTAAAGTGGACACTAGAAATGCCGCGACACGTCCGATTCGCGTTACCAAGTTCCGAGATCTCTGTGGAGTTCTAATGAAGCGGATAAGCTCAAAAATTCCCAGTGTTTTTTTTCTCCAAAAGTACTAGTTTGAAAGGACCTTTTTGGGTTGATAAAATACTGAAAACCATGAAAATGCTTCAAATTTTGAACTTTAAAGAAAATGAGTATCATTTTTCCCTTTCCAACTGAATTATCTATATCATTTTACACTTTTCCGCCTTTATAATATATTAATAGAAGCCTGAAACGAAAATAAAACCGAAAATTGCCCTTTTTCTCATGTCTGAAGCTTCTTCTAAGCCATCAAAAAGGAGAAAGACGGCTTTGTCTGACAGGAGAAGAAGATGAAGAAGTGCAAAAGGGGCCTAAAGGCTCAACAACACGGAATCTTCATTGACGAATGATGTCTTTTTTCCCGAAGAACAAAGCCTTTTTTGTCGTGTGTGTGACGGGTGTGGTGAGGACACTTTTGGAACTATTTTCGTAAAAATTGGGACATTTTTGAGCTTTGAACTTGTGAGCAACGTCAATTTTCACGTCTGAAAAAAAAAATTAAATTTTTTTTGTGTAAAGGGTGACATGTAAGAAACTTTTTTTCTGTGTAAAAAAATTAAGTTTTTTTATATGAATAACTTTGAAATTTTAAAGATAAATAATCGGCGATTTTTTTCACTGACTTTTTGCGCTCCACGGAGAAAAATTAGCGGATTTTCAATTTTCCGTTTACTTTCTTGAATTTAAATTTGAATTTCTCGAAAAAAAGAAAAAAAGGAAAAACCGCATTATAAAATTCCAGAAATAAGGCTACAAAAAACCTATTTTTCTTTTCAATTTATGTATATATTTTTTTGATTTGAAACGTTCTAAAAGAACAAGATTTATTGTGGAACAGAAATTCAAGAAAAATAAACGCTAATAAAATTTTTTTCTCGGCTATTTTCTGGCCGCTGTGAGACAGACAAATTGGGCAAATTTTGATCAAATTCCTATTTTCTTTCATTTTGTTCTGAGAAGAGAAAAGAATAAATCTTTCCAAAAAATATTTATTTCGAAAAAAATTCGCCAAAAAGATGTCTCTGGAGCGCAATTTAAGGATTTTGACAAAACGGTTCTTTTTTCATGGCTTTTTTCATCCTTCAAGATGATTTTTTTTGACCTGATATATTCTATAAATTGACTTTCAAGTTCAAAAAAATTCAAAGAAAAATTATTTTTTTCAAGATTTCCCGAAAAAAAGAAACGGCAAAGATCCAGACACTCATCCAGTATTTCATCATTTTTATTCCCGGCATAAAAATTTAAAATTCGGATGTTTTTTCGGAACATATTCAGAGTCATTAATAGCAGCAAGCTTGAAATTTCATGAAATCCTCGTCTTAAAAACAGTCTGGCCTGTCTGCGCTCTCTTTTCTCTCGGCTGAAGTCATAAAATGACGCCAAGAAATCAAACTTTTTTTTTTTTGAAGTTTCGGTGAATGGAATAATATTTATTGGGAGAAAAATTCATTTTCCGAGATCTCTAACTCAAATTTTATGTTTTTTGGGTCATAGTCCGTTTTTCACGACCTGAAAGTGCGAGACTTCTCTGAGCCCTCCTCATCTCTCCACGTCTCTCTCATTTTTGCGTACTATTTCCATGTTTCTCTGACCTCGCCGGTGATGGAACAGAGAGACGCAGACACGCGAAAACTCGCGAAGGACGAACTATATCCTAAAATCCTTTGCAAGTAGTTCTTTGAGCCCCGTTTTGCAACAAGGGTAAAATCTAGAACTTCATTATATAATCTGCAGCTCTCCTAATATCATTTGCAATCAAAGGGAGGTGTTCTTTATGGCGCGAAATTTCATTTTTCGAGGAGGGAAAAAGTTGAGACAGGCCACGCCCATCGGAGTCGGAGCTCTGGAGGCCATTCCCTCGCCACGATGCGATTCCTGCTGCTGCTCGTCGCCGTTCTGGCGTTCGTCTCGGCTGAGACTTCCTTCATGAGGCCGCAAGGACTTCGGGCTCAACGATATGAGCTCGACCCTTCCGTCTACGATGACTACGAGGTTGGCTTGGGTTTTTTTCACAAGAGGGGATTTTTCGAAAGTTTTGCGGAAAAGTACTGCCTTCAAAAGTGTTCATGATAGAAAGTTTTAATAGACTAGGAGGTTGATTTTACTCAAAACTTTCTGAAAACTTGCAAATAGCACTCATGATATTCAGAAAAAGAGTGATTAGTTCAAAAAATCGTTTTCAAGTCAATTAGAACTCCAAAATTATTTTTATCACTTTCAAAGCTCAAAAAGAGCCTATAATTTTCATGTTAAATTTTTTTAATCCAACTAAAAAAATCGACTATAGGAAACTTTTTGACTTCATTAAGAGCATCAAAATTGATCTGAAATATTTATGACGTCATGAAAAAAACAAAGAAAAAAAGATTTTTTTCCCTTTTTTTCCCAATCGATAACTGAAGAAATTCTCCCGAAAAAAATTCTTTTTTTGAATACTGTTTGAATAGTTTAATGAATTTATAAACTCAGTTAAGCTTTCAGGAAAACCTTAAAGTGATCTCCTAAGATTTTTTTAAACCTTGGAAAAATTTTGAAAAGGCTCCTGATAAGCTTGACTAGTCCTCCAACCGGAACACATTCGATATTTCGGGAAATTCCACGCGTTCCGAGTAATATTAATATTTTATTCATTCCGTGAGTTATTAGCCGCATCTTGTTACTTGGAGGCAGGATTAAAAACTTTTTTGGATAGTAAAAATCGAACTTTTTCAAGTTAGAAACGTGATTTCACGATGGAAATGTGTAACTTTTCTAGAAATCTTAATGGAAATCACCAATTCTACAAAAAATTATGGGAATAAAGCATTTGAAACTGAAATTTAGAGCATACATCATTTCTCATTAGGGCTCTAAATATTAAAGAAAAAAGGTTTAAAAAAGTTTGTAAACGATAATTTTATGCAGGAGGAAGTAGGCGAAAGGATACTGAATTTAATTAAGACCAGAAAAAGAAAAATTCGCCGGGAAGGAAGTAAACTTTTCGATGAAATCAATATCTTCCTGTACCTTTTTTGGGTCCTGTGCGCTTATTATGATTGAAACCTATTGTCGGATTTTTCAATTTTGTTTAAAAATTGCAAATAGCCTTATTTAGACGGTCATGTAAGGTACTTTGAAAGTTTCTTGACTTTTCGAAAATTTCGAATAGGTTTTTTTAGCCAAACTTTAACCGAGTATTTTAAAGAAAAAAATAAATATATATTTATTTTTTTCTTTATTATAAAGCTTTGAGAAGCTGAAAAAAAGGCCCCATAAATCGTGAAAAAGTTTGTCCAAAACTTTCGAAAAAAATTCCTTTTTAGTCGAATTTCTCTGCATAAAATTTCAAAAATATACAGTTTTGGAGAAGAATTTTACTATTAAAAAAACATCTTTGGGTTTTTTTCTTCGAATTTTTGAAAGGCAAACTTCTCAAATTGATGGATAAGAATTGAACCACTGAACCAATTTTCCCATCATTTCTCACTTTTTCCGGTTTCATAGACGTTTTTCCTTGCTTCCAGCAATTTCTTTCAAAAATTTGATTACTATGTACTTTTGGCGAGTTTGGCGAGTTTGAAGCGTTTTTCCGTTGAAAAATTATTTCGCGAAATAAAAATTTAAAAATTAGACTTTCCGGAGCTGTGAGAAAAATCAGTAATGACTTCGAACACGGCTTTCAAAACGTACTGGCCAACACTTTTTTTGGATGAGTTTTTCGATAGAAAGTGCTCATATTTAACATAAAAAAATCTTAAATTTTTCAGTTCGAACGACAACTGAGAAGCCGACCCTTCCATCCGATGGCCTACCGTCAGCGACTCCACAATTGAAAATAAACCAATAACGAGAAAAATCCCAACCTATTAACTCACTTTTATCCAACAATAACAAAATAAATCGGTTTCCGCAGTATGATTGGCCATAAATCTTTCCTCGAAATTACTTATCCACCTTTGGTAATCGGTAGGAAAGCCGCAGGACTGACCGGAGTAGAAAAGCTGCGAATATGCTCTAAAAGTGTACTTTCTTTGGAATATATGGGTAAATTGAATAAAGGTAAAATTCGCGAAGCAATCAAAAAAATAAATTATAAATAAATTTTTGCAAACACGTTTTTTTATCTAACTCCAGAATATCAAACATGATTTGTCTTTGAGATCATAGAGAACACGAAAAAGCAAAAATTAAAAAAAAAAGAAAAAATTCCCTTAAGAGGTCACTAACGATGCACCGGGGCGTTTCCTCCCTTTCATTGTTCGGAAAAATTTTAATTTTTCTTATTATTTTTGATTGCTTTATAAATAATTTAAATGTTTCCTATCCAATCCAATCAGTCAGATTCTAACACAATTAAAGGTGAGCTTATTTTTCAAGATTCTTGAAATTTGGAAGAAAAAGTTGTTTTTTCCAAGGCAGCAAGTTTGGGTTTTGAGGCTAATTTTGGATTTTTTTTTTTCTGTTCGGGGTCTTATTCTTTGCAAACTTTGATTCTTATACGTGTTAGGAGAAAAATAATTTCTTGAAATTAAAAATTTTTTTATAAAAAGATTTATTTATGAAAAAGTTTCTATTATAAAAAAATCGTTTCTAGGATGCTAAGTGTTGATTTTGAATCTTTTTTCGCGGTTAATCTAATTTTTTTTTCAATACTCCCAAGTCTTGATTCCAACTCTGTCTCATTATTTGTTTTTGGCTCTCTTTTATCATTAGCCCTCGAAAAACTTATTTATAATTTCTTCTGGCTACGATTCTTTTTTTCAAAAAACCAATTTATAATCGTTTTAGTAACTGAATTTTAGGTTCAACTTATTTATGAGCGCTCAATTTACTGATAGAAGGTGCTGAATTGTTATTCAAATTTTGATTACAATTTTTTCGAATCCAACTAACCGTAACGACAAAAAGCGTATGTGAGATGACAAACTCCTTGTAACGTGGTTCCATTTTTTCTTATTGAACTTCCGGGAAATGCATTGTCACACGCATTAATATTCATTTTTCCTCCTTCACGCAATATAATTTGCAATAGAAACAGTTGAATGTGAACGAGAGAGAAATGTGGCCGACGTTGCTGGTTCTGCTGTTTTTTTGGCATGTCGGTCAGCGTTCCCAATGGTTTGCACGTCGAGTGAGTGGATTTTGTTTATTTTTGGAGCCCGGAAGTTACATTTTTACTTTTTACTTTAGCGTGACTCTTTCTATGTAATGAAATTCTTTTTGAAGTTTTTTTGAATTTCAGTCAGTTTTTCATGTCGACTTTCTCGGACCTCGGCAATTTCGCGTGATAAATCTTTTGGCAAATGCGATTCCGTTCATATTCCATTTTCAATAGGTTTATTGTGCGTTGGACTATTTTAAAACTACTATAAAAGTTCAAGGAGGCCTTGAAAAACACTATTCAACGCTATTTTTTCATCCAGTAAATGCACAAAAATCGGCTCTCAATGTCGCGCCACTATTGCAATAAGCCGCGCCCCCATTACATACGGCCACGCCCAATGACCACATCTGCTGCCTGTTTGGGAACACTGTGGGTAAAGTACTTAGGAACTTTAGAATGGTACCTATAAAGACCCTTGGAGGGTCCCCTCTAGGGACCACTTCACCAACCCCTATAGTGGCCACTAGAGCTTGAAAAAGGAATCCCTATAGGGGACATGCTAGTCGGTAGCATTTTCATAGGTTAACTGAATAAATAAGCGTTTTTTGAACAAAATTAAAAGCCCCCTATAGGGCCCACTTGAGCTTTAAGAGCTAAGGGGTCTGGCACTGAACCCCTAGAGGACCTTCTTAATTTTACCCCTATAGGAACCGTTAATTCGACTTTATATGGTCTTTACAGTTTCGAGTGAGTGTAATTCTCCTATTTTAGTGGTCAATTATGTCCCTAATTTCTCTCTTTTTTTTATGATCGAAAAGTGCAAATCTTCTTGTTAAGAGGCTCATTTGTATGCACATCCTTGCCTCTCATAAATTCAACAAGGAACACTTTTCCAATTTCCATTAACGAGAAAAAAACAGAAAATTCAGGCGATGAGCCACTTCTTGTGGACGGCGCAGTATCACGGGTCAAGGCGATGTCTCCAAACGAAAAGGTCAAAAATTGCACCGGATACTGTATCGGGTGAGAAAAATTCAAGGAATCAAGTTTTAATTTTTAGAACAAAAAAAAAAGTTTCATGAGAACCGGACGATTTGATCCGATTGAATATGGTGTTTAGAAATTTCCAAAGGTTTGAGAACATCTTAGGAACTCCAGAGGGACCCCTATAGGGGTTTTAAAGCTGACCCCTAGGCCCTAAGGCTTGAGTGGTCGGTCAATTTTTTTTCCAAAGAAGGTTGCTTTTTTAGTTTTTCGCACGGAAAAGCTTCTTCGCCAAGAGTTCATAAAAGTTATCGACTAAGATGACCTCTATAGGGACCACTAACTAAAACCCCTATAGGGACCATTCTTGCAAGCTTTGGTGAAATGTCGGTAAAATGGGACCCTCCAAGGGCTCCTCAGATTGTTCCTATAGGGACCACTCTGGATTTCCTAAGGATTTCTATGTCATTTGAGCTTCGGGACAGTCTTTGATTAGTTTCTTATAAGATGTCCGTAATGAAAAGTTTCTTGAAGGGAAGTTTGGTCAAGTCTGATACAAGATAGTAGGCGGTTTTTTGCAGCAAAAGAAAACTGGAAAATCTTTATGACAATTCCCTCTCACAGAAAGCAAATAATGATCAACGGAAAGCTGAAATCAACAGCGGGGCTCATCCACGTCAGAAATCTTCACTTCACATGCCTTCCAATCAACTCCAAGACGGACAAGTTCTGCAATGTTTCCTGAAAATTTCCAAGTCAACGAATAAAAAGGAGTTCAGACCAAGTGTACTACCAAGGCTGTCGACGTCGGCTCGCCGACTTTCATCAAATATGTGGCACCGATGAAAGCGGTTCTTGTGGCGGATATTGGTGTTGGTTTTTTGAAAAAGTCCTGGTCAGCTTAGGACTGGGTTTCTTACCATAAAAGAGACGTCAGGAAATTTTTTTTTGTTGATTTAATTACTGAATGAGCCAGCCGATGCATAGGTAAAGTCGAAAGGACCCTTTACGGGCCCGTTATAGATCAAAAGGTTTCCATTAGTTGTTCCTAAACGGATGGCAACGGTTTCCTTTTTACTGCCTTTTTCCGTCCTTTTATCGGCCTTCATCCACCCTTTTTGGACCCTTTTAAGAAATACAATTTTTTAAGTTGAGAATAATTTTTAGCCGTGACCGTGTATGAACCAAAATGGGCTACAGTAATACAATCTGAAATCATCAATGACCGAGACTTTCAGCACCCTTTTTGCACCCTTTCCATTTTTTCACCCCTTTTTGAGCCTTTTCCGCCCACCATAAAAATGCTCAATAAAGGCCGCAAAACGGAACCCTTTTAGCGGCCTTTTTGCACCCATTTTTCGCACTTCCGACTTCGGCAGTATGTAGGCTTTTTTTGTTCTTTTTTTGGCGTGAAGAAACAATTATTCATTTATTTCTCATTTATTTTTAATCAAAAAAAGAATCTCACAAGGTAACGAATAGAACAATTTGTTATTTTGATTATTTCTTTGAGGCTGGTATGGATTTTTTTTTTCGCTGAAAAGTGAGGGGTACTGTTTGAAGCAAAGTTGAAAGAGTCTGAATTAATTCTTCAGAAAAAAATGATTGACGAGCCCTTTTGAATATTATTTTTCGTACAAACCATCCTAGAAACGAAATCCAAAAATCAAGTCTTTTTTAATAGAAAAAAAGGGTTTTTTTTAGTTCAGTTTTGGAAAAAGTGTCATTTTCCCCTGTCTTTGCAGGACTTCGATAACCTGAAAGTCCTGGAGAAGGTCTGCTGTTGCAAGAACGAGACGTGCGCGGCGCAAATCGACGCCTCACTCCGGCTTTCCATGCAAACGGCCTACAAGATTGAGTGACGAATAAAACTGCGCGGGGTCTAGTTGTCATGGCAACGTTGTGGAACAGAGGGAGCAGAGGGGGGGGAGGTGATACTTGAAAAGAATAATTTCGGCGCGAGTGATAATCATCGGACCACCTACGCGCGTCGATGCCGCACAAGGCGGAGGACCCGCTCTCGTCTTCCGGCGTCTCGACTTTGTCCGGCACCTCCGTCGCCGTCCGCAAGATCGTCGTCTTTAAGAACGGCGACCGGTTCCACAATGGCGTCAAGGTCGGGTTCAGACTACATTCACCCCGGTTTTTTGAGAAACTCTTCTTTGATTTTGTGTGACTCCTAGAGGGTCTTTGAAGTTCCCTCCAGGGACCAAGTAAATATTAGCCCTGTAGGGACCACTCTAGGGTTTCTAAGTTTTCGGGAGATGTTCACCATTTTGTCCCCTCTAGGGACCACTCTAGGTTTTCCTAATTAACTCCGCTACCGTCTTAGTACCCTAGGTAGCGTTACATTTTTGGTCTTGTTTAAACTTTTAGAGTGGTCCCTGTAGGGTTTAAGAGGAAAAACAGCCCCTACAGTGGCCCGAAGAGGGATCCCTATAGGGGTTGAGAATATGACCCCTTAGCTGCTAAAGCTTCAGTGGTCCCTATAGGGGTCTTTCAATTTTTTCTCATTCGAAAAAGGTTACTTGTTCAGCATGGAAGTACTTCGTCGCTTAGAGTTCATACAAATTATCGACTAGACTGCCCCCCCCCCCCTATAGGGGCCACTCACTAATCAAAACCCCTATAGGGACTACTGAAAGTTATATATCCGTTCATTTTTATCGATTTCTAATGTGTTTTACAGTTCGTTATCAATCCCCGGGTGCTCAAAGACCTCGACACTCTTTTGAACCAAGTAAATGACCGGATCGAGCTCTCCCATGGCGTAAAGAAGCTCTACACAGCGGCCGGAAAACGAGTTCGATCACTGAAAGATCTTCAGGATGGGAAGGTGGAAAAAAGATAGTTTTGAAGTAAATTAGGAAAATTTTGAAGGTCTACGTCGCCGCCTCGAATCACTACATACCGATGGATTATGGGACGGAAGGGGCCAAGGTTTGGAAGCCGCCGAGTCGACGGGGCAGCCCGATTTTCAGGTAGGCTGTTTTTGTCTTTTTCCTTTGGGTAAATTTTATGTTCTGGTTGTCAAAATTTCAGTTTTTGAACCTGAAAACAAGAAATAAGAAGTATCGGTTGAAAAAATTGGTTTGAAGCTTTTTAGTGAGCCAAAGAATTATTTTTATAAAAACCTTAAAATTGAAAAAATCTCTGTCAGAAAGGCTTTTTTTTCAATTTTTAACAAAAAACCAATTTAAAAACGGTTTATATGAATGGAAAACGAGCCAAAAGAGTGCGGCGGCAGCTGAAAATTCGGAAAGCGCCAAAGCGAGTCACTAGAACCTTCATAACTCGGCTCAAAATTAAAATTTTTCAAAAAACTAAAATGGTTCGACTTTTGAACAGTCTGCTCTATGATATGATACAGAATTTAGTTATCCATGATTTTTTGCGGAAAATGGCTTGAAACAATAGTTGTGAGTCCAGGCGCAGAATTTTGAAAAATTTCTTTTCATGTGTAAAAAATCAATTTTCCTATTATTTTTCTGTTCTAGATCGAAAAAGAACTTTTAAATTATATTTTTAGAACTTTCGGTTTAGAGTATTAAGAGTTTCTATAGGTTGATTTTATATTCTGGCTGCCAAATTCTACGTTTCAAACCTAAAATTATCCCGTGAAGCAATGAAAAAAAAGAAATTATTAATATTGGTGGGTCCAGACGCCGAAAATGTGAGAAAGTATCTATTTTTTATATTGACTTGAAAGAGGAGGGAGGCGGGGCAAGGGGCGGAACGCGTAGCGTGTGCGTACGCGGTTCTTGGCACGAAATAAATTCAACCGCCAGCGAGCATTCAGAGAGCTTATTTATCGCTCTTCTCACTTCTTTTTTAATTATATTGATTATGTTAATTTGTGCATCAAAAATTAGTAGAAAATACAGAAAAAAGAGCGGTCGCCGAGCTTTTTTTAAATAGTCGGCGGCAATTGAAATGAACTGGCGACAATAACCGCGTACGCACACGCTACGCGTCTCGCCCCTGCCCCGCCTCCCTCCCCTTTCAAGTCGGGAAACATTGACTATATAATTATGCTTTCCAGTTGAAATTTTCAGTTATTTTTGGTTTTGTTGAGCTTTTTTTTCTGTTTTTTCATTTCAATAGTAATAACCAATCTTAGCTACGAAATTACAGCTGCTTCAATCACTAAAAATGAAAAATGAATAAATTAATTTTTGGTTCGTGATAAAAATTTTGTTTGAGCTCGCAAATTTTCAGCTGTGTTTTCAAGTACCTATGTCAAGGAGAAAACGTTTTGACCGGAACAAAAAATTTTTTAAACCATTTTTTGTTATTCATTTTCCCATCATTTTAAATTTGGTAACCTATTTCGAAACTGAAAACAGTTAATTTTGCGTCCATTTTATCATTATTAAAAAAATTTAAAAAAACTTTCAACTTTTTTTTGTTTTTTTCCTATTCAAAAATCGGTCAAACATTTTTCTCAGATTCAGCCGATTCACGGCTAGAATGAGCCATCGAAAAAAGGGCCCTGAGACTAGGGGGCGCAAAGCCCCGCCCCTTCACGCCACCAAAATGACGATTTTTTTGTTGCAAAAACGGTTTTGAGGCGTTTATACTAGCTAAAGTTCCACTTTAAAAAAATAAACTGTTTCTGTTAATCTATGTAATCGACAACGCTCTACAGGGCTGAAAAAAACTTTTAAAACTATGTATTTTTTTCAAAAAAATAAGCGAAAAAAATAAGATTTAACACGAAAAAAACGGACAAGTTTCACAAAAATCGTCGCGTTTCTGAAAAACCAAGTGAGGAACGCTTCCGAATTTTGAGTATGTTATACATTAAAACTCTCTTTATTTTTTTGAATAAAAAAATTTTTAAAAAAATCTAACGACGCGAAAAATCGAAGCTTGTAAAGTGACACCAAACTTTGAAGCTGAAATGCGAAAAAAATTTCAGCGACATGGTATACTTTTTATTTGATTTAAAAAAACTCACAATGTGCTCACAAACAAAAAAATTCAAAAATGAAAAATAATTATTGGGACAGTGAATCAAATTATATTTGGATTTTACCAAAACCTTCTTTTTTTCGCCTGCCTCATTGACGCATGAGAGAATAGGATCGCGTCTATATTTTTGATTATGTTATTAAGCGTTCAAAACTCTATCAATGAAAAAATTATGAAAAAAATCTAACGACGCGAAAAAAATAACGGCTTTGAAAACCTCGAAAAAATGGCAACTTTTTTTGAAATTTTGGAAGAATTCGTGCAAGCATTCGTAGCTGTGCTTGCGTCAAACACACCGATGCGCCATTTTAAATGTCGCAGGAGCCGTTTTTGAGTCAAATTACACATTTTCCTGTTTTATTTCGAAATAACATTATTTTTTTCATTTTTTTCTTTTTTTCCAAACCAAATTATAATAATTTTTTTCTGATTAGAAAAAAAGAAAAAAATAAGCTGAAAAATTCCTTCTGACCTTTTTTTCTAAGTAGTTTTTTTGATATTTTGTCAAAAAAATTCTTATGAGGATTGTACAAAAGATTTATGCCAAAACGTTAAGCTCAGTTCGGACAACCTCTCAAAACAGAAAACCGATTCGAAAACGGTTCAGAAATGCGTAAAAACATTTAAAAAGAAAGCGTGCGGCAGCGGGTGAACCGTGAGATTTTGCCTCCAGTTGTACGCCGCGCGCGCTCGTTTTTTGGCCATAACTTTTTTCTTAGTGGAGCTTTTTTCTAAAACTGAACGGATTATGAAAATGGACAGTCTCCTCTATCGGACAGTGTAAAAAGCATATTTTTTGGATCGTTTTGAAGAAATGGCTTGCGGACCCTACCTGAGACGATAAAAAAAGGAAGAGATAGTATTTATTTGGTGGAGAGCGCAGACAGACAGGCCCCCCTTAGTGTCTCAAGCTAGCCGTGAATCAGGGATAAAGTGAATTTTAAAGTGCTCAAAAGTTCAAGTTTGGTTTCTTTCAAGGATTTTTAACTTTTTGAAAAAAGCCATTCATTTTTCTCAAGTTAAAACTCAATCAGTTATAACAGATCTCTACTCAGAGTTGACCGGATCCGAACTTCGCGAAGCCAAGAACCGCTACAGCGACAGAAAGCGCAAGCCGTCCGTAGCACCTCCGTGAAACCGGCCAACCGTCTGAGAAAACTAGCCCCGCCTACGAGTTTTTCGGTTTGAATAACTCTCAAAACTGTTCCAAGTTGAAAAATTCTTTCAGGCGACGCAGAAAAAATCACACGTCGACATTTTCATTCCGGATCAACGGGCGAGGAAAACTACAAAAAAGCCGACGACTACGACGACTACGAAAATCGTCAAAGCGGCCGTGCCGAAAACCAGGGCTCTCATAGGTTTGTAGTCGATTCAGTAGACAGGCTCAAAAAAGGTCGCAAAAAGGCCGCAAAAAGGCTGCAAAAGATTCCCTTTGTCGAGCCTTCCTTTTTCCTAAAGCTTCAAAGGCTCAAGAAATGGTGGAGAAAGGGAGACTCAGCAAAAATGGTGCATAACAGCCGATGAACAGGCGCAGAAAGGCAGCAAAAAAGGAGCCTTTGTCACCCTAAAATGAAAATTTCTGAGAACCTCTTTTCCACCTTTTCCAATTGTGCCTAGGACATCTGATTCATTTGGGACATCAAAAAAGGGTCCTGGCACGATTTAAACAAAGAAAATAGTGTCTCGTTAGTGGAGAGCCCAGACAGGCCACGCCCCTTTGCGCTTCAAACCAGTCGTGTTCTACACTTTTCTAAATCCAGACAATTTTGTCTATAGTTTGCTCAGATTTTGAAAAAAGTGACGTGATTCCACAACGCTCTGCGGATGGCTGGCTCTCTGATCGGTTTATCGCGTCATTAGGGGCGGGGCTTGAGCGACGACTTGATTTTTAAAATCTGAACGGACTTTACCACTGAACTTAATATAAATTAACATAAAATAAGCACGGTTTCTAGTGAGCTATATAGTGGTCTTGAAAAAAACTGTTCCCAGAAGGTTTCATGATGAAAAAAAAAAATTTAGAAACGAAAGCTAACTTTTCGAACATTTTAACGTTTTAATCTTCCCTGGAAGCAAACATCCAGTCTGATTACTATCTTCTTGTTTTTGACCCCTTAAGTGATCCCTTTTTCAGTTAACTCTCGCCCTCCGGCCAAAGCACCGCCAAAGGCAGCTGCCCAGCCGACCAAGAAGAAAGAAGTGAAGGCGAAAAAAGCGCTGAACAATGGTGCCCCACCGCCAAAAACAGCCGAAGTGGCCCCGAAAGTGGCCGTCGTCGACGTCGAGACCCTTCACAGAAGTCCGACGCCTCCTTTGGTTGCGCTGCCTGTGGAACTTTCTGAGGAACAGAGGTAAAATACTGGAATATTAATGGGTGGATTTATTGATTTTACATGGTGGAAAATAGAGGTTTTTAAATGTTGATTTTAAGGGGATATGAATGAAATTACATATTGAGACAGGTAAATTTCAGAAAAAATAGGAATATTTTCAGTCCCTCCCGTCGATCACGCTCCAGATCCCAATCACGGTCAAAATCAAGGTCAAGATCGAGGTCAGAGTCACATTCCGAATCATCTTCTCATCATTCTGAGGAGGAAGAAGAGGAAGAAGAAGAGGAGGAGGAGGATGAGAAGCATTCTTCATCTTCACGGGGTTTTTTTTGTGACTTGCAAGTTAGAATGTATAAGAGTTTCAGATCGAACGCCGTCGTCATCTTCAGAAAGGCCAAAGAAATCTTCTGCGCGCTCTTCTTCCGGGTTGGTTTTGAAAACCCGAACTTTATAAAAAAGCAAAAAAATCAGAAAATCAGAATTCGATACTACTCAGTTAGTTCGGCTTCAGGTAGATCATCCTGTTAGAATATTCATTTTTGACTTGTCAGAAGTCTCCAAATGTCCCGGAAACAGCTTGGTGGCTTTGAAAAACCTTTCATATTTCGTATAAGCTTGAAAATCTCCTCAACTTATTTTTAAGTTCAACAGGGTCACACAGAAACGTTTTTCTACATTTTTGAAACATCAAACTTTTTTCAGTGCATTCAGAAGTTCAAAGCTGTAATTCTGAGAAAAAAATCTTGAAACTGTCTTGTTTATAACTTGATAGCTTAAGGGATCCCTTGGATCGCTCAAAAAACTGCCAGTAAAACTCCATAGAATTAGTTAGACCGCTTTTAAAGGTTCTTAGACCTCTTATTAACTTTGAAATCAGAAAAAAAAAATTTTTAAAGACTACTATAAGGACCACTTAAACTTTAGAGGGTCAGATCATGTTCCTTTTAAAAACCATCTGAATTTGAGCAATCTAGGGGCACTGTTTCTTCTGCATTTTATCCCCTATAGTGGCTGCTTTTCCCTAACCCCTATAGGGGACACTTCAGCTTTAGGGGCTGAGAGGTGAGACCCTAACCCCATAGGGGCCACTCAACATTAACCGCTAGAAAAACCGCTTTTTTGTCCGATATAGGGTATGTTTTTCCCCTAAACTCTTTAGGGGCCACTTCAAAGTGGGGCCTAAGGGGAGAGACTTTGAACCCCTATAGAGACCACTTCTCTTCCCCTGTAGGGTCTGTTTTTTTCTTCAAAAGGGGCTGAGACTTTTAAATATGGGCTCTTTCTTCTACCCCTAATCCCTCTAGGGACCTCTCAGAAATTCCTAAGAAGGGGCTGTTTTTTCTACTCCTACTCCCTCTAGGGACCACTCTAGCATCCGCGTTTTAAAACCTCAAGCCAGTTGTAAATCAACCTTTTCAGAAACTCCTCATCACGCCACTCTTCAGCTCATTCCAACGCTTCGAAACGCTCGAAAAAATCTGAGAAATGAGATATTATGCATGAAATCCAATTATGAAATAATAAACTATAATATTTTTTTCTCTGAAAATTCGAAGAAACTATAAAGTAGACGAATGAGGAAGAACTCCGCGGGGCAACGTTTGCGGTTTCCAGGACACCGTTTCCAGGCTCCCGAAATTCTGGAAGCGAAATCTTCTTCGAATCTATATTTGTACCCGAAAAAGCATGCCGGCCACCCGCAGAAGTCAGTCTCATCACGATTCTACCGTTGGCAATGCTACTGTCAAGAAGATTACTGTGTTCAGGAATGGCGACGCCGTTCATGGCAGTATCCAGGTTTGAACTGAGATGCTTGTTCGGTGTTAAATGAGGCTTCTGCGCCTTTAAACATATTTCTCGTGCTCAAAATTTTTTTTGAAGTCGGAAGGATCTTACGGGCCCTTTGAGCGCCCGTTATGGGTACAAAAGGTTTTCATTAATTGTTCCTAAGTTGTTCCCTTTTTACTGCCTTTTTTCCGTCCTTTCATCGGCCTTCATCCACCCTTTTTTTGGACCCTTTTCAGAAACACAAAATCTATTAAATTAAGAATTATCTTTGCCAATGACTGTGGATGAACTAAAATTTGAAATAAAGGCTCAATAAAGGCCGCAAAAGGGAACCCATTTCGCGGCCATTTTGCATCCGTTTTCCGCGCTTCCGACTTAGGCAGTATTTGAAAGCACAAATCTGTATTTTTGAGCTGAAAAATGTCTTGATTTTTCCTTAATAATAATTTGAAAGCCTCTTCAAAAAAAGCTTCAGACAAGATTTTCGGAGTGATAATAGTTTGAAAAATCTTTTTGGGTAATTTTTTTCTGAAAAAACCTTTGAACTCAATTTTTAAAACAAGCTTCATCGAAGTTTCATCTTCCTTCTCTCAAAAGTGAAGAGATTAAATTTGGAAAAGCTTTTTTTGCGCAGATTTTGAACACATATTTGAAAAAAGTTTATAGAGAGATTGGAAATTTTAAATTGATCTAAAGGGTCTACTTTTCTGGCTTTGTTGATCCCTTCCTGAGGTATTTTTTTGCGTTTCTCGGAATGAAATCGTCCCGAAAGCCTTTTGTTCAATTTTCCAAATGAATGAAAGAAGAAGACGGATGGATGGATCAACGTTTAATTGAAATTCGCACTTTGATTGCTTCCCGATCTTTTGGGAATTAATCAAACTGGCGTTTATTCTTCATTTTGAAGACTTTTGAAAGCTCTAACCCGTAGAAAAGTTAAAAGGAAGATTAATTTATCGAGAAAAAAAAATCAAAAAATTCAGATGGTCGTGAACAACCGACAAATACGGGATATGAACATCTTGCTGGAAAATATTAGTCAACGAATCGGGTTGATAAACGGCGCCAAGAAACTTTATACGACTTCTGGAGTTCTTATAAAGTCCATTGGAGATTTGCAAGACGGCCATGTGAGTTTCGACTTTTTTTATGACACTTTGAAGCGCCAGAGTGGTCCCTAGAGAGGTAACTATAGGGACCACTTCACTTTTCACTGTAGGGGCTCCTGAAGCTTGCAAGAGTGGCCACTCTAGGGAGAAACTTGCGTTTATTTTTCATTTTATTTCTATTATTTTTATGAAAAATGTTTACAGAAGGTAGTTTTATGAATTTTTAATATATACGTCTTCTTAACTTTGAAATGAGGACAATAACTTAAAAAAATCACTTTAATGGCCACTTGAGCTTTGGAGTCAGACCCTGAACCCCTAAAGAGAACACCTTGAGTTTAACCCCTAGAGGGACCACTTTCTAGGCCTCTATAGGGCTGTTTTCCCTTCTAACCCCTATAGGGACCCCTCTGGAATTCCTTTAAAAAAAATCAATATTGTTATTTTTTAAGCAGAAAATGCTCAATTTTTAATTTTCTGACGCAGCTTAAATTTAAGAAAAAAATGCTCGAAAAATGTCTCTTTTTAAAGTCTTTTTCACTTTTAGCGTTAATAAAATCAAAAATTTTTTTCAATCGAAACCCGATTAGATCGTTAGAGCGCACTTTCTGACAACCTAGCCATGAATAAACTATTATTTTTTTGAATATTTTTTTTCAAACTTTTTTTCAATGAAATTCTCAAAACTATCATTAAAAATAACCTTTTTAGAGCTACGTTGCTTCCTCGAATCACTACACACCTCTACCATATGGCGGTGTTAACAAGTAATTTTATTCTATTTGAAAATAGATTTTTTTTCAAACTTCAGAAAGTCAAAGAAGCCGAAAATCCACAAGGAGGAAGAAAATCACCAGCCACTCGTCGATGAGGAGACTCAAACGAAGAAGAAGAAGAAGAAAATTCATAAAAAGGTATTCTTTTATAAGAAATAGAAATATTTTGAAATTCCAGGAAGTCGAAGCTGTTGAGAAGCTGGAGAAACAAGAAAAGCCTGGTAAATTGAAAAGTTGGTCGTTTCTTCCAAGATTTTTAGAGGTTCTTCAAAAATTCAGAAAAGAAGGCTCGAAGCAGCAGTCGGAAAGCTGAGGAGAAGAAGAAGAGCGAAATCGAGGATGACGTCATTTCTGAGAGGTATTTTCCACGATTTAAGAGAAATCCCGTAAAGGTCCGAAAGAGTGGTCCCTATAGGGATTTAGGGTCTGACACCTTAGCCGCTAAAGCTGAACTGAAACTCTAGAGAGATCACTTTTGCAAGCTTTAGTGGCCTCTATAGGGGTTGGTGAAGTGGTCCCTAGAGGTAAAGCTTCAAGGGCCCTATTGGGCCAATCTGAAGTTCCTAGGAATGTCTCATAAATCCATGAGAAACTGAAAAAATATGATGTTTTTATACTTTTCAAACGATGTTCACGCCACTCTAGAGATCCTTCCAGGAAAATATTGATGACGCATTTTTTGAGTATCTGAAAATCCCTCAAGGGGTAATTGAAAAATCTGAAATTTCTGAAAAATTTATGACGTATGAAGAAGCTGAAGAAGGACTTATTATTCTGAAGCGTTTCAAATAACTTTATTGGAGACCAAGGCTACAAAAGTTCATTTTGAGAATTGGATGACGTCATTTTCCGATCGAACTGGAATAAATGACGTCATTTTACTTTTTCTTGACAAAAGGTTTATAAAAACTGACGTCACTATTTGTGAAAATCCACGACCTTCATTTTTGGAAATTAGAAACCCTCGATAGGATCGAAACTGATTAATGACGTCATTTTCCGATCAAACTGTGATAAATTACGTCATTTTCCTCTTTCTGGACAAAAGATTCAAAAAAACTGACGTCACTGTTCGTGAAATTCCACGACTTTTGTTTTTGGAAATTAGAAACCCTCGATAAGATCGAAACTGATTAATGACGTCATTTTCCGATCAAACTGTGATAAATTACGTCATTTTCCTCTTTCTGGACAAAAGATTCAAAAAAACTGACGTCACTGTTCGTGAAAATCCACGACCTTCATTTTTGGAAATTAGAAACCCTCGATAGGATCGAAACTGATTAATGACGTCATTTTCCGATCAAACTGTGATAAATTACGTCATTTTCCTCTTTCTGGACAAAAGATTCAAAAAAACTGACGTCACTGTTCGTGAAATTCCACGACTTTTGTTTTTGGAAATTAGAAACCCTCGATAAGATCGAAACTGATTAATGACGTCATTTTCCGATCAAACTGTGATAAATTACGTCATTTTCCTCTTTCTGGACAAAAGATTCAAAAAAACTGACGTCACTGTTCGTGAAATTCCACGACTTTTGTTTTTGGAAATTAGAAACCCTCGATAGGATCGAAACTGATTAACGACGTCATTTTTATTGAATTCTACCAATAATGACGTCATTTACCAGGCTTGGCCGCGTCGTACACATCCCTACAAGTGACGACGACGCCGTGAGCAAGGAGGTCGAGCTTCCGAGCGGCGACGAAACCGAAGAGGAAGACCCCGAGACGGTGGCCATCTCCAGGGAAGTGGCTTCGCGACGCGCGTCGCTCGCAGCAGCGACATCGCCGAGTTCGCGTCGCAAATCGCACCCCAACTGGGGCGACTTGTCTTCCTTCACCAAGAACATTGAGAGCTTGCTGCGAAAATGAACAGAATACAGGGCTTTTGTTGTATATACTTCTCATAAAAATTCTCGCTCAACAAATTATTTTGCATGAGTTTCTAATAAATTTTTGATTTTGATTTATTTTTTTCGAGTTGGTTGCAAAACGTCCGATTTATGTTTATATTTTTATCCCATTTTGAAAGTGATAGTTATTTCTTCAGAGAAGGGTAGTAAAACTTGACGAGTTACTCCTTCATGCTCCTTGCAGGTAAATCAGAGCAAAAAATTAACAAAACTCGCTTTGAAAATTCTCGTTATGGGAATACTGTCAATGTTAGCAAATCTGAAGCGTGAAAACGAGTAAAAGCTCGAAAAAAAAAATTAATTTTTTGAGAGTTCAAAAAAAAAGGTAAAAAACTAATTTTGCACCGTACGCGTCGCTGTGCTTGCAGACTTAGCAGTTACCGTAGTCTTAAAAAAACCTTCCTTTTTTTCTCTCCACAGAACTGCATGAATTACGTTAATTCATGGTTTCTGAATAGGTGATAATTTTTTTTTCGCTCAAAAAAATGATTTGATTAACCAGATTTCAAAAATTTTCCGAAATAATTTTATTGAAAAAAAGAGACCGACGTCTTAGTCGTTGGGGGACAGCCGTATCTTCTTGAGTAGGGCATAGATCCTCTAGAACATCCTGAACCATCTCACAGTCGAGCATTGGAAAAAAAAACTAACCGATCTGTTGATCTTGCGGCGTCGAGGCAAGGCCGAGTTTTTTCTGGACTCTGGTTTGGAGGAAGCCTGAAAATTCAGGAACCTCTACCTTGGTTATTGTGGCAATATTCTTATACTTTTTATTCTTTCTTACCTTGTAATAATTTTGCAACCTCACAGTTAAAAAATCACGAAATAAATCAAGGAAAAAATAATTTTACTCACCAACTCGCTTTTTTTAAGATGGGTTCCAAGGAAAGTAACGACCTGAAACCGTAACTTTTTTGAGAATATTTTTAAATTCAAGCAAACTTCGCTCATGTCGGCTCGCGCTTTCGGATTATAAGGCCAGAGGCGATCCTGAACGAAGTTCTGAACTTCTTTTGGAGCCTGAGTATCCTTCATCGGGTTGGTGATTCCGGCCAATATCTGGAAAAATAATACTTTTGTGATTTATTCATGGTTATTTTATGGTTTTCATAGTGCGTCTTGTGCCGCGGCTTGAGAGTTCTCGAGTGTCTGCGTCTCTCTGTTCCCTCACCGGCGAGGTTAGAGAAACGCGAAAACAGCGTGTCAACAAGAGAGGGTCGTCAAGAGACGAGGAGAGCGCAGAGAAGTCGCGAAAAACAGACTGCACTCTAGTTTTTGCAACTTCTAAAGTGTAGCAGAAAGCTTTTCGTAGCCTTTTTCTATAAATGATCGGAAAGGACCAACCTTTTTTCTTGCCTCAACCGGACTGAATTCTTCGTACGGTAACGATCCTCCCGTAAAAATCTCATAAATCAATATCTGAAAAAAATCAAATAAAGATCAATTGAAATTCTGCAAACGGACTCCGAAAGTGTAGACGTCCGACTGTATGAGGAAAACGAAAGCGGATAAAGTTTCCGGGGACAAATATCTCGTCGGCAATTTCTCAGTCTTCTCCATGATATAAAATCCTCCTTCTATCGACAGTCCAAAGTCCGACAGTTTTAGCTAAAAAAAAATATAAAATTGCTTGAGGAATTCTAAACTTTTCCGTCAGCGTTCAGAAGGCAGTTTCTCGCCGCGATGTCCCTATGAATAATGTCATTTTCGTCTAAATATTGCAATCCTTTCGAAGCTTCAAAGGCGAAGTTCAAAAGCTGTGAGGTAGTCGTCGATGAATAGTGATCAAGGAGGAAGTTTTCCAATGATCCGCCTGCAAAAATAAATATCGAAATTTCAATTCACAGCGGTCCTAAACAGGCTGAGAAAAAAATTTTGGCGCGAAAATTCAAATCTTAAGTACGCAGCAAAAAAATAAGTTTTAACGTTGAATACTCAGTGTTATTGTTGACGTATACTACTTGATAAAATAAAAAGAAACGAAGAACAAAGAAAGATCCGAAAAATGGCGATGCATGTGGTCCATAGAGCAACTTTACTGCCGAACACTTTTTTGCGAAATTTAAATTTTTTTCGACTTTTAATTTTTTTTTTAACCAAAACTAGGAAGTTCTGTACGTTTCCAAGTACTCCGTTCAACACGAAATAAAAAGACCATGTTAAAAATTAACGGCAGTTAAACAGTATTGTTTTTCGAAACATTTAACTCAAGTTCAGAAAAAAAAAACACTTTACGTTTACGAGTAAACTAACCGGGCATGTACTCCAGCAGTATCATAAATGGCTGGGATATGATCATCCAGCCGATCATCTTCAAAACATTCTCGTGATTCAGATCGAGCATGAGCCGGCCTTCCGCGATGAGCTCATCACTAAGCGCTTTCAAGTTTGGAGAGTCTGATTTCAACTGGAAAAAAGGTCTGTTGGTCTCTTCCATTTGAACATACAGCTTTGACTGCGACTTTTGTCACCAAAAGGCCGATAGAAGGCTGTATTTCCGCTAAGAAAAACCTCTGCGAATGCTCCGCCTCCCAACTGAAATTATTCTTTCATATTTTGTGTCAATGATGGGTTCAAATAAAAGGTATATTTTTATCTAACTAGGGAACTTTATTGAAAATTGTCAACTAACTGTTGTTTTCGTGCGCGTAATCTGAGACGGAACAAACTCGAACAGTTTCCTGGGAACACCTCTTTTCAGCTGGACATTCAGATCGCTCTGAAAAAATTATGAGTTCAAGGTGATAAGGTCGTTACCTTGTGCGGATAGAATATGTAAAAAGCGAGAAGATCCTCGAGGTTGTCAAAGGTCATGATTCTCTCGATGAAAAATCCGTGATCGTTCCTTTTGACCATGTAGTTGACAGGCCTTATGGGATCGTCGTGTCCGTAGCTTTTCTCATCTTCTCAAAAAATTCACATAAGAGCGTAAATCCAAACGGAGAATCGTCTCCTACTACTGCGCGACAGTTGCGTTAGGCCACGCCTACTGGTTTTTTTGGAACGCTGTTAGTGATTTAACATAGGCAAAGTCGGAAGGACCCTTCGAGGGTCAGGAAGGCTGCTGTAGGGCTTCATAGAAATTTTCCTTTAAGGGTGATGAAGGCCCCTTTTTCCTGCCTTTTTGCTCCGTTTTCTCAGCCCTTATGCATCATTTTTGCTGCCTCTCTTTTTCTCCACCATTTCTCGAGTCTTTAAAATCCCGAAAAATGAAAGGCTCGAAAAAGGGACTCTCTTTGCTGCCTTTCTGCGGCCTTTTTGGAGCCTCTCTCTTTTAGCGGCCATTATCCGCCATTCCGACTTTGCCCGAGAAGACGCAAAACTGAAAAACCTTCACTATCACTCCCATCGCTGTTGATTTTCTCGCCCACGGTGATGATAATATAGTGCTTCCCTTCGTCTGCAAAACAATTTTTTTCAAACAGATCTTTTTTCATTTTTTAAAAACCTTCAACTTTCCTCACGAGGTAGTCACCTTGTCGACGTATGAATCTGTACGTTTCATATTGGGGTAGATAGCTAAAATGCCATCGTGTTTTTTATATTACAACGAAGTCTCTCACCCGTGGAAATAAATAAAACCTGCCAAAAAATCTTCGTTGTTCGGAGCGTCGTCAATTGGCCTTTCAGGAACTAGCATTTCGTGAACGTCCGCTCCTATGAGCATAACTTCCAACATTTTTATTTTAAGGACAGTTTGAATAGACTAATCATCAGATCCACCTTCAAGAAGAGTACTGTGAAAAGACACAGTTTGAGATTTAAAGAAATGTTTGAAACTACTAATGATTGCCAAAAAAAATGTTGAAGCTACTAATGATTGCCAAAGTGCTCCATTATAATGATCAGGGGAAGGGGGAAGGGGGGGTGTGGTTAAGTGCTCCCTAAGGGGGCCTCTGAAGGAACCAACACTGGAGTCCCGAGTGATGTTCATTTAAGGATCAGGATGCTCTAGCGAACTGTGAAGTTTTATTGAATCCTTAAGCTTTTGAAACTCTCTTGTGAACTCACGATCTTCCTGGTTTCGTCTGATGGGAGGCAACGATGACTGATCAGAAAACTGAAAAGACATTGGCTCCGTCTGCGCGTTTAGCTTCTGGTCGGCCATTGTCAATTTTTTATCCTTATCGTTTGTTCCATTCTTGTCTTCTCTACGATCTTGTTCATTAGCCACTAGACCTGTAAAGTTTATTTCTATGATAGTTCACAAAATGGCTCAAAATTTGTTTGAAATGGTCTCCGACTGGAAACGGCTCTCGCGCTATGGCATCAAAAAGCGGGAGCAGAAAAACAAATTTGTTGAATCTTGACTAGGAGGTTTCTTGTAGAATTGTAAAGGACAACCGGAAAGCTTCGAGCCATTTACACTAAGTTGGAAAGTGGGCGGAGCTTATCAAAACCTGGCGTGAAACTTTTAGGGAATTTTCATAGTATCTGTGACAGTAAAAAGATGGTCAAGAAAGAAAAATCTACCTCCCTCTTCCAATATTTCAAGTTTGCCGCTGATGTTCTTCTTCTGTGTGAGATTAGACGGCTCGCATGAAGTTTTTGGATCCGCATCTGCGCCGCTTTTCAACCGGTCGCCACCTCCCAAGATCCACGAAAATGCTTTCTCTTCTGCTTAGAAAAAACTTGTTATGAATTAGTTTAATGTTGACAGTGCATCAATAACAGCACCATCCTCAAATTGCCCTCGGAAAATTGCCCAAGCGAATCAGGAGGGTACCATAATGTATCCACAAAGATACCTTTAAAAAGGGGTCTTGAAGACCCCATAATTTGTTCATCGTGAGACCTCCGGCATACTTTTAAACTGTATCTGTACCATCTCAGAGGTACTTGAATGTCTCCCCAAAGTCTACCTCATTTTGCTCAACGTCCTCAGAGGTATACCGAGGTACCCTAGACTTCCGACCCTGCGATATACCTCACAGGGTATCGCGATACCCTTTCTCGATTCGCCTATGTTATTCTAGAACGGTCTCAAGTCTTAATTTTTGAGCAAAGTGAGGTAAATGAGGATATTTTGAACAGCAATAGATAGATGCTCGAAATCATTTGATCTTCTTTGGAATTCATTACAGCGCTAGTGTAGTTAAATATTTGAAACGAACTCATTTTTTGAAGACCCCATCCTTCGGAGCTTCTGTCGGGTTTTAACGGGCTGCCGTTGCTGGATTCTCCCTCGGAGTCTAAAACTCGAGAATAACTTTTTTGATCAACAGCTTTTTTCTTAGACAACGCGGCTTTCGAGAAGGTTTCTTAGGAACTACAAAGTAGTCCCCAAATCGGCAAACCTAGAAGGTTGCCCTCGTCCCCATATAAGGGTCACTAAAGCTTGCAAAAGTTTTCTAGACATAGGTTCCAGTTAGTGACGACTATAGGGGACATGCTGGTCGATAATTGAAGCTTGGAAAAGGTATAGGTATAGGCTAGACCAATCCTATTATGAGTTCTAAGAGAAACTATCCTGTAGTTTATCTCAACGAAGATTTCATAGGGAGCTCAGTAGGGTACACATTGCGTTTTGAAAAGGATCTTGAATTTTTTGGCCTTCCTCTTCAAGAAGTAACTGTAATTTTTTACGTCGAGAGAAAGCTTCTCAACAAATTGCGAAAGCAGGATGAAATTGAAAAATTCAATAAATACCTTGAAGTTCTCGCAGAGCCCAGGTGCACGTTCCTTCTTCGAGGTCGTCCAAATCCGGCCTCATCGCCATATGAGAGCCACTCCTCAGCTCAAACTGTTTTTAAATGAGCTTTCCACCTACGGCTCTCGTAGCGTTGATTTTATCTTTTCTATCCATATCTCTCGTTTACTTAGTTAGATTTTTTTTCACACAGAAATGGGTAAAGCGCGCCCCTTCGCGAAAGTGGAAAATTTTGATTTGTTGAGTTTTTCAAAAATAAAATTTCTCATTTTTTCAACTACAGATGGGTCCCTGTAGGGGTAACCCTAGGGCCTAGGGATCCTTGAAGAGTCCCCTCTAGAGACCAATTTATCCAGTGGCCAGTAAAGCTTGCAAAAGTGGTCGATTATTGTTATAAACTTTAAACAAAAAAGCTTGTCCTTTCAAAAAATCTATAAATTAGGGTTCTTTGAAGGAAAAATGTTAATAGAGGAAGATTTGATAAAATTTTTTGCTTTCTTAATTTTCAAACTTAAACTAAAATATTTTTTAAAAAACCGCATAGGGACCTCAAGAGCTTTAGAGTCTTATGGGGTCTTTAGCATATCCTGATTTGGCAATGAAAAATTTTTTATCCTCCTAACTAGTAAGTTTTCACTTTCATTTTAGTTCATTTTTCTATTCCTGGAATTCCTCTCTTTCCAAATCACGTGTTCTTGTCACTTTGCCCTTTTATTTCCGCTGAAGCGAATTAAAAGGATAATTCAACTTCCAAGAATAGACTGAGGAGCACCGTACGCCATAGGAGAGAAAAACATTTCCAATCAAGACGGCGTAATCCTTTGGGCGAATTGCCAAAGCAAAAGTGCGTCCTGCAACACCACCAAACATTTCCAATTAACGTCGGCACGACCGAGAACCTCATCAATTGCAAATTTTTCAACGTGTGGGTGACGGAGGACGCCGCCGGCCTCCGACGGGGTGCCAATAATTGCGATTCATCAAAAATTCCGTGTGCCAACACCACACGAAAAAGGCCCTTTTTGGCTCATCTATCTATCTTTTTTTTCACGGAAGGATTGGTGGTAGTCGTTCAGGTTGTAGTACTCGTCGTGTGGTGGCCAAATTGCCACCTTCGTTTTTCACTTCAAGTAATCATCGGTTGCTTGTCCATCCGTCTCAAAATACTATGTTTTTCGTCTCTTTGGAACCCCTCATTTTTCCGAATTTTATATTTTATGGTTTATTGGTTTTATTAACGACTTGTGCGATCCGTCTTCTCTTCTATTTTTGGTTCGAATTTTGAGAAAAAAAGGCCAAATTTGAAAAGAAGGGCTTTGACCACTTTCTGCAGAGTGGTCTCTATAGGGGCCCCTCGAAGGTTCCTCTTTAGACGCCACTTTACTAACCTCTATAGGGACCACTGAAGCTTTCAAAAGTAGTTCCTTTACTTATGAACTCCAGAGTGATCCCTATAGGGGCAACCGTAGGAGCCCTTAAAGAGGTTTTAATTAGTGGCCCCTATAGGGACATGCTAGCCGATAATTGAACTATAAGTGAAGAAGTCTTGGGAAAAACTGAAAATAAGGGTTTTTGAATGAAATTGAGAGACCCCTATAGGGTCCACTTGAGCTTTAGGGTCTGAAGAATGAGACCATGAACTCCTATAGGGACCACTTTTTTTCGGTTCGAGAAATCGTCTAAAATTGATATATTTTTTTCACTGCAGACCTCTTGGCGGACAAAAAGAGTGTCTCATAAAAACCCCCTAAAGAGGTCACTTGAGTGGGGCATTTTCTCTTTAGTGATCCCTTAGACATGCCGGCTACTTCATTTCCCTCTCATTTTAGGGACGCCGGAGTGGTCACTTGGGAGCTGTTGGGACACTAAACCCTTGCAAAAGTGACCACTCTAGGGATTTTAGTAAGTGACGACTCCAGGGGAGCATTTTTTGTGGTGATCAGTACACGTTTTTTTGACTTTCGCATCTGAACCAAAGACCACTATAGGGACCACTTGAACTTTTGGGCCTCAGGTGTCAGACCGGAAACTCCTATAGGGGCCGGCCTTTCAAGGAGCACTATCTTGTCCACTATAGAGGCTTTTTCCCCTTAACCTCTATAGGGATCACTCTGGCGATCCTAAGAAGGGAATGGTCTCAGCTCAAAGTGGGACTTCTGAACAAGACTAGGTTCACTAGATGTAGTTTTTTCACGCTGATTCCAAATCTGGTCTTGAAGACTGCCCTCGAGGTCTGTGAAAAATAGTTAAGGCTCTCAAACTTGAAAAACTTTTAGTGGTCACCACAGGGTTTTAGTGGCCACTTTAGAGGTCAATGGATCTGGTCCAATCTGTTTTTTTTTTCGAAGTTATCAGAGCTACTGGAAGGAATACTGGATGAAAAACTACTGAAGTGGCCACTAAATAGATAGTCCCTATAATGGCCACTAAAACGGAAAATAGTGGCCACTTTAGTGTCCTCTCCAAGTTCTTGACGAGCCTCTATAGCGGCCCCTAAAAATTTGGAGGGTATATAGTCCTTGTACCCCTGGTCACGAAAAACCGTTTAATTTTTTTTGAAGGAGCAGTAGTAAGATAAAACTTAAATTTTTAAATTTCAAACATCCCTTTTCTAGCTTCTTCCGAGCTTTTCCCTTCCTAAAATTTTCTTGGCCCTCTTCTCATTGTTTATATATGTTTTCCTGGTACATTGGTATGTTTATGTGTAGTTGATGAAGTGTTTACAAAAGCCCGGGTTAAAATTTCCGCACCCGTGGGATTGACACTTGGACGTCTAATTAACGTCGTCCGTGGGATTTATTTTTCTTTTTTTTTCGTCATTTTCATTCGTTTCCATTTCAAGTTGAACAAAAGCCAGTTAATTGTTTGCCGATTGTAATTGAATTATATTGTTGATGAAAGTCTTGTGATCTGACTCATTGGAAACCTTTTTACCTTTGGAACTTGTGATTCCTCGAAAAGTGTTGTTGAAGGAGAGGATTCTCAGGATTGTTATTTGGATTTGGGGTTAATTTATTCAATATCTTAAGAGTTTTTTTAATATAAATTATTGTTTTTTTACAGATTTTATCCTGGACCCCATGTTAACCGGAAAAAAAGTTCCAGAAGTGAAATCTTGAAACAATCGTTCAATAAATTTGATAGTCAAGGCGGCAATAATTTTTGAGAACAAAACCAAAGACACCTCCCTATTTCTTGTAGAAACAGCAATATGAAAAAAAAGGATCAAAAATATTTGACCGCAAAAAAAAATTAAAAAATCCTTTTCTTGAATTTTTTTGGATGTCATTCAGAGTTTTTTTTTGTTGGATTTTTTTCATAAACCCTTACTTTTTTTAATCTTTCATCTTATTTATCGTACTTCTCTCAATGGGAAGATAGTAAAATTTAGAGAATTTCTTCAAAAAAAGCTAGATAATTTTTTTATTGATAAAAAAAGGTTCAGATCCCTTTTTATCAACTTTGAGCTTTTAAACTCTCAAAAAAACTCAAAAACTCCCACAAAAATTCAAAAATTTTTGAATTTTTTTCTGAACTTCTGTATCATGGTTTCCATTATTTACTCATGCTATTTCAGAATATTTTCTATTTTCTGCAGTTTTCGAAAAAGTCTTTTTTTCAAGGATACTACATCATATGGTTCATTTCGGAAAAAAATAGATTTATTTTGAATTTTTTTCCCTTTTTTTTGTTTTTCAAAGATTTTTTTCAGTTTGAAGAAGTTTCATTAGATTTTATCACTCATTTACTTCCGAATCACACTTCAAAAATTCCTTCTGAAGGAAAATATTTTCTCATAAGTAGGAAAAAAATATGCCTTTTTTTGGATTCAAAACTCAATTTTTTTAAGGAAACTTTCGAAAAAAAGTACTGATTTTCTAAATTTCAAAAATTTTATCTATAGATCTTTCATTCGATTTTTTTCTAAAAGGTATAAGAATTTATAATTCTGCTAGACATTTTTTTGGGATCTGCGCAGTTTTTTTCCGGCTCCAAGATATTTTTTTGAAAAAAAGTTTTTTTCTTTCTAACTTGAATGAGGATCTTTTATCACGTTTAAAAATCTATGAAAAAAACTCGTATTTTTTTTCCAATTTTTTTAAAAAGTTTCCTTCCTTTATCTCTACCAGGTAATGGTCTCAGCTCACAGTGGGGCTTCCGAATGAGACTCTCGACTTTTGAGGGTCCATAACTTTTCTCACAGACCTCGGTGGCAGGTTTTAAGACCGGATTTGGAATCAGCATGAAAAACTACATCTGTGAGCTGAGACCATTCCCTCGTTAGAAGGTCGAAACTTTGCTGGACAATCGTTTTTCCTCCAGGTTTTTCTTGGGATAAATTTTCTCACCTAAAAAGGATCTTCACGTTTGTTTTTCGTATGTGTGAGTGAGTATGTGTGTGTGGTACCCATCTGGTCGGATCCTCCTTCTTCTTCACAACTACAATAAAGAAAAGCCATCCTGCCTCGTTCTCCTCCAAAAACATAAATATATTCTGAATGCCGACCGACGGCGACAACGCCACCCAACGACGACGACGACGAAAAAAAAAGACGTTGAGTGAAAGGCGACGCCGGCCCTCTGACAAGCGACTACTAATTAGGGTTTTAACGCTCATAGATGCCTTGGGGGGTGAGCCCGAATGGAGGCGGAGCTTCGAGCCGAGCTCACACAGCTCACTCTCCCTTGGAAAGAGAGCCTGGTCTCACTTATATGTACATGTGATTGCTCTTGTGTCACAACACCTCGTCATTTTTTTTTCTTTGGTTTTTTCTTGGTCAGCTTCAAAGGAGCGTAGGTGAAGGATAGAGAGGTCCTGAGACGACCAGTTTCTCATCAGATCATTTCAAAATTCAGCAGATCTAAGATTCTCAAAAAGCTCTTTTTTCCATTTTATAGTAGATTCATGAGAACTTTAAAGGAGCATAGGTGAAAAAATTAAAAAGGTCCTGAGACGAGGAGATTTTTCCAGCTTTTATAAGATCATGTCGAAGTTTTGCAAATCTTAGAATCTCAAAAACATATTTTCTCCAATTTATATTCACTTTAAAGGAGCATAGGTGGAAAAT